GTCTAGTTGGTATGTTGAAGAGGTTGATTACATAATTTCTCAACAGTTTTTAATAATTGAGAAATACTGACGATAAGTTATAAAAATAGGCAACATTTATGTACGGTATATTTGACAAAATAAAATATAGGTACGTATATTATTTTTTCTTCGTAACTCGAAAAATAATAATCGTAAATCGTTTTGGTTTAAAAAATTATCTTGAGAATTTAACAAACATTTTTTCAAATATATTTATCACTACTTAATGAAAAAAAAAAAAAATTGAAATTATTTTCAAAAACAATTTTATAAGCCCCATGCATACTACGCACATTCACCACAGTAGATTCGACCCAAGTTCACTGGTCATGGTTTCACTCAAGGGCTTGACCTTGCCATCAGTACTAAGATTCGTGAAATACATTTTCATTTTAACTTTGCACCAATTGTAAAATTAAGCAGGTAGCATATATGCAAATGATCGAAATACAGGAGACTGTTTCGCACGTTCTATGACAACATTTGCAATAGGTTTATGCACATGATGCAGAAATAAAGTACTGGGAAGTAACATAATGGGTTACAGTTCGGGATTGTATCAACTGAAATTTTAGTCATGGACATTATACGAAAATTGAAAGGTTAAATATTTTAGAATTAAACTGACAAGACAATTTTTAAAAAATGTTAACTTTGATAAGCAACATACGTTATCAGAAGAATAAATTTGGGAAAAAAAATAGGTATATTATACCAATTTTTTTTTGTTAAATATCTTACGTTTTTTAATAAATATTTTAGCAAAAATAAGAACATAAATATTTACATATTTTGACTTTATCATTACATAAAAATCTGCACCCTACTTATAATAACATTTTAATGATTTAAATTATATAGATATACATTGATGTAAAGGAAACTTTTTAGTTGGGTCCCGAGATATTTGATTGCTTAAAAAAGCACGATTTGGGTCCGCGGTTCTATAATAATACTCAAATTGGGTCCATGGTCACATTTGATACTACGTGAATTGGGTCCACGGTAGGCGCGGATCCAGCCTACCATAACGGGAGGGGCGGATTATAAATAAGTATACTCTATGAGTTGGCTGGGGCTGGCCGGCTGACGGTTGTCGTCGATCATACGGTCACAATAATATTGTTTTTATCGAAAATTCATTAATTTATGTTATAAAAATAAAAGACGAAAATTTGTAATAATAACAATATATTATAATGTTATTACGTAAGATAATGCAATTTAATAGTACATCAAATTAAATTAACACAATTTGATACAGCCAACGGGGGGTCGCCCCTATCCCCCCCCCCTGGATACGTGCCTGATCCACGGTTGATTTTATCTTGTTTTTATCATAACTACCCAACTCAAGTTTTCCTAGTGAAAAATGTGCTTTTTAAATTTCTCCGTAATTTAAACTATATAATTATAAATAAACTATTAGTGATAAAAATAAAAATAAATTAAAATTTGATCTAAAATCAATTTAATAATAACTTTTTACACAGAAAAAAATTCTAATTGAATAATAATTTTAACATTTTAATAATGTTATACGGTAACCTTGCGTTTATTTGGTCGACACTGGTGGTGGTTATTTGAAAAAACAGGCAGAGAACATTTTGGGAGAATATTTTTCAATGAAGCTATTATGTCTTCAAAAAATATTACTCAAGTAAGAATGTTAAAGTTATCCAATTTATAAAGTTTTACTTAAAAGAGTTTAAATGACATCAATGTTTCAGGTAGCCGTAATGATGGAGAGCTGTACGGCAGGCGCTGCTTACTTGCCTACTATGGCTGATGAGAATGTAATTGTGAGAAATATCGGAACAATTTTTCTTGCTGGTCTTCCGTTAATAAAGGCTGCGGCAGGAGAAGTCATGTCTGCCGAGGATTTATGTGGTGCGAAACTTTATTGCTCGTAAGACTTATATTTTTATGTTGAATACAATATCATTTTAAATGATGAAGCGTTAGATATGCGTGTCTTACTAACTTAATAGTTTACAACAGATAATATCATGGAAAAAGCAATGATTTTTTTCGTCAATCGAATAGTGTATTGAAAATTACTTTATTCGATGATCAACATTCGATAGTCGTTTGAGAATACGATAGATCGAATATTCTGTGTCGAATGAACTTTTATGATCGAATAGTGTCAATCGAACTATTCTATTCGATCATCACTTTCGATGCATTTGAGAATAGGCCTCCAGGAACCGTGGCCATCCGCATATTAAACAGAAGGTAATCAACTGCAATCGCTCATCGTTCATGTCCGTCTCCTGGGGGTCTATTCTCAAACGTATCGAACCACGCTTTCGATCAATAGTTGATCGAAAACAACTTTGATTTCGATTGATAACAAAAATACTATTCTCAAACCGCTTTCGATCATTAGTTCGATAGGAATATTCGACAATATACAACGATAGTGAATTTGGTGTCGAAAACTGTTTTCGACACACAATTTTCACTGTAATCAACTAATTTATCAGTTTTTTCAATTTATTGTTCGTACTTGTATCGTATTTAGTACTATAATCTATAATTAATAATTAAAAGAGTATAGTTCGCGAACGAGAATGAATGTTTAAATATTTATCATGGCATTTGATGACGATTTTGAGATTTACAATATAATGCAAATTAATGAATTAGAAATTCAAAACGAAATTAATATTACTAATGAAGTAAGACGAGTTATGAAACAAGAAGATCCTTTTGGTAAGTTTTTATTTTATATATATATATTTAGTTATAAACAAATATATAATTGCTTTCCAAAAAATTATCGATCATTATATACATTTAATTTTTTAGCACTCTCTGAACAACAGTTTATTGGTACTTATCGTTTAAGTAAGGTGCTTGTACAAAAGTTAACGGATGAGTTAAGTCCTTTCATGTCAAGTCCGTCAACAATTGCTGGACTAAGTATTCAAAGAAAGGTTAGTAATAGAAAATAATAGGTACATACAAATTTAAAATTTATTTTTAATTGATTTAATATTTTTTATTTTATTTTTTTGCTAGTTATTAACAGCTCTCAGATTTTTTGCAAGTGGAAGTTACCAGCAAGATATAGGGGAACACAGAGGTGCTACTGTAAGTCAAGCTTCAGTTAGTAGATGCATTACTGAAGTAGCTAATGCTTTAAATGTTCCAGAAATACTTAATAAATATAAACATTTTCCGAGTACTATTGATGAACTCAAAGAAGTTCGTTTAGGGTAAAAAATGTTTTTAAAAATCCTAATATTATAACCCTTATTATACTTATATTAATTTTAATGCTAAGGTTTTATGAAAAATTTGGAATACCTGGAGTCGTTGGTGTCATTGATGGGACTCATATTGCCATTGTACCACCTAAGTCTGACGAGCCTATTTATCCAGAACATGTATATATTAATAGAAAAGGGTATCACAGTATTAATACACAATTGGTATTTGGTCATTTAAAGCATGATAATATTATTTAATATTTCAGATAAAAAATATTGTAAATAAAATAATTTATACTATGTTTGATAAAGATTTGTGATTCAAACCTCCAAATTTTGAATATATGTGCCAAATTTCCAGGAAGTACACATGATAGTCATATTTGGCGTCTAAGTCCTGTATTAGGATTGCTAAGACATTTAAATTTAAATGGACATACTTCATATTTTTTATTAGGTACATTTTATAAGATTATAAATTTAATGTATTGATTAATTTATTAGAAAATATTATAATTCTTAATTTTTTAAAATAGGGGATTCTGGATATGGTTTGAGCAGGACCACTGCGGCGATCGGAACTGAAAAACACATAAATATCATGCATTTCAAGCGCGGAGGCTCTATCGATCGAACGTCGGACGCGAACACTTCTCGACGGAGCAGAAACGTCGTTACCCGTTCGCAGCGCATTATTGCCGTACCATACGGCGAGTTACGGTACTGTCGTGTAGATCCGTTTACCTGATAGTCATTTCCATTTTCTTGAGATGAGTTGATGTTGTTGATGTTGTTGATGGTATTGATAAGTTTACACATGAGATATCTTGACGCAAAATCGTTCTGCTGTTACGCAAGGCAATGTCGAATGTTATCGTAATCATTTATTCAACAGTTATAATAAAGTTGAAATATATTTGCCGGGTAACGTTTAAAATAGGTTACATAATCCATATCGTAAACGGCCAGTGTAGAAAAAATACACAACTTGAAATCAAATTTATTAGTTACCTAAATAATTATAAATAAAATGTTATTCTTTCTGCATATAATACTAATGTATCTATGGAATTCCATGATCGGAATCACAAAGATGTACTAGATGTATTTGTAAAACAGGATGCAAAAATAATATATGTACTTATAAAAAAATTAATATTTTATGCAATTCAAATTGGCACGATATAATAATACAATAAATTGTGAATAATAATAGTTATGTATAATTATTACGAACCTAATTTTAATATTTCGCTAAACAAAAATATCTACATTACATATCAGTATTAAATATTAATAATATTAGGTAATTTCCTATTCATAGTTGTAAATGTGCTAACAAAATATTCGATTTTCACAACATTCCCTATGTTGTCAATTAATGCCTAGGCATTGATGATATCATCTATTAATGTTAAGCATTTAAAATATTAGCTAAGCATTTTTGTTATTACCTAATTTACATATTTTACGATAACATGTATAATATATATATACTCAGTATATATTAAATATTAATTGTTGAGTATTATTTTATTTCAACTATTTTGCACGGGGCCCCGCAATTTGTAACGCCGATCCTGATTGATTGAGAGTAATACTCCAATATAATGGGGGAAAAAATTACTCCTTAATTCTGCATTTGATGCGATGGACCAAATGGCGTTAGTTAGTAGTAAATACGTGTCATGTACTAGGTTTAATATATATTTATTATACACGTACTATTAGGTAAATAATATATAAAAATGCTTGGCCACGCATGACAAAATATACATAATATGTTATATACATTATATATACAATATAGTATATTGTGCCACGTATATTACTGACAGTTAGTGATACGAGTTGTAGGAAATTTAAAAACATCTATCTGCAACCTTCGAAAATGGAAAAATAAAAACGATAAGTTCAGATATATCGCTCAGATCCATTCATGTGAAAAATGAAGATATACCGGTATAAATTATTTTATAAAGACCAAATAGCTATTCGCAATTGACTGATACCGGCATTTAGATGATAAGACGCGTTTCATAAAAATGTTGAACGTTTTTCGTTGTTGATCTCTGTTAAAATAATTCTTAAATCATTTGCATGGCCCTAATAAATTTAACTATAGATTTTATTTATTGAAATTAAACTATTCATTGTAGTCTATGGTTCATCAGTTCTTTGAAATTTAAAGTGTGCTTTGCTCAAACATTGATCCTGAATACAATTTTAATAATATGCAAATTTCTTGGTGAATTTTAAATTTACCTTAGTTAGTACTATAATTGGCATATACCTATTAAAGTATTAAACCAAATTTAGATTTTCAAGTTTATAACCAACTCTTATGTTGTGACTATTGGTTAATTCAACAAATGAAGTGTAAGAAGTAATTATAATTTTATTTGTAAGTATACAGTTATATATCATTATTTATTTTTAAATATTTATCTGTTTGTTTAAAGTTAAAAATGTACCAATAATTACTTTCAAATCCATCCTAATAAGGATTTTTATAAAAAATTAAAAAGATTTACATTAACAAAGATCAATATCAAAACATTTTCACTCTTTAAGTAGGTATTTAAGCAGTGGCATAACTATCATTGGGCAAAATTGGACATTGCTCGGTGCTCCAGAGCACAGTGGGCCTTGAACACTTCTGAGACTATACTTCTGTAAAATAATTGACAATATTGATGTATTTAACAGTAAATTCCCTAATCATTTGTGATAATTCCAATTCCAATTAGTATTAAAGTAGAATAATAATTCATGCAAAATGCAAAATGTTTTTAGTAATTATAAACATGATTTTATTTTTATCTAGTATATCAATTATTTCCTTTTATCATTTCTTTTAAAAAAATAATATGATGTGTTACTTTCATATAAAGATAGTATTAGTTAGGGTTCCTAGTTTACATTCTTATGTAACTACGTTACTGAATAGAAACATATCTTGTCATTATTAGAACCTTAAATCTTAGCATTTTATAATTTTCAATAATATGTGTATTGTGTAAAAACTGTTTTTTCAGATTTCACCATGAAATTGCCCTCGTTTACTACTATTGTGTCAGTACTATTTATATCGTACTTGGGTAATCTTTTTTACTCAATATGGGTAATGGTACAACCTCCAATATGTACTAGTGAAGGTCTATGTTTGAAATCCTACTTGCTTAGGAAACCTAACTTGGAAGTATGTATTTATTTTTTAATATATTTAAAATTAAATTACAATGTTTCTTTTTTATACATTTAGCTGAACATATTTGTTTCTTCACATTCAAATCCTAGAGGATCAGAAGTTATATTTGTAAACAACTTTCCAATTCCTAATTATAATGTTTCTTATGAAAGGTAAAAATATAATTCATATACTTAACCTATTTTGAAATATAATAATAATTTTTATTTTATTTCATAAGAATGATGTCTGTTCAACTACCAAAAATCACTAAACAAAATGGAACAATGTTTGCTCATGTATTTTTAAGTAAAACTCAAGAAAAACTGAGTTCTAGTGATAGATGGACTATATTATTAAGTGATCCAGAGACGGTTTATACTTTAGTACCAATGTCTATTTACAAAGAACCTGAATATAAAGTTTTTCAATTGTTACAAGATGGTGAAAATGTGAAAAAAAATGTTGAAAAACCAATAACACATGTAAAGGCTGTATTGCCAGTCAGCATGTTAACAGAACCATTACATATATCCCAAATACATTTACCTAGTGATATTTTTCAATATTTAAGGTAAAAATATTGTATAATTAAATTAACTATAAAAGTCATATATAAAAAAAAAATGATTTTTATATTAGATTTAATATCTTTATATATTTATTCAGAGTTTATGTGTATGTGGGTACTTAAATCAATTATGTTATTTTCATTAAATTATCTATTTCATCAATTTAATAATAAAAAAAAACCACATTTTCAGATTTTATAAAAATAAAGAATATTTGCCTATATTCTTGCACAACTCTCTCCAAGATCGTTCTTACAATGTTACAAAAATTGATAAAAATACCTTACATGTACCCATTTTATTACGTTATGAACCATTAAGTTACACAGGACTAAGGTAAAAAAACATTTTTTACACTATAAGTTATTATATTTCTAATTAGTAATATTGCTTTTTAATTAAATATATGTGCATTCATCAGATAAGTAATAAACAAATTAAAATATATTGTTTTGAATTTTAAATTGTTTAGCACTTTATGTAATATGTAATGATCACCAGTTAATATCCCTATGTTTCCTTATGTATATAACTTTGTACATTTATCAAACTTACATATAAGATGCTTGTAAATTAGCTTTTAACTTAATAAACATTTAATACTTACTTAGTTTATGAAAAACAATTCATTAAAAAGTAGAAATATACATATAAATAGAAAGTAAAAATTGTATAACAACTTGGACATAAATATTAATTTTTATTTATCCAGTTATTGAACAGTTTATGAATTTTATTTATTGTAGGATATTAACACAAACTCAATTGGCTATGATTACAATGCAGCAATTTGGATTCAAAAATAAAGATATTGATGAAATCAAAGCAATCTTTGATACCAATCATTATTTACTATTGATTTCAATTATTGTCGCTTTTGTTCATGTAAAGCAAAAATTGATTAATTTTTTTATGATTGATGAAATAAAAGAAAATTATTTTTATTACAGATATTATTTGATTTCCTGGCCTTTAAAAATGATATATCATTTTGGCGATCACGAAAATCAATGGCTGGATTATCATCTCGTCTTGTCATATGGCGTGCATTTAGTCAAAGTGTTATATTATTATATTTGTTTGAAGAAAAAGCTTCAATGTTGATCATTGTACCAAGTGTCATCAGCTCTATCATAGAAGTAACTATAAATTATATTACATTTTATGTATGTACAGTTAATCTTAATATATTTTTATTAATTTGTTAATAATAATTAATTAGATTTGGAAAGTGTTTAAAATCATACCAATTGATTGGAAAAATCTAAAATTAAAAAAATTAACTTTAAATCGTGTTGAAGAAGATACTAAAAAGTTTGATGCTGAGTCTATGAAATATCTTTCTTATGTCTTGTATCCTTTATGTGTTGGTGCAGCTGTCTATTCACTTATCTATGAACCACAAAAAAGGTCTGAACTTATAAAATATTTTAAATATTGAATTTGATTTATCTATATCAGTTTTTAAAATATAATATCTTTATAGCTGGTATTCTTGGAGTATTAAAAGCCTGGTCAACGGAGTTTATGCATTTGGTTTTCTTTTTATGTTACCACAACTTTTCATCAACTATAGACTTAAGTCAGTAGCGCATCTTCCTTGGAAGACATTTATGTATAAGGTAAGTTTTTTAGACCTTTTTATTTAAAAACACAAATTATTTAAAGTAAAAATTATGTTATATAGGCATTTAACACTTTCATTGATGACTTGTTTGCTTTCATTATTCCAATGCCAACTGCTCATCGATTAGCTTGCTTTAGAGATGACATTGTTTTCCTAATTTATATCTACCAAAGATGGTAAAAAATATCATGAATTACGATGAAAAAAAAACATCACTAATCATTTATATTTTGTTATGCTAGGTTGTATCCTGTAGATCGTAGTAGACTTGATGAAGATATTGGAGAACTTGAACCATCTTCTCAGGAAGTAAAAACAAAAACTGATTAAATAATATTTCAAAAAAATACTTTTATAATTGTTACTTTTTAAATTTTACATTAAAAATGACATACTGTTTGAAAAATGTATTTTTACTTTATTCTTTGTGATACAAGCAGAAATATGAATATCTGTATTGATGTTTTGTGTACTTAGGTAATTCGTCATACTATTTATAACAAGCATTAGTTCTTTTTTTAATAAGATTTGTATGAATACAATTCACACTTTTTTACTAATATTTTTATTTTAAATATTATATTTTGATATTTTGTTAATGATTCAGAAATGAAATTTGGATGTTTTATAGTTAATGGTTAGTTATAGAAATATTTATTTTATTTATAATAGTTTTAAATCTTTTAATTTTAGCACTTAAATTAGCAAAATTGTGATATTTGCATAATGAAATTATGTTTCTATAAAAGTTAGATTATACAAGTTTTATAAAAAGTTGACTTCAAATGTATTTTGTATAAATAACCTTTATTTTATTAAAGTTTTGAAATGTATAGCTGCAACGGTACAAGCTACTTACATAAAACAGCTCTTATCTGGGGTACAACACTTGTGAAAAATAATACTTTACACCATCAAAAAAATACGATACAACAGTGTAGAGTAGTGTTTTAGGCATAAAATACCTAACCAGAAACCAAAAATGCGACTCTACGCTGATGATAGATAGAGAATTGATCAATCAGAGTAAAGAACTTATATGAAACCAGTATAAATACAGGTCCATTCTTCATTCAACATCACTAAATCATAACATATAACATATCTACATCAACTTGTTATATCGTATTCTAATGTTGAACTATGTTAATCTTGAAAACACTTTTTTCAACTGCACAACAATCAACAAGTCGATAGACACTAGTTGTTTGCCATGGACAAAAAAAAAACAAAGAAAAGAAAGCCAACAAGATCCAGTTCTCGAGAACCCTCTTATAAAAAAAGGAAACAATATGAAGAACCTTCAAAAGTGAAACGGATCTCTACAACAGCACCTCCAGCTCAGAATTTCTATTGTTGACGTCAAAAGAATACATATTCCACCTATTTTTACTAAACTCACTCCAAATATCACATGGTGTGTACTTGCAAAAAAATTTTATAAAACTATAGGTCTCGATCAAGACCAAAAATCGCCACTACTAAATTTAAACCTACTTTATACAACTCATATATAATTCATAATAATTCATTCTCTCTACACTCAAACAATGCACAGAATTTGCTGCAAAAGACGCAGTTATCAACACTATTATGTCGATAATTGAAAATATTTTTCTCAAACATGATGGATAAATTCCGCATTCTATTTTGGAATTGCAATGGTGTCGCCGGAAAAACTCAAGAACTACAAGAATTTATAACAACGCAAAAAATCGGCATAATTCTTCTCGGGGAAACACACATTCAACCGTACCAAGCTATTTCACATACACATCAGACCGTGTATCAATATCAAACCGTAGACCATTGGGCGCAACAGCTTTTCTCATCAAACGTAAAATCACTCATAGGGACGTTGCTATACTACCGATACTAATAAAGTATCGATACTTTTCTTTCGATACAAGTACATTTTGAATCGATACCATGGTTTTGATACTTTACTAATATCGATAAAAAAAGTACTCGAATGTTTGAATAGTATTGTGCAATAATTCTTTTCTAGTAAAACGGTTTGCGTGCGAGGTATATGATTTGTTTACATAGATTAGTCATTACATTATAGTCTATGTTCTATACGATTATATTGTTATTTCCACGGACCAGAAACTACAGTCTACAATACAATAGCGTTAGTAGGTTACCTTTTAATCGGAAGGATTATTTTTTATTGGTCGTTTTTATATTTTACTTTTATCATTATTTTAATTCTATTTGATACGACGAAGTAAAAGGATCAATACTTTTTTCGATGCTTACTCATATCGGTCTTTTCGTTTCGATATTTTCATTCGATTCGATACCACGTCCCTACTCATGAACATATCAAACTCAATACCGAAATAGAGTAAACAACAGTAAATATAAAAATAAATAATCACGTAACGCAAATGTCATCAGTCTACAATGATCTCGACATCCTTACAAACTATATTACCCCTTCGTAGTTGCAGGTAACCCGAATGTAATAGACAAAACTTGGTTTTGCCACTTCAACAAACCTGAAAATTACAAATCAATCTCTTTCCTCTGTAGATACATTCAATAACTTTTGAAAAATTTATCCTATCAAATCTGAAGAAACAAACTAAAATCAGACCGTAACAACACGCTTTTAGACCTTTTCATTCAACTACTCTCCAATTAGTAAAACTATTCGACGGACTAACATCAAAAACCTCACGTAAAAAAGACCAGTCGCCATTTTCCTCGATATAGAAAAAGCGTTTGCCCGTATTTGACATGACACTCTAATTTCCGAACTCCACTCTTACTCAGACGCTCTAATAAACCTAATTTAACTAGCGAAGTTATTCTAATCAAATCACTCCTTTATAGTCAAAATATCTGGTGACTTATCGTCTAACAAAAAGATAGAAGCAGGGGTACCTCAAATATCATGTTTGTCACTTACATTGTATACTTTTTATATTAACGAAATGCTATCATACGGAAATGTAAAAACGGCTGTTTTCGCTGATGATACGATGTTCTACATAGCAGGAAAATGTGTGAAGGACTCAAAAATAAACTTACAGCGACTTGCTACATTACCTCATCGTGACTCAGTTAATGGTAACTATCGTTAAACGTCAACAATACAAAAGCAATAATTTTCGGGGACAACAGAAAAAAAGCCAAACCCTATCACTTTTATGGGTCATCCGGTTACTTAGTCAAACAAAGTCAAATACTTAGATATTTCCCTGGACAGGAAACTAAAAATGAACTCCCACATCCTAAAAATTTAAAAAAAAACAAAAGGAATGCGTGTTGCCCTATTTCCAGTTATCAAACACAAATCACCATTACCATTATCCTCAAAACTGGCAATCATCAAGATTTAGATTAGACCAATTTTATTATATGGTGTGGCTGCATGGGGGTCACAACTATCAAAACTCCAAATGGACCAAACTAGATGCAATGTAAAACATTGTTCTAAGATCAGTCACCAACTCAAGTTAGTTCGCAAGAAACAGCGTTACACGGGACTTAGCTAACATCAAATCCACCAAACAAGAGGCTGAAATTGCATCAAAGAACTAATTCCATCGAGGACCATTCACTATACCCTCTTCTCCAAAACCTTTGTATTACTTTGGAAAAACTTAATCAAATTAGAATCTGATAGCAAAATGATTGCTAATCCATAACGAATTCAAGAACAAATTTACAAAAGAGTATGAGAGGTTGTGGCGGTTGAATGTTCTAGAATATTCGGCCGCCTAAGCATCGGAAAGATTCCTTATTAAATGCACGGAAATATACGGACAGTCGAACGTTCTAAAATTTTTGACCACCCCAATGATGAGAATCTTCGAGATACAACCTAGAAAAGTATTTAAGGCTGAAGCAGTTTCGCCCTCGACACAGTTCAATTTTCCAATTTCGTTGGGACACGCCGTGACGGTTACTTGCTTGTTATACACTCATCTTTATGTATATATTTTTCTTTACCTTTATGCAGTTTTACTTCTATATAACTATTTATTATTTAGTATAATAAGTCACTCCATCTTTAACTTTCTTTCTTTATTGTTCATTCTACTTACATCTATTCATATCTTTATAACGGAAAGTAGAAGCAAGTCATTACAATACTACGAATACGATGATAACAACGACAAAGATCCGGTGACGATGGTGAATCACGAAAATAACGATACAATGTAGACCGTTCACGATGTGAGTTACACTAAGATATAATTTACCATTTAACAACTAAGTATACAGTGATTATATGAGATAAATTATGAAATGTTCGTAAGCAATTAATTAAGGAGTTTGAAAATAGCGATTAAGACAATATCATCTCAGTAAAATAGTAATTGCCTCAATAGCAAAAGATTTCTGATGTAATTCCCAGTCGATTTCTAGCTAATCAGTAATCCAGTTATTGAAATAAGAGCCTTAGATCCAATTGTGGGACTATCAGAGTGACAACAGTTAACTAATATAAATATAAAGCATATAATCAATATTTTGGAGTAATAGTTGAGCAGTAAATCCTACATGAAATTTTTTTTTAGGGAGGTTGTGTGCGTATAATAATTTCTTATGAAGAGAGATGCAGAAGTATGCTATTTTCTACGCAGAAGTATGGTAAAATGTTTAATGAAGGGAGGCAATTTGCGGAGAGGTGATATTTTACCCCTCCCCCGTCCATAAATTTTCACACCTACCAGAATGGACACACTTAAAAAAATTTTCAAATTTAAGCTAAATAAAGTTTTAATATTATTTCAACAAATAAATATAAATATTTTATTATTTAAATAATTAATATTTTCATGTTGTATAGTAATTAATTAAAAGACATTTTAAGTATAGGAAAAAAAAGTAGAAATTAATATAATCAAATATATATTATTTGGTATCAGACAAATTTAAATTACTAACGGGGCAAATGTTCCATCTATTTCTATAAGTCCATCTTTATATATAAGTTTTTGATTTTGATAACAAAATGATAAAACTCTGATAAGTTATCTATATTCCCTATACGCAAACAAATTGATAAGACAGTAGTATGATAACACTTAGCAAATGGACTATTTCAATACATATCATTTCTTCTACTAGTTTTAAAAGCTATGATTCCTATGTAATATTAATGTTGCCGATGACTTATTTTTCAAAGTGATAACAGTCTCCCGTACACTGTGGTTGTTAATTTTTGATTTAGATTAATCCAAAAGCTAAAATGCATCAATTATGATTCACTATATATTTTTGTACTTCAATACTCGAATTTTTTACAATTATTCGCCCATAATTCAATATTTATCTCTCATAAGTACCCATAAAAACTTTAGTATCGAGGTAAATTTCAAATTCTAATTAGGAAATTTACATATGTATCATAATGGAAGTTATATTTGATGAATCAGATGTGCATTGCAAGCCAAATGCACTTGTTGGAAATTTTGGATGGTTTTTGCAGGGTCTATTGGCTACGCTGGCATTTCTTTGTTTGATTGGTAAGATATTATAATTTTTATAGTATATATGTGTTATCAAAAAGGAAATTTATAATACAAGTTTTATTACACTTGTTTAATTACTATTCTTAGAATTAAAATTATTTGAGTTTTTATGAACCTAGGTTACATAAAATGTATGTAATCTGTAGTCACTCCTGTGTTATATAATCTAGATACTGATGTACTTCTAAAGAATCCTTTTATGGTTTCTTTTCAATTGATTTTTGTCATGCATTTCTATTTCATTGTATAACACTGTAAATTACTAAACTAGTGACTTTACTAATACTAATTTATATGATTTGTATATGTTTATAATTAGTAAAACGATTTTGTGAACCTAAGTATGATCGACGGCCTTGGAAAGTATGGTTTTTCGATACTTCTAAACAAGGTATGGGATCTTTACTTATGCATTCAGCAAATTTATTTTTGGCTGGCCAAATAGCAGGTGATCCATGCACTTGGTAAATTTAATATTTACATTTTATAAAAGAATATACATTTATTTTTATTTTAAATTTACAAATTCATAATAATTATAAATTATACTAGTAATATGTTTCAATTACTGAAAATTAAATTTTTTTTTTTAGGTATATGATACATTTTTTATTGGATTCATCACTTGGTCTTCTATTGATATTTTTTGGCATACGATTTTCTCAACATATTGCACGAGTTAAAAATTTGGAATCATTTAATTTTGGAGAATATGGTAGACTTCAATTGATTGCACTAATAAAAAGATTTATATTATTAAAATTGTTTCTAGAAATTTATACTATTGTTAAAAACTATAATAACCCTAGCAAACATAATAGCATACATTTTTTTTTTTTAGGAAAACCAGAATCTGTTAGAATTTGGCTTATTCAATGTGGTTTATATATGTCACTTTTATGTTGCGTTAAAATTTTTATTACATTGTTAATTTCATTAGACATATGGCAAGTAATCACAAAATTTATAATGTCACCCTTCACTGACCCAAGGACTGAATTAACTATAGTCATGCTTATCATACCTTTATTTATAAATGTAAGTCTTGGCTTCAATATTATTTTTTCACTGGTATGACTTTTTTTTAACATTTATAAAATAATATATATTATTTAAATAAAGGCTCTCATGTTTTGGGTGACTGATGACATATTAATGCATAGAAGTCGCCATCGAATTGGTTTGTTACGTCGCATAAAAATACAATATCATAAAGTTCAACAAAGTGGTCGGCTTGAAGATTCTGCTGCTTCTGATGATGAAGAATTGCTCAATATAGATGAAACATCTACAATTCTACGACCTAGTGGAGTTCAGGGTTTTTAAAATACTTATGAAATTTTTTTATTTTAAATATTTATGCACTATTAGATAAGGGTATCTCATGAGGACTTTTACTTTGAAGAAGAAAGTTAAAATACTTAACTATTTTAATTTAGTAAATATTTGTGGGACACCCTATACATTTAAATTTTTAATTATATTTGACATTCCTTGAATGTATATTATATATTTAATATTGTAAATATTATACTATTTACAGTATTTATTGTTATTTTTTACTACGGTATAAAAGGTGTAATATAATTGTATAGTATACATTTTTTAGAATTCCAATACATTATTAATTTTTATTTAGTTATTAAATTATGTGAATCCTAAAAAACTTATACCATTATATATATATATATGACAATGTAATTTTTAATATAAATATATAAATCATATAATATCCTATCATATAAAAAATTAATTTGATAAATTTAATAATATACATTTTTTATGATATAATGCATTAATAAATAAAAAATTTAAAGTTTTTGTTAAAATATATAATATTGTATCTGAGCAGTGATAATTCAGACTTTAAATTAATTATGTCAAAATCAAATCGGTTATAAATTAATTAAATATATATTATAATTTAGAAAACAATAGCAATGAAGTGTATTACTGATTTTCCCAGGCAGGATTTACTATTTTTGTATGTAATATTGGTTTTTTTTATTTTTTTTTTAGACAGTTCCAAGTTAATTTGTTCATTCATTTCATTCATTTATAATAATATAGATTAAGAATATTTTTATTCCAAAAATATTTCATCTTGTTATAATTTTTTTTTTTTTTATCATTATACTTAGTCCATGAATTCAAAGGCTGTGATACAAATTATAACAATGTAAAATTGTATAACTTTAAATTAAAATATTTTATAAATTGGCCATATATTTTAAAATTGGTTTATAATTTTTTACTTGCATATTTTATATTACACAATATAACTCATTTTAATATTTAAATATACAAATATATATTATATTAATATAACTTATTTATATAATTTTATAATAGTTTATTTACATTATATAATATGTACATGTATTTACTTTACAGTTATATAAGGTGGTCCATTTTTTGTTACATTTTCTTACATAGATAAAATGGTCCACCTTGTGCAGTGTTTATTTAAGGGGAGTGACCAGAAAGGAAAGGGATTTACCTCTGAAAAAAAAAGCATTTATTTATTAATTATTTACTCATATTGCATAACACATACCCCTAAAAAAAATGTACGATACCTCCCCTCTGGGTTAAAAGGCCTGAAATAAACACTGCAGCTTGTGTCCTGTTTTATAATATGCTGTTTATCATTTTTCAATCAATAAACTTATATATAATTTTGTAAAAATTTACATTTATCCATAACAGTGTTGATTAAATACAATTTATTTATCTCAGTGGCGTAATTATGGGGAGGGGGATATCCCCTTCAGTTTCCCGTAAGCACTAAACTTTAAAAGATGTTAAGATAAGAAATAAGAATTCATGGATACTATCATAGTTGAAATTTTTTTGATTTCACTATTATAATACTACGATATCTCAACAGTTACAATTTATGACAAGAAAATTGTATAGCTCATAATTAAATTATAACACTGATAAATCTACAATTTACGACTGTTTAGTGTTTAAAGCATGCAATATTTCACAAAAACGTGAAACATATATATACGTATGCTTACACTCGTGCGCTTTTTTGTTCGTTCAATGTATGTATGTTATTTCGTTAATGCATCATAGCGCACCACGAGTTGAACGGCTACATATTTGTGACGCACACCGCAATGCCAAATTTTTCCGCGTTCAGTAGGAATCCGTCCAACACGCTGTGATTTTTATATTGCATTTCACTCCGGTAGGTAAATATCATATCGTTATTAACAACTTTTTTCATCTGGAACAACCTCTCTAAAATGAATGTTTTGTCTTACTATTTCTGGTTCATTTATATTTAATATTGAGTAAAAATTTGCTCTAGACGTTCGTGTAAAATTTTTAAATAATATATCTCGTATAATTGCAAATCATCTATAATTCCAAAATGTCGAGTTTTTAAATACTTTTTGACCCGCAAAGGACGCTTTTTTTCCTACGTTTCTTATTCGCACTTGCAATAACTAAGTAGGCCGCACTAACGCCGAGAAGTGCATGTGAATCCGATAAGTTTTTTGTTAACAATCTGGAAGAAGACTGATTTGTGACGTCATTAGTAAGAACCAAAAATAGCATGCATCTATTGCATTCAATAAGTATATGCGTTGGATGAACGGGGAATTAAAAGTTGAAACGCAAGTCGAATCTAAAATTGAAGTAGGAAGCGCATACCTATATATTACCACTGATTATATACAGTGAAAACTGTGTAAAGCGGAATCGCATGGGATCAACAAAAAATTCTGCTTTAAGCAGTTTTCCGCTTTATTCAATAAAACAGAAAAATTCCGGATTATTCAATTCAAATAAATACCAAAGAATATTTTTTCGAATTATTGTTTTAAATAATATAATTTATTAAAATTTAACTAAAATATAGGTTTTAAAATTCATTAAATTTAAACTGGAATATAGGGTTTTTATTACATATTACATGCTAAGGCAAATTAAATATGACGCATAAATATTTAAAATTTCCAAAAATGATGAAGAGTTTTTTGTTTTGTCACGGTTGCTGCTATTTTTTCTTCTGTGATGAACGGAAGATAAAATTAAAGGTGTACCTACGACTGTTGATGTAAGACTGTTTTCATAGTTACAAAGAAGTAAGTTCGTATCGTTTATGCGATAGTATGCATTGTATACATGTATGTAAGTACCTATACTGTACGAATATGTGTAGAACAATTGTATCTTCTTTATCTATCACTATTGTAAACGATGTACATTGTACATACGCCTATCTAAATTGTATACTTTATTTTTGGTTTATAGTACATACGCGTGCGTCATTTTTCCGATTTATGCGAGGTTTTTACTTGTGTGGGACTTACAAAATCGTTCCGTTTCCGCGTTAAGAAGGTTCTGTTTTATTGATGTTCAGCGTCTACATAAAATTATAGAAACGTGCCGGGATCATAGAAAAATTCCGTATTGGATAGTTTTCCGTTTTATTCAGGGTCCGCTTTAGACAGTTTTCACTGTATTACTAATAGTAGTACATAATCAATGATTTCACCCATCAAACTAAGTGACGAACGGAACTGGTACGCATTATTTCATTTTTTTTATTCATAAATATATATTAAAAATAATAACGAATAAAAAATGATTAATCTACCTATTAGAGAGCCCAGCGTAGGGAAAGTGGCGCGCCCATCGCCCAGCACACCAAAAAGTATGCTGCAATAGCCCCACACTGACTTTAATTAGTTGGTGTGGACTGGCCCCCCAGGTTGGGGATTGAGCGTAGGACTGACAACCCTACCTCATAAAAAAAACATATGTTAAGGAACAACAATATCTTAAGCCTCGGATCAAAGATTTAATGGACATCAACATTGGAACTCGGAACGTGCGATTTTTGTATAGGGCTGAAGATTTGACAACATCTCTTTCGTGTCTTAAGCGCTATAGAATGGATATTACTGCGATTCAACAAGTGAAATGGACAAGCTCAGGTAGCTTGAAATCTCAAGGAAATAAATTATTATATAATAGTGGAGATAAGCATGAATACGGGGTAGGTTTCGTAATAAGGGATAACGTTGCGACATTATAGTGAGGTTCTAACCAAAAAGTGATCGGATATGCTACTTAGAACTCAAATGTAAATGGTACAATATGTACCTAATTAACTGTTACGCGCCTACAAAATATAAGAGTGACGACATAAAAAACAAATTCTATGAAGACTTAGACGTGGTGTGTGACACCCTACCGGTTGATAAACCGAAAATAATATTAAGGGATTTAAATGCAGAGATTGGAAAGGAAAACATATATAAACCAACAATTGGATCCGAAAGCCTACATGAAATTACGAACGACAATAGAAACAAACTAATCACTTTTGCCACAGCTAAAAATATGATAATAAGTAACACGTAATTTCCACATAAGAATAAATCATGAATATTGGAGTATATATACTCTAATGTTCATGGAATATACACAAACAAACATGGATCTACCCATGTAGGTTAGTAAGAAACCAAATAGATCACACGTTAGTGGACAGCCGGATAAAATCGTGTGTCAAAAATATAAGAAGTATACGAGGGAGTAGTGCGATGTCGAACCATTTCCTTGTGAAAGCGAAAAATCACTCTTACAATATCAACAAAACGGAGAAAAAAGAATAAGTACAAAGAAAAAATTAACAAGGGTATACTAAAAACAACAACAGCGGAAATGTACCAAAAAAAAAATATCGATGGAATTACGAAACATATAAGAAATGGTGAACTTGAATGAAGCTTGGGAGAAGGTAGGTAAACAAGATAACAGCAAAGGAAGTACTTGGATATGTATCAAAAAAGACAAAGAAAACATGGTTTAACGACAAATGTAAAGCTGCTCAAGAGGAAAAAGACATAGCACGAACAAAAGTTTTACAGAACCCTAGTGAAGACAATAAAAGGCTACTAGCACAAAAACAAAGGGATGCAAAAAAGGTTATCAAAAGGAATAAGAGACTATGGGAAAAAGAACGGGTACATACCATTGAAAACAACAGGAATAACTTCAAAATATTTTTCGAAAAAGCAAATGAAATTAAACATGGATATCAAATTAGACCAACAGTAATGAATAAACATGACGGATCCTTACTAATGGAGAGTAAAGAAATTGCGTGTGAATTTAAAGATATGTTCGAAAAATTGTTAAACCAACCAAATGAAAATAACACCGTACTTCAATACTCTACTGCAGAAAAGCTGCTTGAAAAACCATCAGAAGAAGAAGTTAAAATAGGGCTAGAAATGCTAAAATACGGGAAAGCACCAGGAGATGATGAAATAGTATCTGAATACCTAAAAAAGGAGGCCAAGGTCTGCTGAACCAACTCCACAAACTTATGAACACAATCTAAGAACAAGAGGAGATACTCAAAGCATGGCGTATATCCATCATCTGCCGACATCATGGAGTATGAAAATTATAGAAGGATCTCACTACTCAATATTTTATATAACTATTGTCCAACATACTATTGACCAGAACCAACCCATATATCAAAGAAATAATTGAAGAATACAAAGCTGGTTTTATGCTAGGAAAATCAACAATATATCAAATACACATCGTAAAACAAGTTGTTGAGAAAAGTCACGAATACAACAAAGATACATATCAACTATTTGTTGACTTCAAAGCAGCGTACGACTCAATCAACAGAGACAAATTATGGGAAGTCATGGATCAGTTAGGAATACTAGCCGAGTTAACCAGATTAATAAAACCGTGCACATTTAATTCAAAAAGTAAAATTAGTTTTGGAGGAGAATTATCTGAGTTATACAGAAATTTGTGATTTGTGAAGTATAAACAGTGGTATTTTAAACTTGAAATAAAAAAGTTTATGCAGATAATTTTGACGGGCAAGTATGCAAATTTTTAATTTTTCCTTTACTACATGGATAATGTTAATTTTTTACTGCTAGGGGCCTCGAAAAATCGATTTGCCCAGGGCATCCGAAAGTCTAAATCCAGCCCTGCGTATAATATAATATAATAACAACTATATAACAAAATTGTCGATAGCAATGATCGGCCGACTGCTGGCAAGTGTGCGCAGTCACCACAAACCCGACTATTTAGTTAGTCTAGTGTGCGCACTAACAGCCCAACCCGACTAAACTATCGGCCGATAAAAAGTCTGCAGTGTGCGGATAATCTAAGGTTAAAGTTTACGATATATCTTATTTGGTTCAGGATCACTACAATTATTTAAAAACTAACCTCTCTCCTAAATTCAGGTCTAAGTACGCTACTGATTAATGGTATACCTATCTTAAATCGTGCTTTCAACGTGTAAACATCATGATAGTCACTATCACACTATGAAGAGAGACTTGATAATTGATAGTATTTTTGTGAGAGTAAACTTTTTGGGTCTTCTGAGACAAGTTCTCTTAACAAAGTTTGAGAAACATCAAGTTCATTTTTTCTTTGAATTCACTGACGTACCCAAATTCTTTTCTCTTTTTTGTTTTGCTTAAATTTAATTTTTAATATTTCACCAACGACAGCGGCTGTCGCTGCTTTCAATTCAATGTTTTCACTCTTTTCATAAATTTTTCAGCACCTTTCGCAATAATTTTCTCACATAATCTGCAAAAAAAATATATCACTGTGTAAACGAATCTTTATGTATATTATCTTTGAGTAATTTACAGATAACAAATAACAATGATAAGAATTGTGCCAATAAATTCAAAAACGAAACATATTCAATTTCCTTCTTTATTCATTGTATTAATTCTGTATTCACTTTGAATATTATATATTAGTTTAAGTTTTTGAATTATGACCTGGCTAGATGTTGTTTCAAAAGATCTTACAATCCCTGTTGAATATTTGAAGCCTACCAACAATTCTAAAAGATTCCTTGCTAATGTTCATCGGATTTGGTTTAGGTAAAATTGTGCATGATGATGACAATTAATGTACCTCTTTAAATTATTGTTTTAAAACTATTTTGATTAATAGAGATTTTTTAAATGGAATTTATCGTCCATTCTTGCATCATGAGATGTTTACAAATGATGATGTCCGTGCAAAAGTTCAACAAATCGAAAGCTTGGGCGATACTTGGATATATGTTTTGATAACTGTATTTAAACTTTATACTCATAATTATATTTTATGAAATAACAATACTATCTTTTTATTTTTTGTCGAGGTCATACAAAAAGTAGATAAATCAGTGATTCCTTTGGCACGACGACATGAAACTGTGAATTTTGATAAAAACTTAAGTTATTCACAACAATTACAATATGTCACAGTTACAAATAGAAAAAATCTATGGAAAGAAGCATATAAAAAATATGGTAAAATATTATTTTTAAATTTAAAAGTAGTTAATTTCAATAACATGAATAGTATAGTTATAAATTATAATCCGTTTTATTTTTCAGATGGTTTTTTTTGTAGAGAAAAATCTATGACCTCAAATATATGCCTTTCTCCTCATGATACTATAATAAGAGATATACTTAGTCGTTTCTACAACTGTCCAATAGTTCACTCACAAGAATGTTCACGTAAAATATCATTGACTGAAAATGAATCTCATAGTAATATTTTACCAGCTAACTTAGTTTTTGAAACTAATAAATATTTTTACCTATTGCAGGTAATTTTAGTAACTTTTGTTTGTAATTTTTTTGTTGATAATAATTGTTCTTGTATTCTTAGGAGACAAATAATGTACATTCGTTTCAAGATTGTGTAAATTATAGTCCAACATTATTAAAGTCAAGCCATGCCCGTCCACTATTTGTGTTATATCAACTTTTGAATGCAATGCAATATACCCATGATCAAGGACTTGTGCTTGGTGACATTACATTATCTGATATAATTGTTTCCCCTGAGTTGTGGATTCGGGTTGGTTAAAATTGTTTTTATGTAAATGTTTGTATGAATATGAAATCATTGAACTCTTGTTTTTAGATTCTCCCAAGAATCACCGATAATATTTCAGATGCTGATGAATTTGATAACAGTTATGACGAAACAGTTAAAAGTTCAAATGCTGAACATTTGGCAGAAATATGTGAACAATGGGTTCGCGGAAATATGTCTAATTTTGACTATATTACATTTTTGAATAAATTAGCTGGTAGAAAATATGGTGATCCTAAATGCCATCATGTATTCCCTTGGGTAACTGACTTTAGTTCTCGAGCTGGCCTTAACTACCGTGACCTTACTAAATCAAAGTATAGGTTAAATAAAGGTGATCGGCAATTAGACTTGACTTATGATATTGAAGATGAGAAAACTTCTGCTCTGGTGTGTATTAGTACCTAGTTTATTTTTGCAATTAACATTATCAGTATATTTTAATGTTCTAGACCCCACATCATGTTCCTGATATTTTATCAGAAATAACTTACTATGTTTATCGATCCCGAATAACTCCTCGGTCGGTTCTTTGTCGTTATATTAGAACAAAATTTGTTCCTGAAGAGTATCCTTCTAGTATACAACGTATGCAAGAATGGTCTCCAGATGAATGTATTCCAGAATTTTTTACTGATCCATCAGTTTTTAAAGTATTACAAAAAAAAAAAAAAAAAATGATTATTATTATTGAGAATTATTTGTCATTTGTATATAATTTTTTTTATTTCAGTCTATACATAAAGAATTACCTGATTTGGGTATTCCTACATGGGCAGAGAATGTTCAAGATTTAGTAGATACACATAAAGCCATACTAGAAAGTAACTATATTTCTGAACGTTTACATCATTGGATTGATTTAACATTTGGATACAAGTAAAATATTACCATTATAATTGTAAAGAAGATTTATGTAATGATGAATGTACTTTAATTTATTTTTAGATTATCTGGTTCAGCTGCAGTAAAATCAAAAAATGTATGCCTTCAACTGTGTGATAATCATACTTATCTGTCATCATCTGGTATTGTACAACTATTTACTCAGCCTCACCCTCAAAGAGTATTGCCATCACCTTATTTTTCAAGAATTCCTCCCATTTTACCTAAATTGAGTAAGTTCATGATTCTATTAAACTTGCAATTGATCAGTCATGTATTTTATTATATTTAATAATTAGAAACTCCTCCAAATGTTGAAGAACAATATCTTAATACATCTTCTGATAATGAAACATCAGCAAATGATTTTACAAAATATTTAGATTTATCTAAAATACCACTTTGTGTAAGTACTTATATATATTTTTTATGCAGTAAAAAAGAATGATGTATTAGCTAATTTAATATAATATCATTGATAATTATTAAATTATAGCTTCCACCAGATTATAATCCTGCAACACCATTATTCGCTTTAGATTCATTAAATAATTTTTTAAATGGAGTATGTGCTAAGACATTAAAATCTTCTACTTCTGATGAATTTCGTTCAAAAGATATGATGTCATACAAAAAAATCATAGCTAATCGAAGAGCTCAAGAAATTCAAGTAATTATTTAATTATATTTATTAAATGTTATAATAATTATTAGATCATGTAACTCAATTAAAAAAAAGAAAATGGCGGCAATTTCTAATACAAATGATTTAGTTAATTATTAAAATTTTTAATGAAATACCCATTTCTAAACGTTTTATAAGACTTCCCATTTAATAAAAAAAAAAATTAAATTAGCTATCAACTTTTTTGATAATTTAGGTATATTATTCAAAAATTATTAACAGGGAACAAATAGTGTTGGCATTTTTCTAAAATAGTGCATACAAAAATTTAGTGATAAAAAAATGAATGATTTTAAAATCTCAATAATTGTGTGTTAAAACTTTTGATAAACAATTGTTGAGAGCAAATTTCCATGTGTTTTAAATTAAAATATTGTTATTTGAATAATAATTTTATATTTTCAGGTTTTGGGATGTTTAATTGTAGAATTATTTTTGGGAGATAAAATGATTGCTCATGGGAGTAATTTACCATTATCTTTTTTGAAAAGATTACAAATCTGCCGTGTACTAGCATGTACATATCAAAAAAGTCTTCCAGATTGTATTCGTCCTGTGGTCAAGTTACTGCTTCAAATCGATAAAATTCCTTTAAACGTAAACCCATCACCATTTGATTTTAATTGGTGCTCTGTTATTACAGATAATGGACTGCCACCACCAACTCCTCATCAGATCCTCATTCCTTGTCTCTCATCTTCGATTTTGCATTTTCCTAATTATTTTTCTAATATACACAACATATTAAGAATTTATTATGATTATAAAACAGTGAAATCAGAATTGGAGAGTGTCAAAAATTTATTGGAAGAAAATCAAAAATTTACTCTGGATATGTTTGATACTGTATGTATTAAGCTTATTATGGAAATTGAGCAAGAGATGTGTGAACTGAGTGAATCTGGAACACTTGGAATACTAGCTGATAGCACTTGGATAGAATTTTTAGTGCCAATGGTTATTGAACTTTTATCCGATTCTAATTGTAACACTTTAGCAGCTTTACATTTATTGGAACCATCATTTAAAGCCTTAGGTATGCAAAAATCTAAGGAATTACTTCTTAATTATGTAACAACATTGTATGAAGAATGCTTGAAAGATATCGTCCAAGAAAATATTCCTATTCATCAAAAATGGTTAAAACTATATCAAAAATCATTTTTAATGAAATTAATCTCTGGTTTTGGAACAAGAATATTCTTAAAATATTTTGTTCCTATACTCGTGGAAACAGTTGGGTCCGGATGTAATTTTAACAGAGCATGTCCAATTCCTATTCAATATCTTAAGTATGATTTTCAATTCTAAATTCTAATCATATTTATGCGCATTAAAAATGATACTTTTAACAGTGACCTTTGTAGCTCATTTACCTCATATGAAGACAGCAGTTCAAATCCTGTCACAGAAACCAATCAAGTTGTTAAAGTAGTTGAACATGGTATGTTGTCTCAATAACACCAAATCTTAGCTTATTTAATATATTATTTATAATTATAACTGAATTTATTAATTATTTTTATGAAGATACACTATCTCTAGATGATGAAGCTTTGACTAATAGTATAGTTTCACTTCAAGATGTTCTCTTGGATGATCAAGATGTAATAGTTGATTATGATAGACAAAGTGCAGATACTAACTTTAGTGATGATAAAAGTTTGGTTGATGTTACAATTGGATATGTAGAGGATAGTGAAAATATTTCTCCTTCTTGTCTTACTCCCGATTCAGAAAAAATCAGTTCTGAAGAGCATTTAAAGGTTGTATTAATATATCTGTGTGTGTATTTGTATTAAGTGATTTATTTGAAATTTGAAATTTTTGAACTGTCTAATTGTTAATAATTTTTCAATGTGTTTAGATATCAGAAGTTAGTGCAGATTCCCTTGTATGGGTATCAAATCGCATAGGTCCAGTACATACATCTATGTATATTACAAAAAACCTATTGAAAATGTTAATGTTATGTTACTCAGATTCATTACAAAGTGATGATAAGGCAACTATGGTCATTAATTGTTTAATGAGTATTGCAGGTAATATTACACAATATTCAACTAGTCATAACTTTTTTTGCTGCCTCTTAGATTTTAACCGACAAACTTAGTTACATTAACAAAATAAAAATTTGTTTAATAATTTAAGGTATTTATGGTGAACAAGTGATTTTGGTCCAATATTTACCACATATAAGTGATGTAGTGTCATTATGCAAACGTAGCAAAATGACCACGAGTCTTGAAAGTGGTCTTATTGGATGTGTAACTTTATTGAAATATCTTATGTCTTATTTTACCAACTCAACACTAAATGAAATTAGTCAAGTATGGGATAATATAATACTATAATATTGTTAGTTATAAATATATTGGTTTTTAAGGATACATTATGCAAAGGAATTATACATCCAATGTTAAGAATTTTATCATCTCAAAAAGTAATTTTTCCATCAGGGGGACAGAGTCGTAGTAATTTTGCTACGAAATTGTTTGAAACAATATATTTTTTTGGCCTTAAACAAGGACATCTAATTTCAAAAACCATACAACGATTGTTCTTAGTATTTGATAAATTGAGACATGTTGATCCACTTAGTATGGCTGATACCAATCCAAGGTTAGACATAAAATCATCAATTATAATTTTTAGAATTTTATTTTATTTTCACTTATAATTTACAGAAATCAAACCATGGAGTTAAACAATAGTGATTCTGGTGATTCTCCTTCAACAATTAGTGCTGATAAATCAAACATTAAAATAAAAGTCTGTAATACTAAATTTGCTTTTGAAAAAAATAATATATTTAATAAATATGTTAAATTAGGCTATGGAACAACTCTGTAAGGTTTTAACACCAAAATTAGCTTATCATTCTTATAATTTATTTGTAAAATACTATGGAGAATCATTTATGCAAAGGACATTAATGAATTGGGATTACATTAAAGAACTGTGTGTTACATATAAAGAAGAAAGAGTTTATTCTGGTTATGCAAATATTGGTATGTATAAATAATTACTACTACTGCAAATGCTAATATAATTAATAAGTTTGTTATTCACAAGCTGCTACCCTAAAATATCATTACATATTCCGTGTGCACATACATTTAGAACACACTATATTTTATTGATTGGATTTTATTAGATTGAGACTTTTTTACATACAATAGGGGAGTGGTCATTAAGCGGAGGCTCGTAAATAAATTATACCTGGCCCGCTAAAACCAATAATAAAATACATTAGTTTTTACTGGCAGAAACAGATATTATACTTGCCAAGCATATCTGATCTCTCGTATCCTAAAGTTTTAATGGGTATGCGGAGCGTGGTTTGTAAAACGCACGTTAGTGATAGTTTGTTCGACCCCCCCCCCCTTGACTTAATTCATGTTTTTTTTTATTTTTATATGATTATGGACTAGAAAAAAAGAACAGTTGAATTTTAAAACAGATAGTCTTTGCCTGAGTAGACGAAATTATATTGTTTTGTTCATCTGAACGCTCAGGGTTAGATTAACTTAAACTTATCAATTTGTTTGATTTACCACCAGACATAGCTGTTTTTTAATATTTTTAATTTTAAATGTCATTATAAAACTTAATACATATAATTTGCCCAACATTTTTTTGCATTTTAATATATTATAAACAGTACCGTATTTCCCAATTAACACTATTTACTGTTAATACCTACTCCTTATTAGCAAAGCTTAATTAATATTAATTATTTATAATATCAAAAAATTTTTGTACAGATTATAATGATAGTACAATACATTTTGAAGAACAGCTTGGAAAGCATCTTACTCTCAAGGGTAATAAAATTCATTTTCAGGCAAGTAATTGATACAAAATTGTTTTTTATTCATTTTTAAAATAATGTGTAAAGCTTTATCATTGATTTAGTTATATAATTATATAAGATACTAAATAGCTTAGATCATATACTATTTTAGGGTTGGCCAACCGGTCGATCGCGACACCCTTTCGTATTTTCTTGAGTTTTCGATTTTTTTTTTCAGAAAACAAATAAAATATATATATATTTTTTTTTTTGTATATCCCGTCAATATAAAAATTAAATTTAGAAAAAAGCAATAAATAACTATGAAAAACCAGATTATACGCTGAAATTGAGTAACTATCGAATAGAAACTGGTACTTTGTACGCTTACGTACCACGCATGTACATATAATACATAGGATGATTCAAAGAGAACGTAGGATTTAAATCTGCTATAAATTAAATTAATTTCTTTAAAAACAACATAAAAAATATATCATTCTCTTCTGGAGAAGTTAAGGTTTAACAGTGAAAAATAATATTGGGCACATAATCCTCCCTATTAGCCCTACGGGTAGTACCGTAAAAATTATAGGCGCAGGCAGTGCACAGCACTGGGGCCCACAAGGTCAAAGTGCCCATAGAAGATAGCCTTCAATTTTTATTTTTTTTTATTTGATTTAATTTGATTCTTAATTGTTGTATTATTATCTTGTCTTTTTTTTTATATAACAAAATATACAAGAATACTTAAGAGAAATACAAGAATAATTACTGAGCTCAGTAATTTCTTTTGGCCTTATTTGGACCAAATGAACATAAAAAATGTTTAATTTTAACTTGTCACACTTCAAGAGAAACAATCTCTCTGCTGCATGCAGTGACGGTGCTAGAGTTTGCGAGGCCCCGGGCAAAATTAATGTTGAGTATTATAATTTATATTAATAAAATATTTTAAGTTCAATTAAATCAGAACTGTGGGGCCCTGGAAAACTGCCCCTATTGCCCACCCCCTCGCGCCGTCCCTGGCTGCATGAGAAGTTCCCGGACGGATTAATCTCATTGCGTGGAGACCAAAGCTCGATCTTGCGACTTGATGCCGTGTGATTTTTTAACCAGTGATGGTAAATTTTATTGAAAAAATTATCATCTGTAGAGCTAGTAGGGAGGGTCATATGCTCAATATTATTTTTCGCTGTTAAACCTTAAATTCTCCTAAAGATAATGATATATTTGTTATATTTTTTTAAAATAAATACATTTAATTTATAGCAAATTTAAATTTTGCGTTCTTTTTGAAAAATTCTATATTTTTTGTTTACTGACAACCTTTTTTTTTTTTTTCTAACTTAGAAGTCGATCGCAAGTCTATTAAAGTTGGCCACCTCTATACTATATGATTTAATATGTCATATCTATTATGATATAGTTAATGATCTAAATTAAATAGTCTCATTATTTAGTGTGTACATCAAAAATGTAACATTCAATGTTAAAATTTCAGGATGAAGAAATAGAAGTAGCTGAAGATGCTAAGACCCTGGTAGAATCATCTAGGTATACTTATTTAACATTAATTATGTAAAAAAAATTAAATATTATATTTATACATTTTGTATGTTATTTGATTTTTTTGTTAACTTAAATTAAGAGTATAAATCAATTCTGAGTATCTGAACTTAAATATATTTTAAAACAATGTATATTTTATATTACATAACTGGTATTTATATATTTATTATTCTTTTTGTTAGGCATTTAAGAGGAAATTGGTTAGCATATTGGGAACATGAAATTGGGCGCAATAGTCGTGATACTTGGTTTAATTTTAAACAAATCAAGTTACAAACTTTTAGTGGACATCAATCAACAGTTAAATCTTTAAGTGTACTTGATAATGAAAATAGTTTTATAAGTTCTAGTCGTGACAAGACTGTTAAACTTTGGTCTTTAAGAAATCAAGTGAGAATGTCATAATTACACCATCTCATAATTTTAACTTGCTAAAAACAATATTACTTTCTATACCTAGGGTGATGGGAACAGTATTTCTCAATGTCAATACACTTATTCTAGACACCGTAAATCTGTATTATCAGTTGCATATTTGGAAAATCTTAGAATGGTTGCTTCCTGTGATTCTTCAATACATATTTGGGATCCATGGTGTGGTGGACGTCTCTTATGCTCAATGAATGGTATACCTGTTAATGTTCTTAAATGTCTGCCAACTCCACATCCAAATATATTAGCTGCTTCTACACAACCAACCTTACATTCTATTGATCCCAGAAATGGAAAGTCTGTAGCAGAACTTAAAGTAAGAAACTTAAAATTCTGTTATAAATTACTCTAAAATAAATATTTATGGTTTAATTATTTTTTTCTAGATATCTGTCAATGCCACTGGACTTATTAGGAGCATTGCTGTACCAACAAACGCTCACTGGGTTGCTGTTGGTCAATCATCTGGTTATCTAACTGTTATTGATTTACGAACTGGTCAAGCTTTAGCTAACTGGAAAGGGCATGAAGGAGAGGTTATAAATTATTAAAAAATATCAAATGTTTTTTTTAATAACTATTTTTAATCTTTAAGGTATTACAATTGTTAGCTGTTAATTCTAACACAATTGTTAGCTCATCTCTTGATCAATCATTATCTGTTTGGAATGTTTCAAATGGAAATCTTATCTATAATATGAGGTTATTTCTCTTTAAATACGTATTATACATCCAAATTATATTAAACTGATAATATTTTTAATAATTTTTTGTTATTTATAGAGGGTCACCTGAACCAGTTCATTGTTTAGGTCTTCACGGAAATGAATTGATTTCAGGTACTACAGCTAATCGTATTGGCATTCATACAGGATTTACTAGTGAAGCATCATTTTCCTCTACAAAAATTAGAGCTGATACATTTAAAGGAGTATTAACCACAATGTCAGTACTAAGTCTAAATCAATTATTATTACTCGGTGCCGATAATGGCAATATCACACTCTTATGCTAAAAGGTGTAATTGTTGGATACTCTCATATTTTATGTATACAAAATATTTCCTATTATTATTCTGTATGAACATTTATATTGATTATTTATACATACTTTTACTATTAATTTATTTTTTTAATTATTGATTTAAATATATATGTATAACTGTCATTTTAATTTAGTGATCTGTTTAATGTTAATATTATTATTTTCTTACATTTTAAATCAATAAAACTGTATTATTATTAAATGTCCATGGTCGTTAAATAAAAGGCTTTGTCATTTTACCCTGTTTTGAGGTAAATTAAATTACATTTTATAGTCATAAAAGAAAACATAACTTCATCTGATAATCAAACTTTTGATATGATTATTTTTATTGGTTCCATAATAGTAGATTTAATTATAATATATTTTTACATCAAGTGTTGAAAGGTCAACAAATATTGAATTCCCTAGAGATAATTTAAATATTTAAATGTATACATAATTTTTACTATTTTTAATCAATGAAATAATTTTAATAAATATTATTTAATATTATAATGATATTGATTTTTTTTTTTTTTGTATTACTCAGAGCAGGGTTTAAATTGTATGATTAAATTGAATTTCACTTCTAGAGGTATGCTTTCTCATAAAAACTAAAGAAAAGTCATATTTGTGGCATGTACATGTTTTCTTAAAAATGTTTTTCTATGACTAGATAACAAGCACCTCAGACTTATATTTAATGTGTACATAAATAATGAATACTCATGTTTTGGTTTAGTGAAAAATCTACTAATATACTAATAATTGAATGTTGTATATGTATATTAAACATAATTCATCCAAGCAAACAATATAATATTGTCCTTTTTTCAATTATTTACTAATTTGTCTTTCAGTCTTGACTAATTTGAAATTTTTTGAATATTTCATTACATAATGAATAAAGCAAGTTATATTTTCAATTTTGATTATTAGGTATATATTTTGATAACAATTTATTGTATTACAATTTTAAAAATTATTAAAATGTAAAATCAAAGAATTAAATAAATAAATGGTTTTTGTACATGTTACACTATTACTTATTAGTACTATCATTAACTGAAATTATAAATGGTATACATGATACTCTGTGTAACACTAGTTTATATATTATTTTGTATGATACCCTGAAACTTTATGTTATATATTGAAAAATAAATAGTTCAATATTTTTCTATCTTAAATTTTTTATTGTGATTGTTGTCTTTTACGTTTTCTGACTACTTTTTTATATGCTTTTTCCCATTTTGTACTCTCTTTATCATCATCGGTACCAGGTGGGTGAAGACGCATCTGGAAAATATTATTCTCAATTAAATTTAAAAAAAATAACTTACCATTATGAATTCTAATAAGCTTAAGAAGATAGATGCATCTACAAACTACTAGAAGAACAGTTTTATTACAATCTTGCAAGTTGTAATTTTCATCTATGATTTAGTTAACATCAATGTAGGTATTTCAATAAACATATAAATGTCAGTAAACAATATATTTGTGTATTAAATATAATTTTGCAGAAAAACGTTTTAATAATTCTTTAAAGAAAATAATAAATAAAATAAAATTATTTTTTGAATCTAACTATCAATAAGTGTTGGTCTTCATTAAATCATAATTCATAAATATAAAATTTAAATTAATTTATTATTGTTAATTGGTAAGTATTAATTATTTTGGGAAAATGCAATGTATCTGATTCTCGGCTTATGTAGTAAAAAAACTACATTCATTTCAATTTTAATGTAACTACAGTAGTTATTACCATGAATAATAGATAAATTAATATAAATGTAATGTAATGTTTTGGTGGAGTTGTGATTTGTACACCGTTATGATTTATTTGGTCTACAACAATGATCTTCTCTTAACTTATATTATTGTTAATATTTATAAAATTAAAATGTGTTGTATTAATATTTATATTATTATAGAAAAAATAAGCTATTATAAAATATACACCTTATTTTAATTAATATATAGTACCTGATTTAATATTTATATTGTAATTATATTCATCCCTTATTTAAATAATGAAAATTAAATGAATATTAATAAGCCCATATCTATGCAAAGTAATATTTTTATTCTATAAATCATTAAATATTTTTTTATAACAGATAACCATTGTTATTTAATAGTTTTTATACTTATGTAGCTATTATTTTAATTATTTAATTCAGCATTTTATTTTCTAATTTATATTTTATATTTTATATTTATTATATCTTACATATTATATTTAAAAGAGTTAATACTTTACCAAAACTATTAATAAAAAAAAAAAAATAATAATAATAATTAAATTTTTTAATTTTTAATTTAATAATTTAAAATAATAGGTACTAAGTATTAAGTGTTAGGAAAAATACCTAATTAGTAGTTTCTTAAAATAAACATGCAAAATTATAATGTTATTTACAAATATTAAATGTACATTATTAGGATCTTACAACCTCTTACATTACAGAGCATTATTTTGTTAGAGTTCTTATTTTAATCGTTATTTTCAAATAAGATATCCAGCTGTTTCTTCGATAATCTCTTCTGAAAGTTATACATATATATATATATATAAATTAATATAACTTTAATGATTAAGTTTCAATGTTCCATTGTATTTAGTTAATTATGTTGTATTCCAAAGTCTATAGCAAATATTTTATTGTGATTAATAATTATTGTAAATAATTATACAATATAATAAATGTATATTTTAATAAATATTTAATTAACATATTTACTATACACATTTTTACTATTAATGTCATTATAATTAACTTCATCTTACCATGATTCTGTATTTTTCCTTACAAGCATATTCAGTTTCATCGACATCTTGAAAACAGTCGGATTTATAGTCTTCAGGTAAAGGTTTTCCATCAAATTCACATAATTTTTTCAGTGGCCTTGAATGTACAAGCAATTTATCAAAACCTATAATGTTAAACATTCAATTTATATTCTACCTCAATAATAATAATTTTAAATAGTTTTTTACCACTTAGCACTTACCAGTAGGTTTATTTAAAGGACAATAAAATACATTAGGGGTTTTTTTGTCATACACAATCGATTTTCTCATCATGTCACCCGCTAGCACTGCATTCTAAGTAGGGAAATACAATTTGTATTATGTTAAATTTGTTAAGATAGGTAATACAGTTGACAGTTATTAATTGGTACATTGATATAATTAATAATTAATAAACACATCATTACATAGTAACAGGCGCGTACACAAGGCTAGGGGTTCAACCCCCTCCTTCCCCCGAAATTCAGGAAAGTTATTAAATATGTTTTTTAGAATAAAAAAAGATTTATCGATTATATAAATATGAAAATGTACATCAAAACCCATAGGCAGACATCAGGGGGAGGGGCTAGGGAGAGACTTAGCTATCCCAGATATTTTAATAATCCCCCCAAAATCGAAACTTTGTTAGAAATGTTATTCGTTGTTTTTATAATTATCTGTTTGTTTTTTTGAAAATCGTAAAATAAGAAATAATAAAAAATTATTTACAATAGCATTAACAATACCAATTAGTTCGGCTACTTGCAAAAGAAGTTTCAGTGCAATGATAAAAATAAAAACTTGGCTAAGAACATCATTGGTTCAAGATAGATTCAGCGATCTTTCAATATTATATATTGAAAAAGATATATCGAAAAATATACTGATACAAATAGATATTTGTCATTAAAATAAAATATGATTTATTTTTAAATATATGTTATTTAGTGTTTTATTAATACAATTTAAACATATCTATATTTTTAATAGTAATAAGTTTTACTTGTGAATGGGAAGAGGGTGTGGGGGTGAAAACCCTGTGGGTTATTTTACATTGAATTATTATAGCCCTCCCACAAACTCAACCAAATGTCCGCCTATGCCAAAACCTCCCTAAAATATTTTTTTGTATACGCGCTGGCATAGTAATATTAATTTAAAATTTAAATTTAATTACCAATATTGAAAACAGCACAAGTAATTGACAAGTTGAAAGATCTGAAAAATACAATTATTATAGTTATACAGTTCATAAAGAAATATTTTATTTTAATATATGAAAAAAAAATTCAATGAAATTATACACACAAATAAATTGTTATTATTATAAACATTATAGGATGAACAATATTAGAGTATATATCAATAGGGTCGGAACAAGGGGGTGGAAGACAAAAATTCATCCCCGGGTGTATTTGTAATTATTAACAACTAATTTGATATTTTTATCTTTGTTAAATACTGTTGAGTATGATTGTACTTTCATTATTAGAAAAAAAATTCTCGCGAAGAGTATTTGATTATTGGTCTATGATAGAGGGTAATTATAACATTTTCTCCGGGCGTAAAAATTCCTAGTTCCACCTCTGTATATCAGTGGCGTTCCGATAGGATGACACAGCAGGCAATGAGTCACGGATCTATAGCTATAGAAGGCTCATCAAAGAATGTTGAGAATTCAATATACAGATCTTTAGAAAATATTATGCTCTAGTAAGATTAAATTACTTAAAAATAAAATTTAAAAAAATTACTTATACACGCTTAGCATTAATGCTTACAGAACCCTACAGCCGTGGACCCCGAAGGCCACCACCACCCAATCGGTAGTTAAGCTATGGCCATATATGTAGTACACTATCATTGGAGGGTTAGGATGAAAGAGTAGAAGAGGGAAGTCTACCTTGAGTCCCATACCTTCAAAAAGGCCCGTCATCTCAACCTTTTAAACAAAATTATTTTATAATCCTATTGCCGTATTGTTACATAAGATGCAAATTTGAATATTTTTATTGTACAAAAATATGTACAGGTAATATGTATATCTTGACCAAACAAGTATAAGTAAGGGGGGCCTAGGACCGATCAGCCCCGGAGCCCTTAAAAGTTCTCACCGGCACTGATTTTCATGCAGCTATTATACAAATTTGCTTAAGCCACATTCTACTTAACTAATATAAGTAATAACCACAGAATAGAATAACTACGTTAAAATTAATATTCTTACATTATAAGTATCATGGGCGCCCGGAGGGTGGCAAGAGGGGACATTTGCCCCCCCTGCAATTTAATAGAATGTTGAATATTTTAACTTTTATTTTGATTTATCAACAATTTATCGATATTTTTACTTTAGTGTGTGCCGTGTGGTGTTGTTGTTCGTAATAACAATATATTATAAGGCGTTCCTACAAAATAATGCGTATTACATTAATCGCGCAAAATTAAATACGTTTCAATTCTGTGAATTGATATTAATCGCCTAGTGTGTAAACCACTTATGGCGATCGACGCACCACGCACACATAGCTTCAGTTTTTATTTAACTAATTTTTTAGGTTGTAAGGAATATATTTTTTAATGTTTTTTTTTGTGTTGGATTTCATATAATTCTAACACAATTTGTAGTTTACAAGGAATAAACTTTTTTTAATGCATTTTTTTTGTGTTTGATTTCATTATGCCCTCCCCCCTGATAAATTTCCTGCGGGCACCCATGATAAGTATAATACGTTTTCTGGACCATGGAAAATTCTTAAACGTGCCATATACATGACCATTACCTAATAATTCGACGAACGTTTATATAAAAGAACTAAATAATATGCCGTACCTATTATAATTTATAATAGACTACGACAGGGATATTATAAGCGTAATAAGCGTTCATAAGGGTGGAAAAGGAAGGCGTGCCTAAAAGTATAATTAAAGTTAATATTCTTAACTTAATTTAATACTAACATTTTTTTATAAATTTAATTCAGCAATCTTTTTTATCTTCGAACTCGGAGATAAACGCAGATAACGGGATATAAATAGGAGGTGGCACGAAAATTATTGTCAACTCAGTTCAATAGCGTTTATAATACGCGGCTTATTTTTCCCGGCCCCCTCCGTCCAACAAGCTAAACAATTACATGTTACGATTGAACCTCCCGAGCGTCAGTTTCACTGAAACGACGACCGCCGTAGAAATTACTAAAATAGTATTTTCATCGAAATAACTATTATATAGGTTTCAGATTTTTTGGTTTTCATTTTATAATAATAACGTTATCTTTTAAGAAATCACCTCCCTACTGGGTTTCCTCAGTTAATTTTTTTATCAGTAAATCATGTTTCCTCCAAGCGTGTCCTGCCCATACCAGTCTTTTTTTTTTATCTCTTTCAGTGTATTTGGTCGCTGAAAAAGAGATTACAGTTCAACGTGCAGTTTCCTTCATTAATTTGTCTGGGCATCAAAGTGTGCACCATACATTTTCCCGGGTACTTTTTTTTTCAAACACTGCGATCTTTAGTTTTTCAGTTTTTCTCAAAGACCATATTTCTGCTCCATCAGACAATGGGCCTTAACAAAGTTAAGTGCATCCTAACTTTTAAGTTCTTAGAGATTTAGACGGTTTATGGACGAATCTAATATGATGAATAAACTAATAAGATTATCCATTCACACTGTTACGGCATGGCACTGACTATTACAGCACGTTACGGTACGAGAAAATATTAAATGATTAGTTTATATAAGATAATACACATTGATACAGACGACACTACACTGTCATGTTATAGCACGGACCGGACCGATCTTCATCTAAAATGTTTTGTCGGTACGTGCCGGTGCAATATGAACATGTAGAACCAAGATCTTCTCAAGTCCATCATCCAAAAACGGATGTTTGGTGACCCCTCAGATGTCGTTGGCTATAAACTCCATCCAAAACATCCGGTTTTCTGCCGAGCGAATGGCTTCTTCTAGCGCATATCCAGGGATGGTCTTGATCTGATTTATCCAACACATTAGTGGTTTCCCGCGGCTTCTTTTCCCTTCTATTATCAGCTTCTCTAGGCTCAATTCATCTTTCCTTATGATGTGGCCAAAAAACCTTAGGATCCCCTACTTACACACCACTGCCAATCTTGTTTTCAGAATTTAGACCAGAATTGAGACGTTGGTCCTCTTTCCACCCGAGATTCTCAAAATTCGTCTGTAGGCCCACATCTCAAATGCGTTTATGCATTTTACATCTTTAAATTTGAGTGTTCATGTTTCGGATCCATATAGCATTACTGAGAAGGTGAGTACCTTAAGCAACCGCAAATTACTATTCTTGGAGATATGGTTATCCTTTCAAATTGGTATTAGCCTGCTGACTACTTCTCTTCCAAGTATAACGTGACATCTAATTTCTCTGGATGATTCGCCATCTGCTTGTACAACTGAACTTAAGTATGTAAATTCATCCACTTTCTGGTAGTCGGTCAGTATAATGATGTGTGGTAATACTCCTGATCGTTCTATAACCACAACCTTGGTCTTGCTCATATTGATTGTCAATCTATAGATACTTGTTACTTGCTTCTACAATTCACTTTAATAAGTATAAACAGCATACACCGATGATAAACAGTAACCCTTGATAGAAAAATCAAATAAAGCGCGGCGATTTACACTATTATTACGGCACTACAAAATATTAAATTATTAGTTTATATAAGATAATAGACATTAATACAGACGACACTACACAATCACGTTACAGCCCAGATCGGATCGACTGACCTACATCCATGTTTTGCAGGGGCGTATTTAGACTTACTTTTAGGGGGGAATTAAATTTTTTCTTTAATTTAGGCTCAAAATGTACAAGTAACATTTTTGGTAATATTTAAATTAGGTGAATCCTTAATATTTATGGTTTTTTTTTTTTTTTTTAATCTAATGCCGGATCCACTTAGAATCAACTTCTGTGTAGATCTTTTTTTAACACTTGTCTGTTTTGAACGTTATGCTTGTGTTTTATCAGATTTTTCACTAAGTATGTGGATCCGACAAAAAGCCCAATTCAGTTTTCACAGCCACGCCTATTTTGATTTCATTATAAAATGATCCACATTAAAAAAAATAGAAATGTGTATCTCACATATAATCAACTCCTGAAATACGGATTCAGGGGGGCTCGCCCCTTCACCCCTCTAAAATACGCCCATGATGTTTTTTCGGTCCTTGTCGGTGGAGTGTGAACATATAGGACCAATATTCACCCGGTGATAAATAGAAAAATTGTAATATTAAATTACAATGCTAAAATAGCTAACCATGTCTATGGTACGGTGATAAGGCTAGGGACATTTTATTATGTAAATGTAAAATCGTGAGGACATGTAAATTTAAAATCTTTATATTTTAGTTTTGCATATTTTTAAAATTTAAAAATGGTGTAAAAATAAAAAAAACGTAATCCTCTAGTTGGAAACATAGAGTTGCGAATTCATCTTCGCTTTTTATTTTTTTTAAAAAATTCTAGACCCAAATTGTTCTATTAAATATTTTTCATCTTCTTTATCATCTCATAAAACTGTTATAATAGCATCGATAAATTACAAAACATTTCAAACTTTGTATTAAACTGATGAACACTGAATTGGAGAGATAAAACGATTAGCTGCTTATGAAAACCAATATGTATTTGAAATTCTTTAGGGTGACGATATTAAGTGGCGGATGACGGTGAATGCCTGTTAATAAGTGTTCATAACTGTTTATAAGTTAATAAGCATTCAAGTGTGAATATAATTGTTGTTCGTCGTGTCATAACCTGCTGTAAACGGTCCGTACTGTGCCGCAACAGAATGATCGTGCTTAAGATGGCTACGGTTCAGCGCTGTACTTTTTATACCCATGAACATCTTATACATATAATATTAATTTGTATATAAAAGTTATACACTTTCATACATTACAAGGTACGGTCATAATATAGAGTGATTAAATATATTTTAAAGATTTTTATATCTTGGGAGCCTTGAATTGAAAAATCCCTCTCTTTTTAAATAACTTTTAACCAAAGTATGACAAATTCACAATTCTATACTAATACCAAATTTAATCACACACATTAAAATAAATGTGTGAAATAAAATAATAAATAAAATAAATAGCTAATAATAAATTTTATTTTTCTACACAGTTAATATATAAACATAAATATCGTGCATTTTAACTATGGATAAAGTGTTTAAATAATGTGTGCATTTCATATACATATACTTATACATTATGTGCTACCTGAATTTGAGTAATCTTCATTAAATCTTAAATATATTATTAACTAGTAAATCAATTTAATAAAATAATTTACCCATGTTTCTTCAGTTATAATCATCAATTGAAACGGTAATTTGTATTTTTATGCAACACAGTTATAATACTAATAGACAAATAGAAACCAAAAATGTTAGCAACATATGCAGCAAAACGCTAAATAAAGAATGTAAAAGTATACTGTTTAGTGTAGACTTCTATGACATCATATGTATACCTACGTCTGATTATGTTAGTACTGTTGTGGGCGTTAACCCACGTTACCTGACACAAGTAACAGGAAACCGGTTCTTTTAACAATAAGTTAAGTATGGAAAGGGAACATTCTAACTGATTCTTGGGTTCACTGATTTTCATTGGACCATAATAATATACCTACATAGACGTAGACATAAATATAGGTATTCTTCACTTCTGCAATCTAAAAACCAAAGCCACCGTTTGACGGTATTTGTGTACCTTTATGTTTTACAGTACTATAGAAAACCTGTGCCAATTAAAGAAAAAAAATCATAATTTAAATTAAGGAAAATATTGTAAACATTATACCATTGATTTTAGTTTATATTATTATTAGGTATTATTATAAATAAGTAACAATAATGCTTTCTTCTAAGTCCATTTTTAGTACCTATAATAAAATTTGTAAAAAATTAAAACAATATAAATAGTAATATGGAATGTACATCATATTTGTAGTTATGGTGTGGTTTTATCGTCGTCGGTTCGGACTTCCAACGACCACAAAAAAGTGGCTTATAAGTGTTCGATATCGACCCCACAATTGTATACCTAGTAGTGTGGTTTAGCGTAGCGTGGTTTTAATGTGATCCGTGAGTTAAACCTAAACCTTAGTCTAGAAAAAGTTTTTTACTTAACTTCTCTTTTTATTACAAATTCCCAGAAAATAAATTTAAAATAAGCTATGACGTTTATAATTGTTGTATATTTTTAGCCATTTAGGCTCCATCATAAATTTCATTCCAGATTCAGTGTAAAGAAACAAATTGAAAAGCATTTACTCGAAATATTCCGTCTTATTTCAATCAACGAATTTTACACACATCTATTACACCAATATAAACTGCATTATGTAATATAAAATAATAAGTAATTGCGTTTCAATATACTATTTTGCTTAAATAAATAAAATATCAAAACTATATTACTTTAAATATTACCTACATACCGCGCATTAAAACGTATGGGTTTAATTTTTCTTCCGAAAAAGAATATAACATAGTACATTTTATAGTACCTACATTGTAATACAATTATAGTACAATTTAAAAATCGAAGGCACATTAATTTAAATAATAATTTAACACACAGTGCAGTAAAATTATGTAAGTGTTGACATTGATTTAATTTTATAAAATTAATGATTAATAATAAAAGTTAAAGAAGAAAAGTTCTATAAAAAATAAAAGTAAAATAAAATAAAAGCTGAAGAAAAAGAATGAAGCAAAATGAAGGCAAAAACTAAAAATGTTAAATAAAATAATGGAGGTCATAGGTAGGTAGTTAGTTATTTACTCCATGCACGAATCTTATACTGTTTGCTTCCATGGGATGTATTAAAAATGATATCAGCAGTTTTTGTTGATTGCCGGGGCTTTGTTATCATTGATTTTGTAGTTTTCTGCATCGTGCATCTTTAGATTAAAACGTTTATATACTTTGAACAATTGTTAAAAAAAAAATTAGTTGTATTGTGTAAATTTATTGAACTATATTTGAAATGACATCATTTACAAATAAAAATATTTTAAATTTATTAAGAAATTTACCAAGGATTTCAATATCTAATCTGAAAAATAACGATGGAGCAGTTAAAAAAGTAATCATACCTAATATTCAATTTTTAATAGATATTTTTTTTGAAGACTTCTACTCTTAGTCTACCATCAAATAGAGGTTTTGAAATATAGTTATTTCTTTGCTAATATATGTGACCTAGCGTTTTAGTACTCTGATTTTACAAAGATAAGATAAACATTTTTATTTCTTAATTATGAATGCTTATAAGAGTTGCTTATAAGAGTAATTTCTGATATTACAACTTACGTAGATAAAAAAAAACAACAAGACTTCTTAAATTTAACCTATTTTCTAAAGCCTATAAGTATAGTACATCGTTTATTGGCACTCTTTTATATCAATAATAATGTCATACAGATATAAATTGTGTTTTAATATATTACTTTTCTAGTTTTGTTTTGTGCTATTACAAAATAAATACTTTTATATATTCTTTCTATACTTACTCACTATACATTTGAAACTTATACTTTGAATAAAATAATCATTAATTGCTATATCATTATTACGGTTTTAATATTGCTTACATTTTTTATATTTATATATTTATGAATTTGTTTTCTTCTGTATATATTTATAAATATATTTGTGTATAAAATAGAAGTAATTTATATTTTCAAATAACATTCATATTTTGGTGATACTTGTATTTTTATAAATTTTTATAAATTTGTATATCTATTTATTTATTTATAAATTTTAATTTAGAATCAAAGAGGCAGAGCTCAACATGGTGGTGATAAACACGGCCATGGAAATAAAGGATCAAAAGCCAGACAAAATTTTATGAGACCTGGCTATGAAACAGGAAATAATCCATTTTACATGAGATTCCCTAGAGAACAATATTACAAGGACCATCAGTATGTAATAATATATTTATTTTTCATAAAATCATTTAATTATTAATTTAATATTTGTATACATATTTAGTACTAAAAGACAATATCCACCACTTTCATTGAATTCTTTACAAAAAATGATAGATTTGAATCGTATTGATATTACTAAGCCTATTGATTTATCTGTACTATGCAACACAGGCTTGTACAGCATAAAACCAGAGGACAAACACTTCGGAGTAAATTTAATAGATGAAGTAAGATTTGTTTTATTTTAATAATAGTTAAGTTATTATAACATATAATTAATAAAAATTTAGTAAAATTGAAATAATGTAAAATGTAGATAACCCTCAATATAAACATATTGTCTGTAAGTTCTGTAACTTAATTGTAGAAGAAATTCATTAGATACTAAAAAATTATTTTTAAGAAATAGGTCTAAGATGCAATGTGTTAATTAAAAAATCTTAATGAATATAAATGGACTGCTATAATGAAAATAAATTGGTTAATTACTTATTTTTAGTACCCTGATGGTCCAATTTCTTACATATTTTGATAACTATTTGTCAGTCAAAATTTTACTTATTTGGTAAAATTTTGAATATTTTTATTGTATAGCAGGGGTCTCCAATTCAATGGGCACATACGATATCAAAAGCTCTTAGCAGACTAAAATTATGATTCAGCCAATATAGGTGATAATTGACATGTGTGCGCAATAACAAATTTATATTACACATGTATTTAGATTATTTTTTTGAAAGTTGATTAAAACTTGTTTGCAAGATATCATTTGGAGATCCCTGTAGTATAGTATTGATTTTATTATAATTTAATTTTTATACTACTTTAGGGTGCAGATATGTTCAAGGCAAAAATTAACATTGAAGTGCAATGGGCTAGTGAATCTACAATTGCAGCCATAGAAAGAAATGGAGGAGTTATAACAACATCATTTTTTGATGTTAATAGCTTATATATTTTAATAAATCCCAAAAAATTCTTCCAGAGAGGTTTGTTGATTCAAACATAAATTATGTGTGCTTTTTACTCTTATATTTATGAGGTTACTGTGTGTCAAATAATTGATAAAAAATTATTATATGATTCTATAAGTATTAATGTAGTTGATACATTTGTGATTCTAATTTAAATTTTCAGTCATGAATATATTATTAATTAAAATATATATTATTTAAATTCAATAATATACTATGCCAGTGGTTCCCAAACTTTTTTGGGTAACGCATTCCAAAACCTAGAAAAAAAAATAATTGAGCCTCAACAAAACAATACTTTTAATTATTTAAATATAAAATTATTGTCGATCTAAAAATAAATATATGGCAGTGTAATATACATAATAAATATTTGACTTATGCCTCGCAAGAGTGATGAGCCTTGCAGTTTGGGAACCGCTGTACTAAAACATAATTTATGAGAATTTAGGATCTAAAATTTGTTTTATTTAAACATACATATTTTCTAGAAATATCAGAAATTTTGTTTTGGTATTAAATATCTCCATTATATTATATTTTTTCTTGTAGTTAGTAGTACAATATAATAGATGTCTAATGAATTATAAATAATATATATATATATAATGTTTGCTTCTCTAGGATTTGTATTTAAAAGAAAACTGGAATATTTTAGCTATTTTGCTTAGCAACAAAAATTATGATTTAAATATGATTTTATGTCATTGATTATATTATTTATTTTATAGGGGAAGCAATCCCTAGACGCATGATTCCACCTGAAGATGCAATTTTATATTATTCAAGTGCAGCAAATCGTGGTTATTTAGCAGATCCTGAAAAAATATCTTGGGAGCGTTTTGTTCTATCTCAGAAATATGGATACAAACTTCCTAAAATTGAAGATGATCCAGATTATGAAATGCTTATTTCTAGAAAAGATCAAAGACAAATATTTTATGGTCTTGAACCTGGATGGGTTATAAATCTAAAAGATAAAGTTATACTGAAACCTATAGATCCTCAACTCAAAGAGTTCTATAAAAGTTAATTACAGTTGTAAATATTAGTATTAAATGGTTATGAATATATTATTATTTGATATTAATTATTTAGTGTATTCAAAAAATTGTACCTATTATAGTTGGGAAAGATAAAAAGTATTAATTACTGTAGATAAATTGCCATTTGAATTATAACATGATTGCTCTTTGCAAATTGGCATGCTGTTTCAGAATAAGTATTTATTCCTAAAGAGTGTTGTATGGAAAAATGAAATAACCCAGTGAGATGAAATGTGAATATATTTTTAAAAAATAATAGGCCAACAATTATCTATAACTAAAATAATTTTTAGTTTTTCAACACTTTTATGTTCTAATAAAATGAAATAGTAAATAATTTCAAACTATTATAATTTAGATACTGGACAATTTTGTGGACTTACTGCCATAATTAAATTGTTGTATTTGTCATTCATTAATACTTAAAAGTAAAACTAATTTTTATAGTTGGTTAATATAATTATTTATTGTTATTGTTAATTTTTGTTTTTGTTTATTTAAATATTAAATAAAAAACAAAGCATTTATTTTAACTATCATGGTTATTCAACTGAATATAAAATATATCAGACTTGATTAATGTTACCTTGTTAATACTTGTTTTAAAATGCTGAGTTGTACAATTTTGGTTTATAATTTACTTTTTTGAGTTTAATACAAATTGTATGGCCTTAAATGTTATAGTATACAAAAAAAATCATTTTTTGAAGTGCCATTTGTAATTAAAAAAACCAAGTCAACTATTGTCATCTATTTTTTACATTTGTATTTAAAATTTTAGGGTATAGGCAAAACCATACATTTTTAACTATGAAAATTTTCATTTAAAATACAACAACATTTTTTGGTCTTATAATAAAAGGTTTTGGTTTATTAATTATTAAAAAATAAATTAATATACATTGTTCAATTTTATAAGTAATAAATATATTACTTGGTTTTTTTAATAACTTTAATCAGTCCATTATAAGAGTTATAGATTTAATAGAAAAAATTTGAATTGAAATAATTAATTTTTTGTTTAAATAAAATTTTTATAGATAGTTGTTTTTGAAATCACGTTTAGATAATTCGAGAATACACTGATTAATAAAAAAAATTATCCATGTGTTTTTAATAAATTGCTATTTATTAAGTTAATGCGTCTAATTGGTATGTAATAATAACAATTTTATTTATGATAGGTATGAATTATACTACAATGGGAATACTTAATATTGATGAAAGTGATAAACATATTTGTTTTGTACTAAAAATATTAAAATAACAAATTAAATTGTTATAGTACAATCTAATTATTAATCTTTTCAACCAAAGTAAATAGAATGTTTATTAATTAGTTGTTCTTCTGTTTTTCCTAAACAATTTCAAAATGTTATTGTAATTACTAATTGCTATTAATTAAGTTTCAGTATGGATAGTACAGTATGGATCTTTTTTAAGACCACAACAATTATATTCAACTAAAAATCATAAAATAATTAAGGTTCAAAGTGTCCCACTACCTATATACATATGCACCAGTGTTGTTCTGTCTAAGAATTAATAGAATTAAGGATTTACTGAAGTATGGACATATTTGTTTTTATAAACTATAAAATTAAATTTATAGTTAACTGTATTTTAGTAATACATAGTGAATTTTTTATTAACTTGTTTATAGAATACTATGATTTTTATTGTGCAATGAATCAGACAATTTAATATTAACCAAAAAACCAAAAAAATAATCATTATTATTAAATAAACCATATTTAACAATATTAACCAAAATAATTGACTTGAAAAATTTTCAAGGTTTTTTTTCAATGAGATTTAATATATTATTTCAAGAGGACACTTCTAATTTACGTCCATGTATATCACAATTTTAATGATAATCCCTAAAATGACAGTAATGTATATGAACAATGATGGTAAAATTTTTACGCAGTATTCACAATGCATAATTGCGATAAAATTTACTATTAAAGTACTTATCTAACCAAATAACTGCGCACGCAGTACATATATTATTTTCTTAAAATAAATTGTATATTCTGTGTTATCGCTTAGTTATTTAAAATTGTATAATTATAGTTATTATATATAAATAGTGCAACATTGTATTATTGCGATAATTTTTAGTAGGTAATATGTAATTTTTAGGAAACATACTAAACACTAACGTCAACAAAGACAAGTGAGAATTTCTTTAATGACCTTGTCAACATTCTGTATGCGATACGTGATAAACAAAATGATACAATTGATATTCAAATAATTCAATAGACAAATTTCAGTAGTAGGTACATAGTTCGTGTCTAATTATTATCAAATATTATTAGAACAACTTTTGTGATAATGTAAAATATTTTCTACTCATTTTACGAAACCCTAATACATATTCATCATGGCGGTACTGACTATTGATATCTATTAACTATCGTACTGTACATTTTGGAAAGTAGCTTAGTATCTTTACTCAGTTGTAAGTTATAGTGCTTACAGCTTTGTTGTAAAATACTTTTTATTCGAAATAACTGACTAATTAAATTGAATTTATGGTTTAAATCTTTTGTACTCAGTATTACTTAAACTAGTTGATTGTGTTGCATCACATTTGTTTACAAATTAATCAATTCATTATTTTATATCTAATTTGTCATCTTTAAGCATTGTTGCAATAATAAATAAAATAATAAATAATAATGGACAACTTTTATGGAAATTCATATCAAAGCAATGGAGATGATCAAGATTTTCAAAAATTGGCTCAAATGATTGGCACTAATATTCAGAAAATATCACAAAATGGTAAGAATAGTATATTAATTGAAAAAAAAAAATTTGTATCAACATTTAAAAAATGTGTACAGTTAGTTTTTTGTAATATGTTGTGTATTTTTGTATTCCTATTAAAAACACATGACTTAAATGTTAGCACATTGTTGAAATAGTATTAAATCAACTTTTATTATGAATCCAAGAATTAAAATATATCAAAGGTAAATATAAACAGTAGTGAAAAATATATTTTTTAAAAGGTTTGGTCATTATTTCTTTATGTTAACTAAATATATTGAAATTTGATAATAGTTCTATTACAATTCTCTGTGTAATTACATATTTTAAACATATGTTATGTGAAACGGCAGATTTATCTTAAAAAAGTATTAATAAAATTAGGAAAAAAATATATAGAATCTAAATCATAACTTATCAATGATTATAATATTCCTTTCTTTAGTTAAAACAAAAAACTTAATTCTTTATGTAAGTTCTAGGATTTCAAAATTATTTTTAATAATTTTATTTAGTATCTCATCATTAATTTTCATGATCATTCTGGTGTAAGAATTATTTGCTTATAATATTTTATTTTCATATATGAAAAATGTTTTATAAAATTAAATTGTTCTAATTTTAATTAAATACTTCAGTGTTAAAAAGTATAACCTATATTAAATGTATACAATTTATTCTATCTGTTAGAATAAAAAAAAAAAAAAATAGAAATAATTATAAGGTAAGAAATTGAATAGTCAGTAAATAGTATATACTTTATTAAACATTAAAAATACACAAATGTTTTACCTTTTCTTATAATGACATGAGTTATTTCTTAAAATTATTATTAATTTATTAACTTAAATATTCTTTTTGATTACAAAAATAAGATGAATTAAAATTTATTGTTCACAAGTAAGTTATAAATTACTTTTTATAAAATCTAGACAAAAATTGTGAAGTGTGAACTGTAAACTTTTTTATGCTTTCACACATTTGCTTTTTATTTGTGTATAATCCTTTTACCTATTTAAGAACATACTGCACTTATCTATTTTATTGCTTTTACCAATTTAAATATGTATAACCTTTGGTTTTAATTAAAATAAGTATTAAATTAAATAATTAATTTTGTTATAGTGTCATCTATGAATAGAATGGTAAACCAATTAAATATCGTACAAGATGCTACAGAAGTTAGAAAACAATTGTAAGTTAAATTTATAGTATAAGTAACTCCCTTAAATGTTTAATTTTAATATTAGAAAATTTCAACAGATCAAAAGTATAATTTATTCTAGAATATTTTATTATTCAATAATATTGTAACTATAAATTATTTTTTTGCATTATATATAATATACAATACATTTAGTAAATTAGTCTTTAAAGTTAATTCTTAAAAAATTTCAGACATCAAATATCACATTATACACAGCAGCTATCAAAAGATACAAGCCATAACTTAAAAGAACTCAATGAATTACGACCATATTCTTCTCAAATAGATCAAGTATATAAAATGTAAAGTTTGATTTGTATTTGTTTTAATGAATTATTAATTTTATTAAGAGGCAATTCAAAATTCAAAAAGAGCGTTTAGCTGAATCGTTTACATCTGCTTTAAATGCATTTCAATCCACTCAACGTAGAGCGTATGATAAAGAAAATGCAGAATTAATAAAGCGTACAAAAGCATCTGCATCTACAGGAATATTCCCACCACCTCCGAGTTCTAAACATCAAAATGGTTTGTTAATAAATTAATAAACGTCTAATTAAATATAATTATTACAGAAATAACACTTTGTATTTCTATTTAGGTTATACAAACTCAGTTGATAATCAAAACGATCAAGCTCAGTTACAAATTTTGGATGAAGTAAATTTACAAGTGGTTGAACAAGAACAAGCTATTAGACAACTTGAGGTTGGTGACAAAATTACTATTAGTAAAATTTCATTAAAACTTGCTTAAGATGCTCTTCAAAGGATTAGCTGTTTAGAGTAATTTATGCATAAATTAAAAAAAAATGCAACTATTAAAATCAAATTTTCTTATAATATATTATTATTATTATTTTGTATTGTTCTTTTTAGTTTGTATAAACAAAATTATGTATTTATTTTTGTTTATTTGAGTTTTGATGAGATTTACTACATAAACTAAAGAAAACTATTTTGTTAACATAAAATTTTTTCCAAATTCCTAACCAAAGAGCATCTTATTCAATTAGATAAAGAAAAATCAAGTGTCTTAGGTGGTTTTACATTAACTAGTTTAGAAAATAATCTAAGAGTTTCTACAAAAGAGTGTCTTATACAGGAAAACATGGGCGTAACTTGGAAATTTATTAGGGGGTGGAGCAAATATATAATTACATATCTAACGAAAAGAGTGTCTGCGGTCAGGGTTGGACTAGCTCTATAGTTCAGCCCGGACAAAATAATTTTAAACGGCCTCAATGGAACAATAAGTACTATAATAAATGGAATAAGTAGGTACCTAATCAAATTATTGTTTAACTGAAAATGTATCTTCGTAACAAAAAACAATATACACACAAATACATTTGTATATCTTCAGATTTAATAACCTTAAATAAATCTAGTTTACGCATAATATATCTTATCTATAATATTGATATAATGACCTATTTATTAAGATAAATTTCACACCATAAAAAATGATTTGATTTAAATATATTTATACATTTGATTTTAATTGAGTTAGAACAATGGGGTTGCCAACTAATGTCTCTTTTATGCGGCCCACAGTAAATTTCAAAACTAGCAAATGTCATTGAATATCATATAAATTTTGTTTACTGTTTGACCCTAGAACCATTTTTTAATTTATGAATGTGTCCTAAAGGTCCATAAAGGTTGCCGACTACTGAGTTAGAACATATTGTTTTTAATAAAATAATTGCTTACCAGTAATAATTGACTTGAAGTCAATAGAAAGGTTGGAAACTAGTAACAGACTTGATATTGACTGAATGTCAAAACTATTAAAATGTTTTTAAATAAAAGTCTAATAAATCTTATAAAAATTATTATTATTGAAAAACAATTTCGTTATCACATATCTTGCACGACCATGTCTACCCATACCAACATTTTCTTTTAGTTAAATGTTGTTTGAACAAACACGAACGGTATGTCGTATGATTAACTTATTGTACACATTTTTTGTATTCAAAGTTCCTAAAATTTTTCTATTTATAAATATTGTGTTGAAATCATTGTTATCAATCAGCCAATTGCGACATTAAATATGTTCAATTTTCAAACTCCGAGTTATCTAATCCTGTGTCACCGCATCCATTAGTAATGTCATGTTACGAGGCGATATTTTTTATTTTATTTTAAGAATAGAAGATAGACGCATTAAATTAAAAACAAAAAATCTAAGTAATTTTATTTAATCAAAATAACAACAGCCCTGGTGTCCTGGTGGTCTAGTCCAACCCTGTCCATGGCTAAATGCCGCTTTACTACCTACATATTATTATACAAAATTATTCATTTTCTAACATTATGTTAGATAAGCAAAAATTTAAAATCAAGATTTAAAAAAAAAATTATATAGTAATAGCTATAACCAACTATTTTATACTTATTTTAAAACAAGGTATGTTAAATATCAGAAGGAGCTCTACCCCTCCTTATTTATTCCAGGGGGGGCAATTGCCCCCTCTTGCTCCCCTCCCAAGTTTACGCCTATGCAGAAAAATATCTTAAGTGAGTTTCACTATATTTATATTGAATCATATATTTTAATTTCAATTCATGTTAATTTCAATATTTTTAATTTAGAATGATATAAGTGATGTAAATCAAATTTTTAAAGAAATTGGTACCTTGGTTCATAATCAAGGTGAGATGATTGATAGTATTGAAGCTAATGTTCAAATCACTAATGTATCAGTACAAGAAGCTACTAGTCAATTGAGGCGAGCAACAGATTATACTGTAAGTAAAAGATATTTCAGTGCATGTAATAAAATGTTAACAATAATTTGATTTTCTAATTTTAGAACAAACTCAGAAAAAAACGCTGTTATTTATTAGTTGTTTGTGCCGTGATTTTATTCATTATTATAATGACAATTGTTTGGGGCTCTAATTAAATACATTAGTTATTCTTTATGGTTAATATTTAAGTTATTCCATTTTGTTAATCTGTAAGAAAAAAGTATAATATATATAGTATATGTATATTAAGTTGAAATAATATGTTAAATAGTATAATAAAAATGTTATTCAAAAATTTATAATATAAAATTACTGTTTATTTATCTTGTTAGATGGATGTATTACAAAACTGCTTAAGATTTTTTTTTTTTCAGTTGTATTTGTTTTTATTTTAAATTATTATTTATTTATATATGTAAAATATTACAATTAATGTAACACACTGTATAATAGTCATAAATACATAATCATACTTAAATGATTATTTATTATCTATCGTATAATATAATTTTAATTATATGTCTTGAATATATAATAACATTTTAATTATTCAAGCACATGATAAAAACATATATTTAATAAAAATATTTACTCAATTATACATAAATATATTTTATTTTATATCTTTGTTACTGTATTTCATTTATAGCAATCGTGACTTATCCTATTTCTAAAAAGATTTTAATATATTTTATTAAGTGATGGTGTTAATACTTGAATATCTGAAATTAGTTTCATACTTTTATTAATATCTAATCAAATATTTTTGAACTCTTATTTGAATCATTGTGTTAATGCTTAAATATATTTAACATGTATGAGCTTTTTATGGATTTAATGATATTTGGTGTTTTATTTGAGAATTTAGAATTTAAAATTAGTTCAGTAAACAGTAATTAAATTTAAAAATATATAATATTATAATTTAATTACTTTGCTTTGAAAGAATGACATATAAGTTATAAGATTAAACTAACATTTAACTAGTTTAAATTGCATGAAATGTTGTGATAAGGGATGCTGTCACGTTCAAATTTATATATTTGGTATTTCTTGGGTCTTAAAATAACGTAGAATCTGGTATTTAAATCACATTGAATGGTAATATCACTAATTATAATATAAAAACTACAGATATTATATCAAATATAATGAAATATAATAAAATTAATTAAATTGAAAATTATGTATGCATATTTATTATTAAAGATTTTCTACACTAATATAACGAACAATTATGGTATTTATAAAATTTTAGTTAAAATAAATTCAAAGAAACAAAGTGTTTACATTTTTAAAATTATAATATATTTTAAATTTTCAATTTTTTTGTCAACTTAGGTTTATGAAAGTTTATTCTTCATAACAAATTTATTTAATCGAAGATAAAAATGCTTTGGCTGATGATACAATTAATGTTTGTATTTCACTAAAAATTACAAAGTACACTCCTGACATCAACATATCATCTGCTAAGAAATAACATAAAATAAAAATAATATAATAAATCGGCAATTTAATTTTTAACGTCAGAAAAAAATTATTTTCTTTGAACACTTGAATGATTTTCAAAACATTGAATGGAAAAATTTGGTTCACCATCCCTGGAATAGATACTTTGACCCACCAATAGGTTAAATTAGGGGATATCATAAGAAGCCAATCAAATACATTTAATGCATAACCAACCTTGGTTGGGACTATTAATTACTACTAGTAAAATGGTTATTATTATTGATATTAAGATATTAATCAGGGCCGGCTCAAGGTATAGGCGAGCTAGGTATCTGCTTAGAACGACACTTTAATGGGGGCAGCATTTTCAAAATTGACTCGTACGTTTTTTTTTTATTTCTAACGGTGTTTTATAAGAAAAATGTTTAAATTAATTCATCCGCGAAAACCACTCTTTATTATCTATATAATAAAACAATATTGTCTAAAGTTATAGGAGTTACCAGTTTCTACCAAAATAATATTGACCGTTTCCGCCATAACTTTTTTCCACCAATAACGAAAAAGGTACGATTCCCGTTTCTGCCAAAAAAAGTTTGGAAGCCATTGGTTTTAATTTTTGAGCAATATTGGATATATGTGTAAAAAACATTTGTAATATGTAAGTACACTCATAATCTTCAATAATTATTGCTAATCGTCGATATTAACGGTTTAGATATTAAATTATCAAAATATATATATATATATCAAATCAAGACTGTATCTAGAAATTTTTTTCGGGAGGGGTCCAAACATGTATATTGTAATTTCATTGAATTTAGATTTTAACTGATATTTGGTTAAAAATAATAAAATAATATTTTCATATGATATTATAATATAAAACTAAAAGCTGTCAATGATTAATTGGAGCTTAAGTCATTTTTGATTGAAAATATTTATGTTGGTATTAAAAATAAATAATTATTTTAAACATTCGTAAAATATTGAAGACATTTCGGGGGGATCCAGACACCCTGGACCACCCCCCCCCCAGATACGGCCTTGTATCAAATATATATATACCAAAATATATCAAAATTAACAGTGCTCAAAATAATATTAAAAAAATTCCAAAAAACAAAAATATATTAAACCGATTAAAAACTACAGAAGATGCAATTCCAAAAAATAATTCCAATGAAATTAGTAGGTACACTTTTGTCAAACCTGTTTCCTTTAACTATAAGATTTTTTAAAACCTGACCTATTCTAACAAATTAAATTATTTAATACTCGACATATACTTGTATTAAAATGTATAATGAAAGAATATGTAACAATTGTACATGGCTCCCAAAATTTCTTTCACAAAAATACATATTAGTGGAAACGGGAATCATACCTTTATCGTTTCTGGCGAAACAGGGTTATACGTAAATCAGGGAACGGATTTTTGGCGGAAACGAGACATGCCCGTCACGATAGCAATAGTGATGTGTTTTAAATGATAATTATAGAAATAATTTTTAAGTCTCTGTACATATATCAAGAAAAAAATTTGAATGTTTTTTATGTAGATATGTTACATAAAAAATACGGGGAAGCTGAATTTTTTTTTTTTTTTATAGGCGGCAGAATTTAATTTCGCTTAGTGCACTATTTTTGCTTGTTCCGACCCTGATATTAATTATAAATAAAAATAATTAAGTACTATTACAAATGGTTAATAAAATAATATTAACTAATCAAAAATACCTACATAGGTACCAAATTACTAATATTTTTTTTTATAAATTTCATTTTGAAAAAAAGTTTTTCTTCTATTCATTAATTATTTTTAAAAACTGTGACGGGACAATACTATAACATTTTTTACGAAATGTTCAAAAATATAAATTCACTAGTGACATCTAGTGAAATTCGTATTTTTTGTTGAACCTACCAACCTTGGTCTTTTTAAACGTCAAGATTATAAGGATATACATTTTATTATTATTTATTTATATTTATTATTATTTATATTTATTTATTAGGATATACATTTTTTCAGTGTTGTTGAAATGATCCAATCGTGAAACGGGACCTGATTGACACCACAGAAAATAACACCAACATTATTAACACGTATATGGTTGGCATTATTTTTTTTATTTATCACCATTAACCAATTTTCTAAAAACTGATAACAAATAACCGCGCCATGTGTTATTTTCTTTCATTGTATCATCGTTTTGGAAACTTGAATTCCATGTGGTTGTATATTTGATTTTTAATAACTAAATTTATTAAACATTTTAAAAGTTCTATAAAATTATGACGGACATCACAGAAATGGAGCGTATTTTGATGCGCTTATTAGAGCCAGATAATGAAGTTATACAAAAAGTAAATATCTTAAAATATATCTAATACATTTAACTGTTAATAATTGTATAATTTTTTTATATATACTCAGGCTACTGAAGAACTAACCTTAGCTTTAAAAAATCCTCAAACATACGTTATTCTTTGTACATTGATTGGTACTAGTAAAGATGATAAATTGAAAGAGTATGCAGCTCTTGTATTGAGAAAAAAATTATATAAACGTAATGCATGGATGAATGTATCTCAAGAAGTCCGCCAACAGTATGAATCCTTCAAAACTTGTTCTTATTATTTTTACTTATTGTTCAATGTATCTATTGTAGAATAAAACAATTTTTGCTCAAAACTATTATTGAAGAACCTAGTCTCCAGGTTAAAAAACATATTCTTCAGCTAATAGCTGTATTAGCTAAACATGAGCTAATGAGAAGTAATTGGAATGAGTTATTTGCTTTTATAGAAGCGTATGTTCAAAGCAATGATATTAATGAAAGACAAGTAAGTATCTACATTAAACAACTTTATTTATTTAATTACATAATTTAATTTGATCGTATGTATTTTATATAATTATTGTTATTATGATTTACAGTTTGGTATGTTTGTGATCAGACACTTATCTGATTATATTCCTCAAATGTTTGAACCACATATTGCAACATTTGTGAATTATTTTAATACAACATTAAGTAGTACTGAGGATTGTACTTCTCCAATAGTTTATGACACCATTACTTCAATGAATAATATTTTAGAAGTATCTGTCCAAGCTCCCCAGGTATGTGAATTCATTAAAACTGTAGAAACTATTATAAAAAAAAATTATATTTTAGGTCATGCAATTATATTCACAATCTGTTCCTCGTGTACTAGAAGTTATAATTGTTCTGTCAACAAATAGTCCAGACAATGCCTGTGATTGTTTTCAATTACTTGAATCTATGTGTGAATTTTCTATTCAGGCTTTGATACCTCATTTAAAACCAATTGTTCAAGTTTCTGCACAGTTAGCTGGTAATAAAGATATAGATGAAACTTTAAGATGTAACGGAATCAATTTAATTTCAACTATTATTCGTAGTAAAAAAAAGGTAAGTTTTGTTTAGTACTCATATCAATGATTAAGCTATTATATATTTGTATTATATTAAGGTAATTATATTATTACTTTTTATATATTTGTAATACATTTATAAAAAGTATCTAATGTATATCAGTTGTTTATGATTTTCAATTTTTAAGCAAGTATTTAAGTAGTAAAATTTTGCATACTTAAAAATTAGCTTAAAACTGTAAAAAAAACCTGAGTACAGATACAGATCATTTTCTTTCCTTAACATATTATAATTTCATATTAGGTTATAGTGCTTAAGGTTATAGTTTGTATAAGTTAGGATCTTAAAATGTTCAAAATAAAACTAATTTTTATATCATTACTATATTTATTTATTACATTTATTCATTTATTGTTTTGTTCTTTATTTTTAGATTTTAGTAAAGTTGAATTTATTGCAACCTATAATTGAACTAATGTTTAGTATTTTAAGTGAAGAATCAGATGATGATACATGGTTTTTAGAAGAGTATGGCTTAAATCCAATGAGCGCTGCAGGTGATTGTATGGCAGCTATTTCTGATGAAATATCAGCATCCACTTTCATGCCAATATTGGTAAATGAATAAATCCATTTAGTTTTTATTATTTGCATAATTATAATTATATTTCAAGTATGTAGTATTTATTTATTAGTATTTAGTATTAATTATTTTTTTTATCATGATGTCCCTTAATTTTGATTTTATAAATGGAAGAAATTTATGATATTAACAACAATAAATTTAAATAAACTAGTATAATTCTCCCCATTGGTAAAGGTTTTATTTTATTGAACTAGAATAATATTTGATAATAATACGTTTTAGATAATATATGTTTACCTTATTCATACTTTTTGCTTAATAAATATATTTGAAAAACAAATTATTAGGATAACTTATCAAAATTGACAATTATAGGAGCGCAACTGATCATACCATAATACAGGGTATTTAACAAAGATTTTCCCATTACAATATTACTTTGAAAAAAAAAAAATTACAATAGACATCACTATAACCTACCACCTGGAAATGCTATTGTGCAGTGTTTCAGGTGGTAGATGGTCTTAATTTATTGATCTTTGCTTCATTATTTTAGGTGACTGCAGGACAATCCCCCACAGTCACAACCTTACAACTTAAGCCATATTTCCTGAAGTAATACAGATAAATTGAAAATAATTGAAGACAGCCTTTTTATAGAGATAATTATTTTTATTATTTTTTTTTTTATTTCATAGAAAAATAATGTATTATTTAATACTATATTATTGTTTTCAAATCATCTAATCTCATATTCTGATCATATTCCCAAAAATTAAATCTAATAGTTTTTTTTTAATTTTTCACTAAAACAATTGAGTTAAAATTATTAGGATAAGTTATTATTATTATGAATTAAAAAATAATTATTCTCAACCTGATAAGTCCTATTAATTAAATATAATTTGATTATCTTTATTGCCTCTGAATGAATTGAAAGAAATTATATTTGTATGACATTGTATAATTATCATGTGTTTAAAGATTACATAAGTAGGTGGGTACGGATCCCAATCTTTAACTGAGTTTTAGTTAGTTTGGTTTTCAAACTTTTTTTTATTAAAACCATATATTTTATGTTATAGTATTTACTAATTTCTAAAATTGTAATTTAAACTATTATGTTGAGTTAACTATTTTCATATTTATGACCCGGTCTTTGTCATTTTAACATATTGAAAAATTAATTAAAAATTATCAGTCTTATCTACATTAAACTTTTTTTAATAGTTTGATTCACATATAAGCAATTTAAACAATTTATTTTACTTGAGATTTATTTTTTTGGACTAACTATGGACTTATTAATGTATTTTATTTATTAAATATATGGCATAAAAAATAATATTGTCTATATTGTATATCCAATCAGTATTATTTTAATTTTGATTGATAAGGAAGTATATCATATTTACTTGTTTCTATTATAAATAAAAATTTTATGATTTCCTTATATTAATTCTACATTTATATTTATTTTTTTTTTTTTTTAGATTAAATTGATTGATGCAGCATATACTACTCAAGATCCTAATGCTCTTAAAGCATCTTTTATGACAATGGCTTTTGTGTCTGATGGATGTTCTGAATACCTAAAAAAGAGTTATCTTAAACAATTTGTAACTGCAATTAAAATGGGATTAAACAGTTCAAATGAAACAGTTAAATCAGCAGCTATGTATGCTTTAGGTGAAGTTTCTCAATATGTTCAAGTAAGTAAATCTTAAATTTTGATTTATTTAAGCCGACAATTAGTATTGAAAAGTAAAACAAAATCATATATTTTATTACATTTTAGCCTCAAGTTAGTATGTATGCTTCAGAAATACTACCAGAGTTATTGAAAATGTTTAAAGAAAAGTTAATAGTTGATTATACTAAACCAGAGTGTAGTTCTGAAGTACGCATGATTTTCTATGCACTTGATAAATTCATTGATAGTATGGAAGGTGGAATTGAAGAATATTTACCAGAAATGACCACAATAGTATTAGATATTATAAAAAACGAACAATGTTGCATTGAACTTAAAGACAAAGCAATTACTATTATGTGTAGTATTGGTAAACTATTTTTATTTTTAAATTTTTTAAATATTTTTTCATTATTTCATTATAAATAACAATTTATTAAGCTATATGTACTTTATTTAGTTAAGTCAGGTGGTGATTCTGTTGCACCTTACTTTATTCCGGTTATGGAAAATCTTAATGTTTATTTAACGCCTGGAATAGATACTAAACTTGAACCTCTGCAGGTCATGGTTATACGTAAGTATTTATGAATTATTCAAATAATAATAATTTTTTTCTCTCTTGTATTCAGCCTTATGGTTAGTTTCATAGACATTTTTTTACTGTATATTATTTTTTATATTTAAATTACTATTTTTTAGAATTATTATCTGAATTTGTGGAAGCTCTTGATCCAATTGTATTTGAACCTTATTTGGATGCTAGTTTGAAATGTGGATTAGCTTTATTACAAGCAGCTAAGGATGATCAACCAGAAGTTCGTGCCGTGTGTTATGGTCTTTTTAGTACTGTGGCCAAAATATCTATTAACCATTTAGCACCATACATGGAAGTTGTAATGCAAAATGTTTTAACAAGTTTAGAAAATAGCTTAATTGCTAATAATTGTGTGAATTTAGAGGTTCTTATTTCTAAATTTTTAATTTTTTTATTTTTAATAATTAAATAATTAATTTCACTAAAAGATATTTTTACTTTCAGAAAAAAAGTTTTAATGCTTATAACAGTGATGATGATGATGATGATGATAAAGATGAATCATTAGAAACTGAAGACGATGATAGTAATGATGCTGATAGTGATAACTGTAAGTAGTTAAACCAATTTTTTATGATAAATCATTAGTCTATTTTTATGTTAATTATTAGGCTATATTGATGCTCATGTAATGGAAGAAAAAGATAATGCTTGTCGAACAGTTGCTCAAATTGCTCAAACCACAGGGTAAGAATACATAATTTAGAACTTATTTACTAACTACTTTTAAAATATTTTTAGTAATATTTTATTAATATTACATTTTTGGTTTTTATGTTAGGGAACAATTTATACCTTATTTAAATAAAAGCTTTGAAGTAATATCAAAGTTATTAGATGAAGATGATGAAGATACTATCGATTCTGTACTTGAAGCATATGGACAACTTTGTATTAATTTTTCAAAATTATCTGATAATAGTGGTCAAGAATGTAAGTATTAGAAATAATTTTTGTGTATTTATTAAATGTTAATGTTGATAGTAATAACTCAAAAATAGTTGTACTTTAACACTTTTCCAAATATTGTTTTCTAAATATCACTTATCACATTAATAATATAAATATTAAATATATAAAATACTGATATCTTAAATTTCTATTAAAAATTGAAATGTATATAAAAATTTAATATCTGTATTTTACGGCCTAATTTAATGTTAGGTTTTTCAAATAACGGGAAAACTTAACAGAAGACACTTTAATAGTTTTAGCTGCTGCTTTTTTTTGGGCTTGTAGTATATGAACAGTTAAGTATATTTTTATAGGTTGTAGGTACTAAGAATAATAAAGGTAACAAAGTAATTTGATTTATCTTGTATGTTTTTTGTGTAAAAAAAAATTGTATCAAATAGATAGATAAATTAATTATTTTAACTTTAACTTATGGTTTTTATGTATATTTTCTGTATATATTGATACTCTAAGATAACAGCAATTCTTCATTGCCAGGACTTTTCTGTTTTTTCTTGGTCATTGATGGGCAGTGATGGGAAGAATCAACTATTTGTTATTACCAACTATTAGTCCATTTTCATAACATACCTACCTACTAATTATTTGACTAAAATTTGTATGATCAACTATTTATAAATCATAAAATGGGTTGACTAATTGTTTGACTAAATTTTGCCAGGTCAACAAGTAAATTCAATTAATTGAATAATTCAACTAAATTATGATATAATTATGATGACTAATAATCAGGGCTCGTAAGTTTATGAATTTGCATGATTTTTTTTTTGCTACATCAAAAAACATGCTAAGTGAGATACAAATCCGTTTCATTACAAAGGTAGTACAAATGTAAAGTTTAATAGTGCATGTTTTGGGTGTACTGGCATATTTAGCATATAGTTGATTTTTTGAAGTTATTAGCGCATATTATTTAAAGTCAATTCATCAAAATTGTTTTTTGCGGAAGTTAAAAAAATACATATTAATAAATTTATTCTTATTTACTCTTCCGAGCATATTTACAAAATCGTAGTATTTTATCAGTTATTTTTATTTTTGCATGTCACTTGATTTTATAAGTTACAATTAGTACCACGGAAATAATATTATTGCTCATCGCTACCACCCTCTTTCTATTGACGTGCTCATTGCAATCTATCCATTTATTTTCGTCATAACATATTACATATTGTGAACGTGAGTAGTCGCTATATTTTTTTTGTGCGCAGTTTAAGGTTTTAAATGCATTAAAATACATATTTTTGTTTAAGCGATATAATAGAGTTATTTATGCGTTTTTTAGTGCATGAATTTACAAGCCCTGCTAATGATCCATTCACTATAATGTACACAGGTATATAATAGGGGTCAATATTGTTGTGCTGTGATTCTGAATCTGTAAAAAAAAAAAATAATTATATATTCTAATAAATGACAAGATAGTAGATACATATTCTAGTATTTTACATGGATTTTAAGAAAATAAATATTTAATACCCTAAATGAGTTTTTTAGTTCTTAATCCTTAGAATTAAAACAGTTTTTGATAAATAATTGTATTGTATAATTTATATTTTATATTTTTAATAAAGTTCACGCTTAAATTAGTTAAAATTTTTATTATTACCCAAACGAGTCAAAATAAGGTAAATTTAGTTAATGGTTAATAAAAATAAGTGGAATAATTAAATTAGTCAAGTAATTAATTATACCACACGGAGTAACTAAATTAATTAGAATACTACTATCAGTATAAATTAGTCACTTCTACTCAATACTTAGTTTTGGAATATCTATTAAAATGAACTACTACATTTTTAATTTTTTTTATTAGGTTTAGAAAAGGGATTGGAAAGATTTTTGAGTTACGGGGAGAAAAAAATCCAAGAAGATGGGCTAGAAGCTTTAGATACAACATTCTTAGATGTACTGGCTGATATGTTAAAAGAAATTAAAAGTAAAATGATGAAGTATGCTGAACCAATTATGATGCTTGCTAAAAATATAGTAGCATTAAAAGTAAGTCCAAGTATAAAGTATTTTATAACAGCTGTTTTTAATTGTTAAAATGTAATCAAATATTATTTACAACAAAAACTTTTATAAACATTTTTAATTTTGCTTAATATTAGATAGGAGATGGAAATAATCCTGGTGAATTAGATGAATTAGATAGTGAAAACAATGAATTGCCTTTAGAATATGCAGGAAATGTTATTTCAAATTTAAGCTATGTAATCCCGCCACAAGCTTTCTCGGCATATTTTATTTCATTGATGCCCTTACTCAAAAAGTTGATGGTAAATTTTAAACTATATAACTTCAAATTTGTTTTATTAAATTTGATTCTTAATATTCTAGGCAAAAGGCTCATCCGATATATTACGAGCTACGGGGTTAGCTATAATTGGGGAATCTGTTAAAGGCTTAGGAGATAATGCCAGCGAATTGTCTGAAGTAATGTTTTCACTTGTAATTCCACTCATTGAGGATGAAGATGATTCTGTTAGAAATAATGCTGTATTTGCATTAGGAGAAATTGCTTTTTATGGCAAAGAATCAATTTACAAGTTAGTATTTTAATTTATAGTAGTGTTTTTTATATTATATGTGATTTAAAAATAAAATATTTTTTGTAACCTTATAGGTACTATCCTACTATATTAAATACATTTTCTCAAGTGGTTACTAAAGAACAGAGATCAAAAGTATTAGATAATGTCTATGGAGCTTTAGCACGTATGATAATTACTAACATTGAAGGAGTACCTCTTGATCATGTAATTATTTTTATGTACTTTAATATTTTTTAGTAACTGATCAAAATCAAACCAAACATTTTTAAAAAAAATTATAAGTTAGCAATTAATAATAGCATAGATCAGCTTTACTGCTAATCAATGGCAATACCATTTACATTGATAACCATTGGCCTAGGTTATATACCAGGAATGGCAAACCTTTTGAATATTGCATGCCCAAAATTACCTTTTTTTTTTTTTGTAGAGCGTGCCATGAAAAAAATATTAAAAATATTATATTTTGTTTTATTATAATTTGATTGTATAATTAATGTATTAGTATAAAAAGGTTAGTTTAGATACATAATAATAATAATAATTATAATAATATTGCTTTGTTAATTATTTATAATATATTATATTATAGGTCCTATATTAAATAATATTTAATAGTAAAAAAATTTGGATTTGCCATCCCTGTTATATACATATATTGTTGATTATTATTTAATATTGTACTAAATATTCATTAAGGGTGTGTGTTGAATATAATTTAATATTGTATAAAAAGTAACATAGTATGCTATAAAAACAACATTACTGTTTTTTCCAAATTAAACTAACCTAACCTGTTACAATAACAGGGTCAATAGATCATTTATAAATAAGGCCGATTTTTAGCACACTGTAGATACTATTTTATAATAGTACTTATGTATGTATGTATGTATCATGTGTTTAGTAAAATATTACTTATTACTAAAAACAGTATAGATATTTTTATCCAGATCGATCTAAAAACATAATCCTCAACTCAATATATTCTTATATATATATAATGTGTTTTATCTATGGAATTGTAATTCAATTAAGTTAACGTTTTTAAATAATGTTAACAAGGTATTTTGAAAATAAATATATTTTTAATGTTAAAAATTGATATTTTATTATAATTTTTGCTAAAATTTGCAAAATATTAAAAAATTTATTTTAATTTAACCTATTGTGACATAAATTTTCATTTTATTTTACAACTTGATAATATTTATTTAATAATTGTTTTAATTATTGTCTGTTTGCTTATACAAATATTACAATGAACTAATTTGGTAACAATAATAACCTATGACTACATTAAATAAATATCTATATTTTAGTTGACTTATAAGTATAAAAAATATTAATATACATAATTTAATTGTTAAAGGTGGTACCTGTTATGATCAATTACCTTCCATTGCATGAAGATTTTGTTGAAAACTTAACAATTTTCCGATGTTTGGTATATTTGTATGAAATTGGCAATCCATTTATGGTTTCTCTTTCAGAACCAGTGATTAAAGCATCATTAATTACATTAAAAGATAAAAGAAAATATGGCGAAAATGGTAATTTGAATACAATATAATATTGTTTAAAGTTTGTATTTTTTTTTAATAGTAATCTAATTAATTTTAAAATTAAAATGTTTATCATTTTTATTCATATAATATATTAAAATGTTTTATTTATTTTTGTTTAGAAGTCAAAGAAGAGATTGTTAAACTTTTGCGCATGTACAAAAGAGATTTTCCAGATAAATGCTTATTGACACTTTCCGAAGATTTATTCAAGTTATTAAGTGATCTATGAATGTAATTGATTTAATCATTATATTTATTTTTCTATGAAATCTAAATCATTTTGCTAAGCATCTTTGTTTATTTCGAAAATATAAATATTTTTATATTATCTTTAATATTTTATTTTTTATGCTCATTAAATTAAAATTTTGTTGAAAAAAAATTGTAATTTGTTAATTAAATTATAATTAACATATTTCTACCAATTGTCTAATATTGCTCCTATATAAATTCTGCTATTATTAAAATTATTATATACTATTATTTATTGTCACTAGTATAAATTGTTTTTTTTTTTCCTAAAAAATTAAGTCCCAAGGAATATTATTTATTATTGTTTAATTCTTATTTTGTTGTAAAATTATTTACTAAAATCAATTTTTTAGTATTTCTATAATATCTTACTTCCTATTTTATATTATGATTGTCTGAAGTTCATTATGTATACGAAATATCATAATCGAAAATTTTAAATTACAGTGCTACAATGTGAATGAAATGAATGACCAATTTTTAATTGATCTTGATTATCATTTGTCATTTTAATAAATAAATATTACAATATTATTATGGTTTTTCAATTTGAAGTTCAATAAAATACAAACATAGATGTAGTATTGACGTCTCATTCTGGTAAAATTGGTTCTCCTGAAACACATTATTGGGAAATCGAGACACCATACTCAAAATCAGGACCTTTTGTCCTGACCAAATCGGGATGTTTGGTTACTCTAAACCAGGCACGTAGCTAGGGGGGTGTTTCAGGTGTAATAACACCCCCTAACCGTATACTCGCGTGTTTTCAAGATAAAAATTCATCATAAACCGTGATGAACACATATTTTTTCATAACGAAATATATATTCATATTACGATAACAATAATGTAAAACCGGATCCCAGCTTCTTATTGTACTGTTTTGTTTAATTAACTAGAATAATGTTTTTTATCATTTTATGGACAATTTAAAATGTATATAAAAATAAAATGTACATTTAAAATTTAAAAAAATGTTTAAATACTTTCTCATACATTAGTATATTACACATGAATAGATTTTTATGTATAATGTACTAACGTATTTATATGCTTGTATAATAAAGTATACGTAAAGTTTTTATTTTGTTGTGCATAATTTTGTCGGTTAATTTTGAAACGCTTCCCTTTTGAAATACGCGCCTGCTCTAAACCACTGGAATTGTTAACATGGGACTTTCCGCCAGTATGAGTTCAGGACCCCGGATTGTAGTATAATAGATATCCCCTGGAGTACCTAGAGAACAATACACTAACATAAAATATATGGTCTTGTAGATGTGTAATATAAATTAGGACCGGATTTCGGTATTTTGATGCTCATAGGCAAAATTATGGGGCATTTTATAGTGATTTGTTTTTTAAATATATTTGTTTATACGATTTCATTTAAAAAAAAAAAAAGATTCATAAAAATCCAAGGTCCCCTATTAGTGGAGGCCATAGGCCTATCCTATCTAGGGTAAATATGAACCTGGTAAAAATAAAAAATTATTAAATTCAACTAATTTAAATTTTTAAATAAATAAATGACATCAATGCTGTATTGAGATATTTTTAAGTGTTGTTGAAAATTATTTTCAACGAAGTATTATTTCATAGATATGTGCACACTGTAAAAAAAATTGCGACCGCCATTTCGTGATAGTTGATACTTGATACGACGTATTTGTCGCTTAGAAATTTGTTTTCCTTAATTTTAAAGTCCCATTACTCTTCTTTTTTATACTAATTAATTTCATAGATAATATATATAACTCGGACGTGTGTTAAGTTGAACAATTACATGCTTAATAGTACATTTAAACGTATACATTTTGTTTCATATCGGACATTCAGGGATTTCCAGATGTGATAACCAATTTTTTGGATGTGGTTCATTAAACATATTTTTCTTTTCAAGTAAATTGTTATCTGTTGTGATAAATATTCTTACTGTTTTTACTTATTATCAATCAGTGTGTGATTTTATTAATTACTTTTAGTAATATATTTTAATTTGAATTGAACCTGTGATATTCATCATGTATTGGAAAAATAATCCTGCATCTAACTGGGACTCAATTTTTGATAGAGAGGTAATTTATTGTTATTATCATAATATTGTTATGTTAATGTTTTTTTTTCATTATGTCCTAGAATTTGTGCCTTGATGATCTCATGAGAGAACAAAATCTCTTAGAAGAACTTAAGGGTCAGAACAAAAAACTAATAGACTTGTAAGTACTATTAATAAGTAGGTATAATTGTTTTAGTTTAAACTCATTTATAATAATTAAAATGTTGGAACACATCTTGTTACTTTTCAAACAGTGGTTTTATAATTTATGTCAGTATAACTTTTCTAAAAATTACAGATGTTGTATCTTTTTTAAATGATAAATTAGACATTTTTAAGCTTATAGAGTTAAATATATAAAATCTCTATGTTATACATATTTAAAAGAAATGTTTATTTAAAATACATAAATTAATTTTAACTTTCAAAATAGGAATATTATATTTGTTTTTCAAAACAAAAGAATTTAAAGATTATTATCTAACACATCAATATAATTTAGCATATGTAGGTATCATATTTTTTCATATTTAATAATTAATTAAAAAACATTTTTTTTTTAAATTTTTTTTCAGAAGTTGTAAAATTTATTTGATTAAATTTTATATTTCTTAGTATAAAAATATTAGTTAATTAATAAGTATTGATAATGTATTTTTATATCATAGAAATAATTTTGTTTGAATAGTTAAGTTTTTCAATTTATGTTTTTCAATTTTTTTTCTATAGTATTTACAATTTCTTCTTGCCTGAAATTTTTTTATTATTACTTGTTATTGAGTATTTGCTAGAAGATGTTTTGGTGACATTTAATTTCTAGACAATTTTTAAAAAGTATTTTTATGTTTTCTCTTTGGTAGTTCCTTATTAGTAAGCTTATCACATTGGTGCATTTAAAAGTTATCACTCATTTTTTATGTACATCAATTTCTTTTTTGTGGTTCAAATTCAGCTTACTTTTTATTAGGTATAATAATATGAAATTTCTATCAAAGCAATATGTGTACAGTATAATTTCTTAATAAAAAAATATAGTATAGATATTGAATTAATGCTTAAAAAAAAAAATATTTAAAAAACAAAAATATTTTTTATTTGTATTTTACAGATTTGTGTTAAATATATCTCCCTACCCTTAAATATTAATTCGATGATCTGTCTACAAATGTATTTGGGAACTAAGTTTTAATTTGTTCCTTCTTCCTTCCTAATTAAAAACATCTTGTTACCTTATTTTATAAAAACTTTATTTAATACTGAATTTTCCTATAGTTTAACAAAACCTGATGTTGCATTGGCATTGGTCCGTCTTGTTACACAAGAACCTCAAGAAAATGAAAAACCAGAAATGCGCTTTGTTTTGCCAAATCTAGCTTGTGAAATATTAACTAGCGATATTCAACCTATGTATAATGTTCTTTCACACGAAGAAGACATTTGGAAATGTTTTTTTAGTTTTCTAGAAGACAATGAACCTCCACTTAATTCTTTAATGGCATCATATTTTAGTCGAACTCTATGTAGTCTCATATTGAAAACAGGAACTCAAGTATGTATTTCTTAATTTAATTGAATACTTAGCCTAATTAAAAAAAATTAATAATGTAAATAACAAAAACTCTTGCCTTATTATTTTTTTACAACTATTTGTATTTTATAATTTCTAACCAAAATTATTTAAGTCAAATATTTGTGTTTTGAAAAAGGTTTAAACATTTTTTATTATAGTTAATTTTAATTTAATTATAGGATTGGTACACATATCAATTTAACTGTCTTAAAGCACTTGAGAAAGTAACATACAAAGGAAATTTTATTGATTTGTTGCTTAAACATCTTGATACATCTGCTATAATGGATCTCATTATTAAAATATCAACTCTTTTAGAAGGACCTCCTTTACGAAGTAATATATTCACAGTAAGTATACTAATATTTTTTAAATTTAAATTTTACTAATTTATTATATTTTGATATTATATATATAAATATTAAATTACATATGTTTGTATTTTAGCTATTTGAAAAAGAACAACTAATTTTAAAATTGGTTAACACACTAGATTCAAAAAATGTTTCTATTAGACAATTGAATGCAGCTGAAATAATCTGTGCTATTGAAGTTGCATCAGAATTACATCCTCTTGAACAAAACCCACTTGTTATTTCAATTGAATCGTAAGACATACTTTTTTGAATGATTTGAATGATTTTATTTATATGTTTTCTTATTAAATTAGACCAGAGACTGTAAACATGGTATTAGTAAAAATATTTGGCCAAACTGAGAAGACTGAAAGTACATTATTGGGCGGTATTTCAATTTTGCAAACTTTATTGATGGCTACTAAGTTAAAGTTAGTTAAATTACTTAATAAATATTACTTTAACTTTTAGTACTGATACATTTTTCTCTCTCTAGAAGTGGGGATTCTAATGAGGTGTATAATAAAAAACAGTCGATGGCTGAAATTTTGTGTATTACAATCTTACCATTTTTAGAACATATTCATAATGTGTTGTTAACTCCTCCTAAGGTAAATATTAACCCTACAAATGCAAAGTACAGTTCTATAATAAAAATATTACTTTTTTGTATATAATACTACTAATACTATTTTTGTAAAGTTATTATACTTATATTACTTTTAAGAGCAAACGTAAATTGCGCTCGTTATTTTTCAGGTATAAAGTTTTGTGTAGTAAATTACGCTCTGTATTTTTCAAGTACAAAATTCTGCATAGTAAATTGCGCCCAATAGAAACATTATTTTTATGATAGTCATTTAGCATTACCCAGAGAACACCACAAGAAGGCGACTATCGCTGTCCTCCAAAAATGTTTTTTTAATTTACTTGAGATGAATAAATTAATTAATAATAATAGGAAAATTAATTTTATTTTATTTTAAATATTATGGTATTAATTATAGTTTTTTAAATATTTTTTTGTTAGGTTAAAAATGTTAATAATAAAAAATACAGTTATAAGTAATCTGCATAGTAATGATACAAAATCTTAATATATTCATATTTTACTTAAAAATAGGAAAATTCATTTTTTTTTTTTTTTGAATATGGTATTAACTAGTTTTTTTTTAATATTTTTTTGTTAGGTTAAAAATATTAATAATAAAAAATACAGTGAGTACAGGAAAGATTCACTAGCTGAGTTGTCCTTTATTTGTCTATGTTAATGTTGCGGAAGCTGATGCCCAAATACTTGAAGGAATGTCAGCGAATAAAATATACGTGTTTTAAACATAGCAAAAAAATTGTTTGATTATCTTCAGGCATTATAGGCATTAATTCATAGTTAAAAAAATTGCAAACATTTTCTGGTTCTAAAAATACCTGGTAATGATGAAATCAAGGTCACTTAGATAGTAGATACCATGAGCGCAATTTACTATACCCATTTTAGATCCGAAAAATCCTGGGCGTAATATACTGTAGTATTTTTACTACCTACTTAATATGGGCGCAATTTACAAACGCCCACTTTTAAATATCAGTAATTATTTATTTAGTTTATATTCAAATATTAAAAATGATTTTAAAATTGTGTTTAAATTTAAATTTAGATTGAAAGTTTGGAATCTATGGGTAATGTAATTGAAAATCCTTTTGGTAATGTACGTTTGCAAATCGTCAAATTGATAAGTTCATTACTTAGCATGCACAATCAACAAATAAATGAACGATTTGCTCAACTTAATACAATAAAAGTTCTTCTTGTAAGTATTTAATATTATATTATAAAAATTATGTTTTTTATTGGTATTATAAAAATTTCTATAATAAAATATAGTTAATCTTAAAACATTGATGAACATTTATATTTATAATCATATTAAAACTACTAGTATGTTCTGATTTATATTTATTACAAATATAACCTCTTAAAAGTTAAAATTACAGTACAAAAACAATGAATTTAATTAAGAAATTTTAAATAAGATATATATATTTTTAAATAATTTACCAAACATAAGAATGTATTATTATTTGATTTACCCCATCAAGCATAGCTTGTGTTGAGGTAAATGAGTTGTTGCTGTACTAATAATACAATAATAAAATATTACTAAACAATAATATAATATAATCTATGTAACTAATAAACAAAATGTACAGTTATGTTTTATAATGAAAAATAATAAACAATCTAATTTATGTTAACAAAATAGTTTACAATAGTTTTCTTCTAAAATTTTTTGTTTTTATTATTTTAATTTATACTATTAAAAATATTTTTTTTTCATATAAAGCGGTATAAAGTTAAATATTGTTGTACCTAAATAATCTAAGAAATTTTTTCCTGTACTTTTAATTGTGTAGGTAACACACATGTCATATGCCCTGTTTTCATGTTTATTGTTCTGTTTGAATGTAATTTTACCTATTTGATGAACTATGGAGAACTATATAAATACTTGACTAGCATAACTCTAAATTCTTTATAATTTAATGAAGTAAAACCTTTTAAATCCTTATTATTTAGATATATTCTTATTGCATGATTTTATTGAATTTTAAGTGGTTTTACTGCAGTATCAGAACAACCACCCTTAACTAATAAACCGTATTGGAGGACCGACTTATAGTGTGTGTTATGTACAAAATACAAAATTTATGTTGATAAAAATGTAATAATTTTGAAAAGTTTGAAAGTAATTGATCTTAATCTCATAAAAATATTATCAATATGTATTTTTCACCATAAATTCCAATCAATTACTATACCTAAATATTTCACTCTAGTTACTCTATTTTTTGGCAATTATATACATTAAAATTGTACTCATGTTTATTACAAGAGTAAATAAATTTCATCAAACGGTATGTATATTAAAACAATAAAACTTTAAAACTAACCATCAATGAGGTGTCCTTATTGGCAAGTGACATAATAATATATTCAACTTATATTCATGTATTAGTTTATTTTCTTATAATAGTGACATTTGTAGTACATATTTAATTGGTTAATTATGATATAATGATATAATTTACTTCATTTTTATTGAACTATTTTCAATGGGGAAAACTTGATTTTATTTAAAAATGATATATTAAATTATTGTTAGGTAATTAGTTATTATCCTCCTACTTGTTTTCTATTATATTTATTTCTCACTGTGTACTTCAAGTCACAAAATATTGATTTACTACATTTTTGTTGTAGGATTGCTTTTTTTGTTATGAACTAAATAATTTTTTACATACTCAAGTAGTTCAATGCTTCCATGAAATTATGTGTTGTAATCATTCAATTGCAGAGAACAGCACATTTATAGCTCATGTGAGAACATAACATACATTAATTATAAATAATTTGTATATATTTACCCTTAATTTTTGTTTTTATAGGTTATTAAAGATTGTAAATTAATTGAAAGTATTCTTGATAATGAAGCATGGTATGTATTAAGATAAAACTATGATCTAGAATAAATTTGATATATTTTGTGTTGTTGAACTTAAATTAACAATTTAATTACCTAGTTTAAAACACTGTTCTAAAAATAGTTAAAATAAAATAAAATATTTAATGTAAGATATTAATTAAAACTATTTGTTTTGATTAAATAAATATAAATGAGATAAAAAAATTTAAAAAAAAAGAACAGTAAAATTTACTTAAAACACTCTTTAAGGGACCACCTCACTAGAGTATCCTAACAGGAAATATAGGAATCAAAAAAAATAAAAATTTCGAGTTTATTTTTTTATTATACAGAACATGTATATAAATATGTACATAATTTAATATGTAAGAAATTTATAAATTATATAAATTATAATTACATTTAGTTTTTGCAATTAAATTTAATATTTATTTTAAAAAAAGGTAAATATATATATATATATATATATATACATATGTATTTTTAATATTATTATTTATTTAATTTTATTACATACTAAATAAATTGTCTATTTTTGTTCGCTTAAGATTCTGACAAAACGTTTCAGCTAGAAAGTTTCTTTGCATTTTCTACAAAAGACAATACTTTTTGAATTTATGATAGGTGTTGTAAATCAGCAGTAATTGTAAGAGTCGATACTGGATACCTCATAGAACGATGAAATATGTACCTACTCGTTATGATACTATAAGTAATATGACAAAATTAACTGATAAATACAATAAGTACAGGTAAACGAGTAAAACCTCTATTTTTATTTTCATAAGACTCTACTTTATTATAATCTGCTGAATAAAAGAGCATCTTAATGGATAGTTTTTACATTGACTAGTATTGAAAATGTTTAGGGACTAAAACAAAGTTTTAAGTGAATTTTACTGTATATGATTAAAATAAATTGTCACGTATGATTTGAATACATTTTTTATTTAATTAAATAAATACATTAAAAAAAAAAGTTAATTAAATAAATTATTTTTAATATACTTTTTTTTCGTCATAGTATTAAGCCTGGAAAAAGTAGAAAAGGGTTTGTTGGTCATTTAGCAACAATTGCTAAAAGTTTACATAATACTGAAGCATTTTATTCGGATCATTTTCGAGGAATTATTGTAAACACATTAGACAGTGATATTGTAAATCGCTGGGATTCTTTTACATCTACTACTTTAGAAGATAATGAGGAAAGAATTTCTTCTTGTTTGGTGTGTAAATATTAGTTATATATTTGTTACATATAAGATATTATTGTTTTCCAATATTTATTTATGAAACTTAATTATATGTATTTTAAGGGTGGAGTGCATCCTCGAGATGAAAATGCTGCAATGGATAGCAGAAAAGAAATGGAAGAAGAAGCAATTTTTGGACATTCTGAAATTGAATTCAATAGCAATGACAATGAGCTTGGTATATCAAGAGGGAATATAAATTTTGATGATGATGATGAAGATGATGATGACAAGTAAATACATTTTTATAATTTATTTAATTTTACAATTTACAATTATTGTTGATTTATTTTTAGGGACTCAATGGAAATGCAGGCAGAAATGTTTAATCGTATGTGTTCAGTGAGATCATCAGAAATGAATATTGACTCTTCGGAATGCAAAGATACAAATAATCAATCTGGAGCTTTAGGTTTATACAATAATCAAATGTGGGAAGATCCTGATTTAGGTGCATCAAAAAGAGATTATGGTGTTAATATTTTTAATAACTCTTATGATAAATCAAGCAATTTAACATCAAAGGATTGTAATTTGTAAGTTTTTTAAATAATATTTTACTAAAAATAATACTAAAGATACAAATGTATTTATTGAAGGTATTGGTCTCCAGAAACTTCTGATTGGGAAACCTTTAGGTCTCAATTAAATGCAAAAGCATCTAGTGAAATGAAAATTGATAATAATTCTGTCAATGGTAAATATTACTGTTTATTAGTCATAAAAATAACTTAAAAAAGACATTTTAAGATCTTAATTAAAATCTATATTTTCATATCTGCTAATGATTAATGATACATTTATTATTTAAATAATGTATTTTTGTTTTTAGCATCTAGTGCTTTTCCTTTAAATCCCTGGGGAGACAATATTATAGAACCTACACCAAAGCTTGAAACCGGTTGGGCCAATTTTGATTCAAGTTTTGGTGAATCAATGATAACCAATGGAGATCCAATTATTGAACATGAATTATTTTCTGATGTGGTAGAACAAAGTACAGAAGATATTCCTCCTGTATTTGAATCTCCAGATATTACATTTTCTTTGATAGACAATTTGCCACGTAAGAATTTTAGTCAAATTTTATTTTATCTGTGTATAAATGATGAAAAATTATTGATTTAGATTCTAATTTAAAAGATCAAGAGAAGGCTGATAAAACAAATGATGATTTATTAAATACATCTATTCCAGAACAGTTTTCAGAAGATGCTCCATCGGCAGATAATTCTTCTGAATCAAATGTTAAGGATTTGATAATACCAGTTACATCTAATTCTTCAGATATGCCTTTAGTTGAAAATTCGCATAATGGGAATTCTTTAGATAGGTAATGATTAGTTTAAAATTTCAAACCCTCTCCATGGCATTATCATTTTAAGAATAATTTTATCTTCAAAATAAAATTAAACAAAAATGTTATAAACAATGTTTTCTTATTAAATTATACATGAATTTTACTATAATCAATAGTCAACTTATATGTTTTTAAATTGTCCGTCCGTTTTTATATGCAACTTCCATGTTTATGATACATCATTCTGATAAATAAAGCATTTTTATTAAATAAAATGTATACTTACACAAATATAATATATTTATTTGTATTTATATACCTATACATATTAATTTTTTTTCAAAAGACAACTTTTGTTACCTATGTATTATTTATTTTCTGTGTGTTTAGTTTAGTGTTTGAATTACAGGGATCATAAGAATAAATTATAAATATTTTTGTTAAATTTTATGGAATATGATTACAAATAAATTTAATATGTTTGATTATTTTTTTGTGACTTTGAAGAAGTTAATTCATTGGCTTTAATTTTTCCCACCTGTATAAAATATGTTATAAACTTCTTCAAAATCATATTATTTATTATGTTACTGTGACAAATTATTATAAATTTTACTTGTTTTTTTTTTTTTTAAATATAGTTAACTTTGTTATTATCACGGTGCATGTTTTGAATTATAAAATTGAGTTGATTATGTTATATTTATGTGTGTTTCAGTATGTAAATATTTATTTATATATGTACACACATTTTTAACAGATATATTATGGTAAAATTATTATTTTTTATTATTTTTATAAAATGTGCACATATACTGGTTATAAGATGTTTAATGAGATCGTACAAAATACTTTTACTGTGATATGGATATCCATTTATGTGAAATATAAGTTTTACATCATTATTTATAGCAACTGTTCTATTTTTTTCTTGAGGAGCCTTACATTTTCTCTACTAAACCAAATTTATTTTGATTTGAAAAAATATTGGAAGTTACTATCAACACTTAAGTTTTTTGAAATGTTATTGAACTTATACTTGAGTAAATGAAATCACCAGATGTCTTGATTCTTATTATCTTTGTATTAAAATTCACTGTGAGAAAATGAGATTTAGTAGTAGAACTTATACTTGAGTAAATGAAATCACCAAATGTTTGATTCTTATGATATTTTTATTAAAAAAATAAGATAAACTTAACTATAGCAGAAATAAAATAACAAGTACAAAATTACAAAACTTGCAATACTTGCATACTTATGTAGAAATAATGTTTGTGGTTTCTTAAATGTTATATAGTATTTTTTTTTAGTAGCTTTTTATAATTTAAAAAAAAATTCTAGCATAATATTGTTGTCCTATATACAATAATATACAACTCTTGACAAGAAAAATAGTTTTAGCAAGATGTAAATGTTCACATGACAAAGTTATTGTAGCTTAACAGAGAATACCAAAATATTTAATTGTAGGTAACCCATATTAAATTATTATTAAAAACATTTATTACTTTACTTTTTTGTAATTAACATGCATGTTCAAAAGCTATAATAATATACAGATTTTAAAAACAATAATATAATTGCACATCATATATTTTCTCAAATTGAAAATAAATGCATATTAAACCACTAGGCATTTTAAATAAAAAAACAATATGTAATATTTAAGTCATACAATATATAATAAAGCAAATATTAAAAAAGTTAAGGTACAAATTTAAAATAATTTATAAAAAAAAAAAATACAATTATGATTACTTTTATAACTATTTAATATGTAAATATGTATTACAAATAATTTAAATAATTAATTTGGTTAAATCAAATTATTTGAAATACAAATAAAATAATTTTATATATATATATGGGTTGACTAATATGTTTGTTATACATAAATGTACAAAAAAAACTTTTTAACAAGTCTAAACAAAGTAATAAAATATTGTCCGATAATAAAAAAAAACAACAAACAACAGTTACAAAAAATACCTCAAACATGTACTAAATGAGTTATAAATCACAGCACAATATAATATAATGTAAATAATAATAATAATAATATAACAAACGGAGACAATAATAAGGTAACAAAGGCAACAGTTAATAGTAATAAAATAAAACGAAGGAAGAGCAGTTTGAATACCATTGAATAAAATCAGTTAAAATAAAACAATACAAATGGCACTTCATATGAAATTTTCAGTAAATCCAGAGTAACTAAATTGTATTATTCAGTAATTCAACATTTGTTCTTACTTTATTTTTATAATCTGTAAGAACTTCCCAAAGGAATAACTGATTTTTTTCTGTCCGGTCAAAATAGTCACTATCTCCTTGTTCATCTAAAATTATTAAATATATTATTTATATAAATTTGTTTATATTTATAAAAATGTTTCAAATGTTAGTCATAATTGTATTATATTATTATCATTAATTATAGATAGTATCTATATTTAATCAATATTATAGTTATTAAAATTCAATATGTAAACAAAAACCAACAAAAATTAAGGCTGATTTATAAAATTATAAAATTTCATTAATGTATACTTGTTTTAAATAGTGCTGTTATTTTAACATATTAATTGAATAACAGAATAATAAATATTAATGAATATTCAACATTAAACCTTGTCTATGTTATTATGTGCCCAAATGAACATTGTATAATATATACTGTATTATTTGATAAAATCGTCACATCTAATTGATTACAGTAGAATAATGATAACATAAAATTACTATATCATTTTTAATTAATTTTTTGCAAATATTTAATAGTATGCAATAAACATAAGATAATATTATAATAATTTAGTTCTACACTTTTATTTTGCTTTTATAAATAAACATTTTACTATATACTCAACAATTTCTTTTAAAAATATTTAGATTTAGAATTTGTATTTTAAAAATAAAACCTATTCATTCAATATTAAATTTCAAATTATTTTTCCTCTTTGATTTTGAGTTGTTAAAATAAATGTAAACCTACAATATTATTTTAAACAATTTTCAAGTAAATACCCTATTTCACCAAATTATAAAAATATAATTTATTTTCACATTAATTTTGTGAACTTTTATAGAAACTATGGTTTTGAGAGCTGAAGTTTCAAAGACTCATTTAATATTTTATTATTACTGGCTATGCTCATATTTAATCATTTTATAAATAATAAAACTAATGAAAAGTTCAAAATAGATCTAATATCTAAATTAAAACAAAATAACCCAAAAAAATAAATAAATATATTCTTAAAGTATATTTAAAAAATGAATTTTTTTAAGGTAAATCTACCAAGATAATTGGTATAGCTTTAAATAAAAAATAATTTAGTAAAATAAATACCCTTAATTACCTTAAAAATAAAGCAATATCAGGTAAGTATTCAAACAAAAATATATGAACAACAACTATACGTGTATGAATGAGTTAATAGTTAAAAGTTAATAATTGAGATTATTTTTATTTCATTTGATACTATTAACTATACATTATAATATTCAATAATCATTATTCGTAAAAATAATTGTGTGTATCCATTAATCACACACACATATATATATATATTTAACAATTTCACATTTCAAATTTTAAAATAAAAAAAAAATAATGATGAGAGTGTAAATTTTATGATTTGTCGTATATGTATATTTTACTTTAAATTTGTATGGAAATGACTAAGAGAGTTAACCAATTATCTATTGAATGTACCTAAACAATTACATTTTTACTCTTAACTCTCGATAGTAGTACAGTTTTAATGTCAAGTGTTAACAAGAAAAAATTATTATAATTATAAATTAAATACATTCCTTATTACACTTAGAATATAAAAAATAGTTAAATGAGTTATATTAAATAGTTATATTCATCTAAGAATTTGAAAATATCAAAATAATACTGTAATTTTAATTATACAGCAATGTAACGCATTTTTTAATATAAAGTTGTTTTATTTTTTTTGAAGAAATAATTAAATAATTAAATAGTTTAATAACTTAATTATTTGAATTATATACTTGAGAAAAATAAATAATAAAATAACAGTAAAAGCGCTTTAAAAGCAATGGCAAATAAAACTATTAAATTATTAAAGTAAGAACTCATTGTAGGTAAATTAAAGTACTTTAAAAAAATAGAGAAAGACTAGTTAAAAATTAATTTTAATATATGGTGGTAAGTGTCATAAATATATATAATCAATATATGCTGTTTATAAAAATTAGTGCTTGGAAAAAATATGACAATATTTTAAGACAGAAATCAAGAAATTGAACCACATCAGTAACAAAAGAAAAATTCAAGCTAAAATTATGGACCGGTTATAAATACCATTTTAATATTTGAGGGAATTTTTTTTTTTTTAACTTTTAGCAACTGTCCTGTTGAATAATTCTAGACAACATAGACCAAGCGAGCAAATGGCAAGTTGCATCATTCATTTCTTCCCCATCGGCTACAGACAAAACATTTTAGACATTTCTTTGCCTACAAATCTTTCTATTTTAAATATTAAATTATTATTTATATTGTATTTACCAGATCTAAAATCTATATAACCTTCACCACCAGCTATAATCAATGTTGATGTCAAATGTTCGGCATCCGGTACACTTTCAACAATAGGATCATCTTGTTGAATAGCAGATGCTGCTGAAAAACCTCCAGATCCTAAAATTTTAAGAATAATGGTAAAAACAATTTTCAAAGAAATAACCATAATTTATTATAAATTATAAAAGAAGATATGTTCAATAGATTTTATGTTATATATTTTTTAAATTTCTTAACTGATTTATATTTTTACTAATTGTCTCAATATTTTGGATTAAAAAAAAGTATATTTATTTACACATTTTTGACACAAAATTTGAAAATCGAATATCCATGTTCACAATACTCAGTAGTACCCAATTTAAATAATATTCTGTCAAAAAAATTCAACTCACCTGGTACAGACACAAAAAATTTAACTGAATCTCTAAAACCATGCACTGAAAGTTGTGCATGGGCCATTGAGCAATATGGTATGAAGCTACTTGGTGTAATCTCTTGAGTTATAGGCTCCGAGTACAGTTTTACTTCTTTATTAATTGGAAAACCTAACAAACCTTCTATATAAAACAAAACAAAAATAGTCAGTAAGAATAAAATATAAATAAATATAATAAAATAATAATTTATTTATAAGCGTATAATGTTAATAAGAATAATGTTTTTCTTTCTTTATAAATTATAATACCTAACTAATCAAAAGTATCATAAATACTTTTTTTTAAAAATTAAAATATTAAAAACTAAATTTTGTTTAATAAGTTGGTTAGTTACATTATTACAATTATATCAAACATACCTATAACTATAGATAAATAAGCAATAAAATTAAATGCTTTTAATTCAAATAATTGATCAAACTATTTTTTTTTTTGTTTTAGTTGCTTTGTTAAAAAATATATTACAAAAAACTATCACTTTTTTTATGTAATTTTCTTAATAAAAAAATGTATATTATGATTCATAAAAATAAGTTAACAAATAATAATCTTACTATCTAAAAGAGGAACTGATATTACAACACCAATTCCAGTACCAATCCATAGTCTATTAGAGGCAACCAACATTGCTGTAATCCTAATACACGATAGTTGTGGTTTATCAGAACCTGAAGATAAAAATTTAATTTTTTATATTGACATTTTTAAAATAATAAATGGAAGAAAATTTACCAAGCATTTTTATTATAAATGGTTGCACATCAACATCTTGTAGATGACTATAGTTATATGCATGATAAAGCCTTATTGTTGAATCAAGACGAATAGATACCCATACGCCATCTCCTACCCAAACCATAGTGCGTACTTTGCTCTCTTTATGAGGGTGTGCTTCTAACGAATGCTAAATAATTTAAAAATGTTTCATTACAAATAATTTTATTTATTACCCTGTATTTTGTAATACTTACTATAACAACCAATGAACGTGGATGGATAATATGCACTTTATTTTTATAACCACACCAAACTCGTTTACTATTAACAGATACTAAACATCGAGCTGCGTTTTGAGGTGGTCCTAGAGTTACACTATAATATTTGCTTAAATCCCATCGGCCATCAAGATCACGCCGAAAAACCACTACAGTACCATTAGCCAGAGCACATAAAACACGACCATCAACATAACTAAAAATTAAAAAATTGATATTAATAACTGCATACTAGATAACAAAATAATATTTATTATCAAATCAATTAAGAGTTCTCACATGATACTTAAAACAGCATCTTTTAATTTGACAGAATGTAAACATTGCTTCCATTGTGATTTGGCAGAATGTACAAATATACAACCATTTTCAAATCCTAACCAAACTGTGGGTAAAACACTTGACATTTTATCAAGATCTTCTTTAGCTATTCCATTATCTAAAATAAAAACAATGCAAATAATAAGATTTACTAAAATATTAATATACATGTTTATAAACAATAATGATTTGAAACTTTGAACAGATCTAAGTTCTCTAGTCACAAATGTAATATTAAATATATATTTATTAAAATACTTCAGTAGGTATAGATACTAAAACCAAACTAAAAAAAATTGAATACTATTAATAATATTTAAATAAAAAGTTGAAAATATAACACCGGTATTTAAATAATATCTACTATTAAGTATTAAATTTTACAAACACCAATTAGTATAAAGCTAGCAAAGCCTTGGCTATATGACATATTGACAACAAATATTAAATTTATATTTTCCAAATTATTTAAATTTTTAATTTAAGGAAGTTAATAGAAAAACATAATCAGATTTTAATATTTTAATGTTCTCGTGTAAAATAGTAATTTGATAGTATATTATAAATATAATTAATAACCAATAATATAAAAAATTAAACCCGTAAAAATTATTAGTAACTTCTCACTTAGAATATATTTTTTTTATGTGATAAATATTAAACATAGTTCAACATTGATTATTTGTGATACCTAATAAATTTTTTCAATGTAATTATTTCATATAATCAAGAAATTTTCGGGTAAAAACATACACAACTATGGTTTAAAATAAATTAACATATTAACATCAAACTAGTTTTTTTTGAGTTCTCAGGTTTTTAAAATAAACTTGCAATTTGTAAATAAAAATTGTTCTGTTTATAAAAATGAATAGTTATATTTATATTTTTATAATAATGTAATAATTAAAATTAATTAATTAATTATTACTATTTCAATTACAAAATAAAATTAATTATGATTAAATTTTAATAATTTATCACACAAAAAAGTATTTATTTTCTAAAAATAGAGAACATTTTATTTAGAAATTAATTACCATTTGGAGGGTCAGATAATCCATCCTTTATGATACCTTCTTTTAATAGGCTAGGTCTTCTTGATATGTCACAGCTATTAATATTTGGCTGAACAGAATCTGATATGCTATCTTCTAAGACCAAAATACAAACAATAGCACAAACACAACAAGCAGCAAATTCAGGCATAAAAAAAAAAAAAAACTAACAAGAAAAGTAATATTCTTACCATCATCATGATTATCAGAATTTGTTTCACTTGAAATTTCATCTGTTTTATGAGTATTATTTAAATTAGTTTCTTCACTTCCAGCCGCACAACTAACAAACACTATTTTGCCTATTTCCGGGTCAGATTTACTTTCTTTTGGAACTTGTTTATCTTCTTCAGTGACTTCTTCTGTTTGCTCAGGTTCACAATTTATGATATCATTATCTTTATAATCACTTTCCAAGGCACCTATAAAATACCAATATTTTTGTTTATATACATTAAAACTAAATTACAAGAATCATTTTTATTTTATTATTATTAATAATTACATTAAATATATTCATTGATTGCGAATAAAATTATAATACTATCTTTAATATTAATTCAACTTAAAAAAAAAAAAAACTAAATATTGTTTTAATTTTAAATATTTTTGTAATATTTATAGGTAATATATACAATTATTAACACCAACCCTTATGTACCATTTATAATTAGTGAAATCAATCAAAATGAAATGTCTTTAGGAAAAATGTAAAATTAATTTTGTTTTATTTCATATAAATTATACAATTATTTTTACCTGGTACTGAAGCTATACAACCAATATGAGCTTGACAGGAAATGTTGAAGGTTTCTAACACTATATCAGGCTTATTGGCATCAATAATAACTACTTTAGTGTTATTATTAGTTGTAGTACATATCCAGATAAGTGATGATAATACTAGTTCAGATTCTATATTTGACCTACTATTTTCCTATGAAAAATAAAACAATATATTTAATAAATAAAAACTGAAAAAATAAATAAATACAAATTAATACTTTTAACTCTTCATCTAATTTTTGCATTTCCATGCTTTCGTCAACTGTAGATTTTAGTTCAATAAGTGTATTATTTGGTTCTTCTACATTGTTATCATTGTAAAATACACTAGCCCCAACTATTTCTCCGCCGTCTTTAGTAACACCACCACTAAGATTAACACCAGTAGCACACCACATCTATAAAATAAACAAAATTATTAAAGAACATAATATTATATTGTACTCAGAAATTTATTTATTTAATTGTAAATATTTAAAAGCAATAAAAAACAACCAAAAAATTATACTGATTTTTAATTTAATCCTGACTTTTCATAGCCAAAAAAATATTATAATTACACCAAGAAAGTCATGGAAAGAATTATATGTCAAGAATGCTATTTTATTAAAATAAGAAGAAATAAATTTATATATTTTAGCATTTATATTATTCTTATATTTAAAATTTTTATTATATTTATCAGTTAATATTCTTAATTAGAAAATGTTAACAATAAAAATACTAACTTATCTATTATCTTAGAACAGAAATAAAAGATATTGTGAAATTAATTTAAAATAATGTGTATAAAATATTTACAAATCAGATATGTTTAACTAATAATTTAATATGAAAATTAAGAACCACTCTTATATGAATAAAAATAAAAGGAATAAAAACCATTGATTTAAAATACATTTTAATTTGAAATATTTTGAATTTAAAAATTTAAATTTAATGTTTTTCTATAAGATTCATTGAATTTTAAATAAATTAATTAATATTTACCTTCATTCCAGGTTCCGTATCAGCAAGTGGTGAACAACAATTTACTAGAACTGGAACTGGATAGTTAGTACTTGGACTGTTAGTTTGTGGCATACTTAAATGAGGTCTTCCATTTGATGGATCAGCTGGCATACTCCAACCATAAGCTTGTAACCAGCTATCTTCTCTAGGAATATGTGTACGTATTCTACCAAAATGTACTCTTCGATCAGAACGTTTTGATTTATCACTATAACTAAATATTTAATTGGTTAACTAGATACCTTTGTAAATATAAGAGTTAATATAATATTTCTCTAGGACCAACCTAATTAGATTTCTTTTTGAATGTATAAATATTTTATACATTTATATAATAAAGTTTGAATGTTTATGTTGAGATATTGTTTGAAGAAAGTTATAAAAATAATATTCCAATCTGTAACCGAGTATTTACCAGTATTATTGAATAAAATAAAGATAATTATCTCAACAATAGTAAAAAAAATACATAATACAATATTTGTTTATAATCCCCAGCAATGAGCAGCAATAATATTTTTTTATTTCAGTAGAACTGTATTTTGTGTTAAGTTAGCAAACCCATTAGCCATGCAAACGTTAGTCCTGGAGAAATTTATACTGAATAATATAATACTTACATATCATCTTCATATCGACTATACCTTCCCCCTTCAATCATACTGCGTCTTTTCATTATGCTAGGTGGGCCAACTTGATGAGAAGATGGATCATAATGAATTGATCTTGGGCGTGCAGCTATGCCTCCTCCGCTATTTCCACTTCCAAGTCCGGTTTCATTTGGCTTGGCACTGGTACCAAACAAGCTGCTAAAACTTTAAAGATTATATGTTTTAATATGCTGATTAGATAAATATCAAATTTTAAGACCATGATGTTCTAATAATTAAAATTGATTTGTGCATAGTTAGAATATATTTTGATTTATTGTGTAATAGATAATGAAGAATATTCTTTACACCATTCAGAAACCTAATAATTAATCACTTACAGTCTCCACACACCCTGTTTTTTTTTCTCATTTGGCTCTAATCGAATGGCACGTACAGTTTCTTGCCAACGTAAAGATTCTTCTAAATCCATTAGTTGTTCTTTGAATTTATTTCGTTCTAAAATAACTCTAGCCATTTCAACACGAGTAAAACGCTTACGTTCCGCATATGATTTTTCTTCCTGAAATTTTAGATAAACGTTCCACAATAAAATAATAATTTTAATATTAATCAATAATTTAAATACTACTATAATTTTCTAAATAATATAAAAACTTAATTACATCAGAGTCCGATTTATTAACTTTAAGCTGTTCTAATTCTTGTTTGGTTTTTTTTAATTCTTCTTCGACTTCAGAAGCTTTTTGAGTCAAACGAATATTTAATGTTTGCAAAGATTTCAACTCTTCACGTAAAATATGTTGTTCACTAATTTTAACAAAATAATAAAAATCAGTGTATAAAATTAAAAATTACCAAGTTAATAATAGTTTAAAAGCATTAGATGTTTAAAAAGTATGATGATAAACTTTTGTAAGTAGAGTTATGAACTTTTTTTAATAAAACTACTATTATTTGAAAATTATTTAAAATACAGCACTTATATATATATAACACTTTAGTATAAATCAATTTTTTTTTATTAAACATTTAACATACTAAAAAAATACCTTGTAAGTTCATCAACTTTAATAATTAAATCATCTTTAACAATGTTGAGGGCATTTTTGGTGGCCAATAATTCTGTATTTTCTTTTATGAGATTTTCCACTTCTTTTCCCATACCTTTAAATTATTAAAAAATAAAAATTATAGATATTATTTATATTAAATTACATAATTTTTTGTTAGATGTTAGTCTTACCGAAAAAGTTATCATTTACTGTTTTATGATTTCAGACGGACAACAAGAGTGTATGGTTTGAGTTACAGCAGCAAAAACATAATGAAATAAGTTGTGTTTAGTTAAGTATAATTTGTTATTTTATATTAAAATATAATACATATAAAGTTATAAAATAATAGTTCTAACATAACAATATTATTTTTAATTAAACTAACATATATATTATAAAGGAATGAATAGTAATGCATTTATTTTTTATAAAACCCACTATTTTTTTTTTTATAGATAAAATTATTTGAACTTAAATATATTTATGTTATCGACAATATGGATAATTTAGATATTTTGCAAAATACCTAGGCATTATGCGAATTGCCGAATCATTTTAGGCAATGTAAATAAAACATATGATTTTCAATATTATTTTACATATAACTTAGGTATTTTATAAAATACCTAGGCGTTATGTATAATGCCAATCGTGGAGTAGGCAATATGAAGAAAACAAACAAATTTGGGCATCGCCTATTACCTATATATATATAGTTATATATTATAAAGTTATTTAAAATGTTAATTTTGATATAACTTATAAAAATAGATAAAATAAAGTAAATGTTTTACTGAAATTTAAAATTGTATGTTAACATTTTAATTTTATTTATCAATTTGAAGTACTAATAAATAAAAGATGTTTATAAAAATATATAAAAATTGTACATAAAAAAATATGTTATTATATTTCATGCACAAGCAAATAAAAGAATATATTTATTTTATTTCAAATTAATAGCGATCATAATCATAATGCACAGTTACTCATTCCCTAATAAAAATAAAAATTGTTAAACAAACTATTAGAGATAAAAGTATAAGTTTGTGAATGCAAGAAAGCTAAGTATGATGCAAAGATTAAAAATAGCAACAGTATTAAAAATAATACTTTATTTGTTATGATTTAATAAATACATTTAATTACCATTTATCGGGCAATATAAAACTAGATTTGATCATAGTTATAAACTCATATCTTTTGATCAGATCGTAAAGAAGTTAAATTGAATAGTTGTTTTATTTATTTATTTCATTATATATTGCATATATCTGAACAATAAATAAGTGTATATGATACATTAAAGATCCAGACAGAACTAAAATATTTTTTATAATTTATGATCAAATTTTAAAAAATATACAGATAAAAAATATAACTGCAACAATGAAATAGATATATTTAGTGCCCAAAGGGAATAATTGATGTAAAAAATATATAATCTCAAGTAGACTTCACATTGAATTAAATAGTTTTCAGAATATTTATTGCTTCAATACATCAACTGTGTAACCATACAACCAGAAATGATGTGAGAAATTTTTACTATATTAACTATATTGCGTGTGTGAAAGAGAGAGATAACACATATCAGTATTGAATCTTCTTAGTTTAAATATTTTAAACAAAATATTATATGAAGGGTTTGAACAATTTAAGTATTAAGTGAATTTATCAAATACATGAAAATAAATACATTTTTTTAATTTTAAATATTCTTATAAATTAAATTAATAAAAATATGTATTTTTCAACTTTTAACTGGGTCATTATCAAAAAGATTATAATTTATTTTAATTTTTGAGGATAAAATATTTAAGTTTTTTAGTAAAAATGTAATTAATATGGATTATATGTTAAGATTTTATTATAAGATAATTTCAATTTCAAAAATTGAAATTCAAGTTAGTTATTTATAGCAATGTTAAGAAAAAAACTAGAAGACAGCTCATACCTATCGAGAATGGAGTTTCTGACTCAGTCTCACTGCTGACTATTGATGTAAAATTACACAAAAACACCATGCAAAAAAATAAAAATATATAAATGAAATTAACAATAAATGCTGTGCGATTGAAAGAAAACTAAATTTTAAAAAAAAGCTGAGCTAAAAGGCAGTAAAAATAGACTTTTATTTATTTAAGGCATAAAATAATAATAATACAATTTCATACCAGATGAGGCATAGTCTCCAGGGTGCACCCAATTTCCTGAAATAAAACTTAAATTTAACAAAAGTTATAAAAAATACATTTTATATTTGAATTATTAATAAAATTATTTTTAAATTTTGAACTGTTATAATAATAATATTTAGAAATTGGATAAAAAACAAATGTTTAAGGTCAAATAATAGTAGTAAAACAAATAGTATTAATTGAAATAATAATAACAAAGGATAACATTTAATTGAAATACATAAATAGGAATAATTTATTAAGTATTATATTTTTTATCATATTTAATAAATTAAACAATTATATATAAAATGCAAGTATATCCTTTTTTAAAATTGAAATATTAAACTTGAAAAATAATTCTGAATGAAATAAGATAATGAAAGAGAGAGAATAATTACTTATTATATTAAATAATAATTCAAATTATAATTCAGTTTTGATGGCCTAAAGCAATGATTTCCAACTTTTTTCCACGACGGGCCACTTTGGTAAACAATTATCTTAGAGCGAGCTACCAAATACAAAAATATGAATAATATCAATATTAATCTAATGTTATTTTGTTACATGTAGTAGGTATACAATATACGTGTAGATACATATATAATTTGTTTTCAAATATTTTATTGAATACTGAAAAGATTACAGATTGAAATACACACTGTAGGTAAAAATTAATTTGATCAGTACGTTGATCAAGTGCACAGGTTATATCATGAAATTTCTATTTGAAAATGAAATTTATAAATTTAAAAAAATTTGTATTTTATAGTAATTTTACTTTTTTTTTATTTAAAAAAATTATAATGGGCCACATTGATTACCTTTGCGGGCCACATGTAGTCCACAAGCCGTGGATTGGGCACCACTGGCCTAAAGGGTAAAATCTCATCCTATAATTGCGAATTATTTATAATGTTATTTATAGTTGTAAAAGGTTGCTCGCTACCATTAATATACACAAATACTAAACTAAACTAAAAAAAATAAATTCATATATTACCAGTAATTTCTGGTACTTCTTCTATTTCATTTTGAATTTCATTGTCTTGGAAGCTGAATTCTTGATATAAAACATTAGTAGCAGTTCTTTGTTCCCTATAGCAAGATTAATTAATTTTAAATTTTATATTTTCAGTGTAAATGTAATTCAAATATACTTTTGAGTATGACTTCGCCCACTAAGTGACATAATAGTATTTTTAGGCGTTGCCTCAATCTCTTCTGCAATTTCTGATACTTCATCAGGACTACTATCAGCTTTGCTTATGGAATTCAAAGTTTCAGACCAACCTCGCTCTGATACTTGGTCAATACGTAAATTGTTTTCTGCTTCAGAAGTTTCAGTATCCTAAGACATAGTTATAAAATAGTAAAATAATGATACAATATAATAGATATTTATATTTTAGAAGAAAACAAAACAGTATTCCATCAAATTCTTAAATAATCCTTTTTATTATTAACATTGAATTAATTCTTACGTGTGGAGTTTGTAATTCATTTTTCAGACTAGAGTTAGAATGCATACTTCCTGGAGGAGAATTTGATATAATTAATGGGTATTCATTTGAACCCTCAATAGATTTAAGGTTAGGACTTTCAAGAGAACTAAATCCAAATGAAACTGGTCCAGAAGACCTAAAAAGCCAAAAAAATATTATATTTATAAATTATATATTATTTAATATTAATGAAAGTATTTTATTTTACCTATTTAAATGGGCCATACTCATAAATGGCATGCGCATACTTCTAGGATTGTCCATACGATCACCAGATCCCATTAATATTTTTGTGCGCTCAATATGATCCATATGGGTTTTAAATAATTCAGTGTATCGTTCATGCAGTTTTGTATACTCTTGTTTCATATCTTGCTCTTTTTCTTCTAATCTATAAACTATTAAAAAAATAAAATAAAGTTCTCAGTTTAATAGATATTTGTAAAATATGAAAATTTAACAACATAACCAAATAATCAAAATGTTTTTACAATCTATATTAAATTTAAAATTATATTGATTTTTCATAAAAAAATTACATTATTTACTAATTCTTATCACAAGCTTATTAATATATAATATAATAAGTTAAATAAATCACTTTATTATTGTAAGCTAAACTCAAAAACATTTAATGAATATTATTATTATGTAATCATTTTAAAATTAATTGTATTTTCAATTTAACTAATTACTGTTATATATTTATTGAAACATCAATTAAAAAGCTATAAGTAATTAATTATGTTATGCATATGTATTAATTATGCGTTATATTAATTGATAAACATTTATAGCCTTATATTATGTTCTTATAAAGTATTTTACCATATTTAGTATGGACTTATTAAATTACTAGAACATTAAATAGTTTACAATAAACATGCATTTTTACTTACCATGATCTGAAGCATTTTTGGCTTTTAACTCTAACATTCTCACAATAGATTCTAAACTCTCTATTTTACTTTGATAATCTTTTTTTTCATCTTCTATATAATCTTCCATTTCCAGCAGTTTCTAAAGATAATATTTACAATTTAAATGAATACTTTTAAATGTATAAAAAACAATATTTTTAGGTTGTGGTTCATATAATTACTTTAACACAATACATTTTTAAGTTAAAAAATAATTAAGAAAATTTGGAAGACGAGTATACAGAATTTATGAATTTATTCTGCTGAATAATATTTGAATTTATACCTTATGGTAAGAATATACATAAAAATAAATTTTTTTTTAATAGAATTTAATGAATTTACAGTAGAAAATTAATAACTGTCAGTCAAATTGTATCATAATCACTCAAAATATACAAAAAGGAAATGTTTAACATAATAGTTGTAAATGATTTACTTGTTCAGCAGATTTTCGTAATTGTTTTTCCCTCTCATATTGAGTAACTAATTGTTCATTATCTTCTCTTAAAAGTTCGACTTCAACTTCATGTTCTTGATTTTCCGTATGGGAAAGATCCAAACATTCCAACACGTTCACAACCAATGGCATTAAGTTTTTAACAACTTCTTCATCGTATTTAGATATCATTTTTTCAAATTCCTGGTAGATACTACCGGCTAACGATTGAACTTTTTCCGACATAACGACATGGGTATCGTCTTGAGTTCCATATACTACTTCTTGAGCCATTTGTGGATAATGTCTTAATAATAAAAAAAATTTAAATGTTAAAGTAACACTTCCTATTTATCATTTATACAATTATAACAGTCACATAGATACATTGATGTGATAAAAATTAAAAAATATACATTTTATAAATATACATTATGTGCATTATTAACACGTATATAAATGAGTTAAAACTTGTACATAAGAATTATTTTTGAAAAATAGTAACTACTAGCCACTAGATTTCCGATCTAGTTCTGGTTAATTGATTACAACGCATTGATATTTGATAATGGCGTTGCAAATAATAAACATATGCTTACAGTGTTGCCAGACTTAACCTCGTTGCTAAATAATTATGTTAGTGATGAACCAATATGCATCTACAGAAAATAAGGCACTATAGAAGTACTTTAGTGCTATAGTAATATTTCAAAATTTCAAATGCTTTTTTTATTTTTATATCAATTCAAATTCAACAATTAATAAAATGATGTGGTATAATTTTGTATGTTTGTTGAGAATTAAAACGAAAAAAAAGTAGTACAATCCTATTACCCATTCTGTACATTATGAATTATTACAGTAAATCTTTGGTAGCACCATGGTTTTCTTCACAATTGTTAATTTATCCCGAGTTTCTATATGTTATTAGATGACAATGAAATACTGAATCAGGACGTGGTACAAGTGTTTTACAGTTATGTAAACACGCTTGTTTTGATTAACGATAAATTACTCCAAAAGGATTTTAGCGCAAAAATACCATTTTAAATATGAAAATAAAACATTTTGGAAGGCATCACGGAGTTTTATTTTAAAAAAGTGAATTCCCTAAAATTAGGATCGTTTGAAAATTTTAAAAATATTGTTCACTCGTATACAAATATTGACTGTCATATTTGGAAAACAAAAAAAGATTCCGTGGAATCCTCAAAAAATTCAATCTATTAAATGTTTGTATATGTATTTTTATCTGAAAACCAGAACCGCATTTAAGGGGTGGTTCGGGGTGGCAATATTTTTACGGTAATTCTTAATAAAATAAAATTATAAAAAAAATAAATGTTCTACTATAAAATCATTTATAGGTAATATTTAGTAGCGTACAAAGTTGATATAAATTTAATAGTATTTTATTTCACAGTATTTTATTGAGATATAGATATTGGTTTAATTTTGATCTGTATAGGGATGATACATTCAGACCGAAAGATACTAAATTATTTAAGGATGCTATCATCAGCCTTATAAGATAATTTTCTATAACTTTATTTATGTAATTATAACTCACAGGGGCAGATTGGCCAGGGAAGCAAAGAGGCGATCGCCTCCTAGGCCTTCAACGGTATCATATTAATTAACCGTACACAAAATTTAATATTAACTTATAACGGTAATACATCAATCGTTTACTATTAGAATATCCGAATTCGGACGAATAAAGCACAGTTGACTAAAAATATTTATTAATTAAAACATAATAATAATAGGTCCAGTTGACCACCCACCCCCCGGGCCTCTCAATACCAAGTCTGCTTCTGATAACTCGGTTATTATTTTGGATTTGATATTGATATTATATAAATATGAAGGCGTAGGGAAAGTGGCGCCCCCACCGCCTAATGCATCTTAAAAATGCATCGCAATAGCCCTACCCTGACTTTAATTGATTGGGGTAGTCTGGTCCTCCAGGTTGGGGGTTTCTCGTAGGGCTAACCACCCTACAGTGTTAAAATAACCTGGTTACGAAACAACTACAAAATATGCCTCGGATGGAAAATGTGGAGCTTAAGGATTTTACAACTGGAACCTGGAACGTACGAACATTATATAAACCTGGAAATCTGACGACAGCGATATTGGAACTTGAACGATATCGGCTGGACATTATTGCGATTCAAGAAGTAAGGTGGACGGGAGAAGGAAGCTTAAAAACTGGAAATTGGACGGTATTCCATAGTTGTGGTGATGAACATCAGGGTGGGGTTGGTTTCATTGTGAATGACAAAATATTACATAGAGTTAAGAAGTTTAAAGCAGTGAATGACAGAATTTGTCATATGGAGCTGGAGTGCCGATGGTTTAATGTGATATTAATTAACGGGTACGCCCCAACTGAAGACAAAGAAGATGAAATCAAAGATATTTTTTACGTAAATTTGGAAAATGAGTGCGACCGGATACCGACCAACAAGGTAAAAATCTTATTGGGAGATTTTAACGCAAAAATAGGGCAGGAGGTAGAGTATAGACCAACAATTGGGAAGGAGAGCCTGCATAGAACATCAAATGATAATGGCACAAGATTAGTTAATTTTGCTACAATCAGAAATATGATAATAAGTAGCACCACATTCCCACATAAGGATATACACAAGGAAACCTGGGTATCACCATCAGGACAAATAAAAAAACCAAATAGACCATGTTGTAGTGGACAGACGTTTCAAGAGATGCGTCATGGATGTCCGGAGCATGAGAGGTAGCAGCGCAATGTCCGATCATTTTATAGTAAGAGCAAAAATCAAGCTACGTCTGTCAGTTGAATGGAGAAAAAAGAACGTCTCTATCAAAAGGTTTAACATAGAAGACCTAAAAAACCAAGAAATCAATATACAGTACAAGAACAAACTAAAAGAGACCTTGAATCTGACGGAGAATTCAAATAACGTAGATAATAACGTAGATAATCTATGGAATGAGATCGAAAACTCGATTAAAACGGTGGCCACAGAAGTCCTAGGATTTGAAGAAAGAAGAAGGGGGAAAAAATGGTTTGATGAACAATGTAAAAAAGCGAATAATGAAAGAGATATTGCCCGAATAAAAATGCTAAAAGACCCAAGTGAGGAAAATAAGAGAGTACTATCGGCTAGACAAAGGGAAACTAAACAATTGTTTAGAAAAAAGAAAAGAGCATGGGAAAATTCTAGACTTGAAATAATAGAAAACAGCTATAAAAACAACGTAAGACTTTTTTTTGAAAAGGCGAATGAAATTAAGAATGGATTTAAGACAAAAGCAACAATTATAAAGGATGAAGAAGGATTACTAATAACGGATAAAAAAAAAGGCTGCAAACGAGTTCAGGAACATGTTTGAAACAATGCTGAATCAACCTACTCGAGTAGAAGTGGAAGAAAACCTCAACACGGTTGAACAGAGATTAGACGAACCCACGTTAGAAGAAGTAGAAAGGGCATTAAATATGTTGAAAAATAGGAAAGCACCAGGGGAAGACACAATTGTTGCAGAACTACTGAAAGAAGGAGGAAAAGAACTAATGACACGACTGAAACGACTAGTAGATAATATATGGAAACAAGAAGAAATACCAGTAACATGGCACATGTCAGTTCTATGCCCGGTTCACAAGAAAGGAGACGCTATGGTTTGCCAGAATTACAGAGGAATATCCTTACTAAACACTTGTTACAAATTAGTTTCGAACATCATACTGAACCGTATTAAGCCATACACAAGGGAAATAGTAGGGGAATATCAGGCAGGTTTTACGTCAGGGAAATCTACAGTGGATCAAATTCATACAATAAAACAAATAGTAGAGAAAAGTCACGAGTTCGACATAGATGTGCACCTACTATTTGTTGATTTCAAACAGGCATATGACTCCGTAAATCGAGGTAGATTATGGAAAGCAATGACCCAACTCGGAATCCCTACAAAATTGGTGAGATTGATAAAGACATGTGTGCAAAAGTCCAAGTGTATAGTTAAGTTCAACGGAGAAATATCTGAAGATTTCTCAGTTGAAACAGGTCTTAGACAAGGAGATGCGTTATCCTCCACATTATTTAACATAGCCCTAGAATCGGTAGTGAGAGAAGTACTTGATAATGATGTCACGGGCCTAAGAATTAGAGGAGGACACCAAATCACACTAGCTGCGTATGCTGATGACATAATAATTATGGGAGAAACCGAAGAGGACCTAAAACGGTCGGCAGAAAAACTAATAAGTAAGGGAAAAGAGATTGGACTACAAGTTAATGAAGGAAAAACGAAATACTTAATAGTATCACGTAGAGAACAAGTACAAAATTCGTTAGTAGTCGGTGGATTTACCTTTGAAAGGCTAACAAACTTTAAGTACCTGGGAGTAGATGTTAACCAACAAGCAAACAGCCATGATGAGATTAAAAGGAGAATAACTGCAGGAAATAAGAGCTATTTTGCGCTCGTACCTATATTTAAATCAAGATTAATCTCCAAAAATACAAAAATAAGACTATATAAAGTACTCATTAGACCTATAGTATTGTATGCTTGTGGAGCATGGGCATCAACAAAGTCGGACGAGAAAAGATTACTACTATTTGAAAGGAAAATACTGCGAAGAATTTATGGACCCAAAAGAAACGAGGAAAATGTATATGAACGAAGAACTAATGCAGAATTAAGGGCAATGTTCAATGAGCCAAACATAGTGGGAATACTTAAAAGCAGACGAATAAGCTGGGCCGGGCATGTATGGAGAGCGGAGGGCCAAACAGTATATGATGTCACAATGTGGAAACCAAATAAAAAACGACCGATAGGAAGGCCAAGACAGCGATGGACAGACCGGGTTAAAGAAGACCTCAAGCTCCTGGGGATTAGAGAAGGAGAACAACTGGCGAAGAACAGAGAAGTGTGGAGAGGTGTAGTAGAAGCGGCGATGGACCTTCAAGGTCCGGAATAAGCCAAAAAAAAAAAAAAAAATTATATAAATATTGTGTAATATTACATTGAAATGTGAAAAATGAATTGCGTTCGGCTTTTTAATGAATAATTGGAGACACTTATTTTCGGGTTTACACTTCAGAGAAGAGGTGCGGCAAAATATTGCCCCTGGGTGGAGAAATCTTAAATATTGCCCAGCTGAAAACTTTTCTGGAGTGACTTATTGTCAACCAAAAAGAATATAATTACGCCATAAACAAATAAAGACCTTTATATGGTTATGATTTACGTAATCGTATTTTGATTTTTCCCCCTGATGGTGCTACACCTTCGACGTGCAGAGTTGTGGATTTTACAGCGGCGGTGGCAGACCCCCACTACGGTCTACGGGTTACGACAACAAATAACCAGTCAAAACAACTAATAGATTGCAAATTAAAAACATCAGCGATACGATTACATCACCGAATCTTACCGTATTCAAGAAATAATAACAGAAAATAATGTAGTAAAAGGAAAAAAATAAGTTAAACTACAGAATTTTTCTGTTGAATTAAACTTGTCTAATAAAAGCTAGGGATGCGAATTTCAATACATTTTGGGGAACCGTATCTTTCAACTTAGCCCAGTGTAATGAGCTGAATCAGCGAGTCAAGTTATTTGTTTGAATTTGAATCAAATCTTGACTTTCGGAATTTCGGTTTGACTCGCATAGGGCAACTGCCTCTATTGCCCACCCTCTCATGCCGCCCCTGACCTCATGGCTATGTCTACATACTTTTGTGTGTTGGATGATAGTACATATTATAATATGCATTTTTTTATAAATACGGTACGGGCTTAGGAGGGGGCCGCGGCCCCTAGAGCCCCCCCCCCTATCCATAGTCTATATTCTTGAATCGTTAACAGCTTATCATTATTGCATATTATGAAACTAACACTATAATTAACTATAATTAAGACTATAAGAGTTCACAATCATTGGTTTTGACTCAGAAATTATGTTTTAAATGTACATAGACTCCTTTCCATAGGCTTATCTAGGGAGGTTTGGGGGGCTTAGCCCCTCCCCTAGTGCGAATATAAGCCCCCCCAGAATTATTTGTATTATTTTTGCTCATTTCGTCGAGTAGTCTTATTTTCATTTAGTTCAGTGTTTTTTTTTTCTTTATTATTATTATTGTTATTTTTGCAGCCCCCCAATATATTTGATCACCCTACGCCTATGCTCCTTTCCATTTTAGACTTAAAATATTTAAGAATAGGTATAAAAATCATTATTATAATGATTTGATATAATTAATTGATAATAGCAAACATAATAATAATGGTGAAAAAAACATGCGCAGAATGCATTTTGCATTCCTATGTTTAGACCACCAGATACCTATCTATATTATAATATAGACATCTGTGGCACAGATTATATGGATATATAATTATATTATAATTACACTACGGGCATGAACATTGGAGTAAGGACACCAATTTATACAGATAAAAGTGGACCCAGGTGACTACGGGAAACGGTCGAGAACGAAACGATAAAGGGACGCTGGGATTTAAAAAAATATCCGACCAATCACAGCCTAGGGAATTATTTTAATATAATAAAAAAATAGATTTGTATAATCTGTGTCTTTGACTTAGACGTTCCTCTATATTATCTTAATTTGTGATATGAGTGATAAGTTCATTATCAATTATTAATTTTTGATATTTATTTGATTTGTTATTTTGATAATAATGTAAGAACAAAAATTAATATTTGAAACAAACACTACTAGTACTAAGTAGACACTACACTAGTATTAATTTAATTAAGTTGGACTTAAAAAGAAACTTTTAAAAATAATGATAAAGAATAAAGTTCCAGTGAAATAAAAACAATGGTTACTGAAGGGCTTCCGGGATTGACTACTACTGAAGCTTTACGCATATTATATAATGAAATATCAAAACTAAGAAATGATATTAAAGAACAACAAACTCAAGGGTAATTTTTCATTATATTTTATCAAGTACAAATTATAATGTTTAATTTTTTGCAGAGGCAAAGACAAATTATGGATTCAAGATGCATTAAAATATAATAGTCCATTTACTAGTATTTGTTGGATTACAGCTTTGATTATTTTTGTTTGTGGATTTACATTTATCATCATTAGTTTTGTTTATGATGAATTATGGTATCTTTTTGATGATGGAATATTATTACTAGTATTATTAATTATCAATCTTGCTACCGTATTATGGGATAACAAGTTAAGACATGAAGAAATGTTCATTAAACTTGATCATGTGATGAAAAAACTTAATTGTAAGAAAATGAAGCTATAATCTAAAGATACAATATTTATGGACTATATTGGTTATTTATATTATTACCATAAGATAATTAGATCAAAATACACTTCACAAAATACCAAAGATTTAAAATTATTTAAAATTTATAAAATTTAAATTATATTGGTTATATCTATTTGTTGTCCTTCATTACTATTTACATATTCACTATTAATAGTTAATTTTCAGTCTTTTATAAATGCTTTTCAATTTATATGTAAACAAATAATTAGAATTACCAATATATTACTTATATTGATTATTGAAATTCAATGTAAAGACAAACTATAAGTATTTGTTAAAGTTCTGAATAATTAATTTAATTTATAACTTCAGATTATAAAGACAAATGTATTTGGAAGAAAGATAATTATCCACACCTATGTATGCCATATTCACCATCAGTTACTCTACAGTGGACTCAGCGTGATGGTGTATTAGTCAATTTACCATGGGCCTTATTAGTAAAAGGTGACGTAGTACTTTTAAAACCAGGACAGACTTCTCCGTGTCATGTTTCTAGACTCAGGGTAAGTATATTGGTTTTTATTATATTTTTTAACCAATGCTAATCATATTTTTTTTATTATACATTATATTTTTATACTCTAATTATTTTTTATTATTCTTAGGAAAAAGATAAATGGGCTCCAGCTGAATTGACTAGATGGGAAATTTTTAATCCAGATATTTCATCATCTATGACAAACAAAACTACAGTACCAACTATGGTGTCTCGTAATCCATTAAAGAATGTTGCCTACATCTTAAATGAAACCCCATACTTGAATAATTTAAAGCTTGCCTTAGAATTATCACAAAAACGACCTTGCAGTTTTTACACAAAATGTTTGTATTTATTACAAATAATATTCATACAAAAATTTGCTTTAGCCTCATTTTTGGTAAGAAAGTTTTTCAACAAATTATCAATTAAAACTTAATAAAAATATCCTCTTATTATTAAGGGAAGTATTGTTTTAACTGTTTGGTGGCGTTGGTCTTATATTACTCTTTGGTTAAAATCTGGTTCTTGGGTATCAATGTTTATTGTAATCCCAATTTCTGTACTTATTCCACTTTTACCTTTGATGTTACCAATCGCATGGGCACTCATGACATGTTATGGGAATGCAGTATTGCAATCATCTACTATAGTTCAGGTGATACAAATTATTAGTTTTATAATTTTTAAGTTATTAATTAGGTAATTGTGATTATTAATATGTTTATAAAACATTTTGGCAAGCACAAATAATTAATGATGAATAATACATAAATATAGGTACTACTGTAAATATTATATACAGTAGAAGCCGCTTATTAGAAACATGGATAATTGATACAATCTCATTATTGAAACAAAATGTACAGGAATGGACCGGTCGTATATTAGAATATCGAAAATAAATCGGATTATTGAAACATTATGTCGGTTATTTGAAACAATTGGGCGAAGATCAGTTGACGTATACACTGTTTATCCATGCGATAACCTATGTAATTTAATCTTATTTTTGCTGTCATTACGATTATATTTTGACTATCCTTTATCTTAAGTGCAGTACGTCCTATGCAATGTAAAAGGCTAATGCTCTTTCCTAAACGTCAAGATTTAAGTTCTAAACAGAAGTGCGAATTATTAAAATCATACGTGATGCCGCAGCTCATTTAAACATTTCTCATCGCACATTAAATACATTTGCGTTTTTTAATTTTTTTTTTTTCATAGTACAAATCAAACCAATCGCTTATTTGAAATAATTGGTTAATTGACACATTTCACATTGGTCCGAAAGTGTTTCTAAGTGGCTTCTACTGTATATATATAAAATACTTCATATAATGAACAAAATTGAGTTTTTACTAGATTATAAGAAAACTAAAATCTAACATAATTTAAATTTGACAAACAATTTAAGAGTTGGACAGATTTAAAATAATTTAAGTTTATATATTTTTTTTTTTAATTTATATACAGAATGTGACAGAAATAATTTAGCCAAGCTTCTTATATGTTCCAATTTATCATAAAAATTCTGATGAATGTAATTTGGTTAATGTTATTAAGTACTGATAATATATATTATCATTATATATATTTATAATAATGTGATTAATAATAATTACAATTAAAAAAAAGATTATTTTTACTTTACATTTTATAAATATTATCTCATTACTTTTTTTTCATCTAACCATTTTTTTTCAATTTTAGAAAAATAAAGATATTTTTGAAGAAACTGAAACTGAAGTGAAAAACCATTCTTTGGAATTTTCTCTTGAGTATTTGTGGAAAAATTTTTATTCTTGTGTTTTGGGAAATGCAAATTTCTTACATCGGTCCACTAATCTATTGCATGTCATGGGATCTGTTACAGTAATTCTTTAAAGTTATTATTTATACAAAAATAAACATTTAAATACTAACTATTTGTTAAAGGCATTATGTTGTGTGGATAAAAAAGGTATATTATCTTGGCCTAATCCAACTGCTGAAAAAGTTTTTTTTTTGCAAAATCCATCCAAATCATCATCAAGATCTAGTTTTGTAGATCATAATTGTAAAGAGACTCAAAGAAAATGTTATGATGGTTCTTTGCATACTCAAGGTATACTAAATTAATAATAAATATTTTACATAAAATCAATTGTAATTTTAAGAGATAAATTTACTTTTGAATAGAAAATTATGCTGTTGAAGTATTAGATTTAACTCATGATAGGGGTTCAGCTTGGCGTTTACAATTTGATGATGCAAGTTGGTCAAATCATATATCTTCATTAAAACCTCTAGGTCTAGCAGTATTATTAAATACTTGCAACCCATCAACACATGCTCATTATGCTCAGTTTTGTGCTCATGTATCTTGTCAAGCTTTATATAGTGAAGTACTTGTTCCTGTTACCAACAGAAGGTAAATAATTATTGATAAAATAATAAAGTATTTTATTTAATTTTTTTTTCAATTCCTGCAAGATGTCTATGTGAACTTGCCCGACAAATAGGATTTTCGGAATCAGCTGATGATATTTTTGAACTTCAATTGCAGTTATCAACATATAGACATGTAGTATGTATTATATATTAAAATACAAGTGTTGAAGTGATGAAAAATTGAATAAGTAATTGAACATCAATTTTAGCAAGCTGATGCTGTACGTAGGGATATTAAGTTTGCCAGATCGTTACCAAATACTACCAAATTGAAGTTTCCATTTCCTCATATGGTATGTGTAGGATTAAGAGAGCGAAGTATTGGTAAGGCTGCAACAAGTTTACAACTATTCAGTCAAGGTACAGCTGACATAATATTAGATGCTTGTATTGATTTTTGGGATGGTCATGATCTTAGTCCTGTTTCTCCATCAGTGAGGTAATTAATTACTAATTGTTATCTATATATTTATAGTAGTTACATGCATATTTAATATTTTAATGATATTTAATGAATTATTTAAGAATAAAATATTCTTAATATAAATAATAAGATATGCTATTTACAGGAAAAAAGTACTAGATTTTTATCAAAGAAATAGTTTAACTGCTTACTGTACAGCGTTTTCATACCGACCTCTTCCATTACCACCAGATAAGAGTTTCTCAGAAATATATTTAGAGTTACCTGCGGATTGTCGCAAATTATATTCAAAATTATGTCGTAGTCCAACACCACATCCATGGACATCGAATACACATTCAGTAAGGCAACCACAATTTCATTCTTCAGGTAATTATTATTTATGTACAATCAAATAAATATATTTTATTATCATGACTATAAATATTAAAAAGCCATGGTAGGTACTGTAATTAATAAATATTATGAATATAATCAAAAAATATTTGTGTACTTTTCAGAAAAAGCACTTAATTATTTAAGCTATAAATAATTATAATTATATTTATTTTTCTAATTATTTTTTTGTATCTATAAATCTATTATGAAAAATATAACCAAAATATTATATTTTAGATTCATTGTTATTTGGTGACTGCAATGAATATAACTCTAAAGATGTTAGTTGTTGTTTTGAAACACAGTGTAATCAGATATTCTTAGGAATGGTCACTATGCAGTATCAACCTCAGTATGATATGGTAAATAGTTTCATAAAATAATAAAAAATTAAATTAAAATTAAAAATTAGTTAATGGTTACTTGTACATTTATGTATAAATAAATATACAAATAGTTTATATAAATAAATAAATAAATGCTAAGCCTGGAATCATGATTTTATTAACTTTATATGTACCTAAAGATAAATTTTTAATTTGAAACCAATTGTACATTACAAATATAATAATACTTCAGGCTAAGCATTTATTTATGATTAAAGAGTTTAAATTATATTGTTTAATTTTTTTTATTTAATAATTGAATTAGTACATACAATTTATAACAGGTCCAATTAATTGAGCTTTTAGAAAGAGCTTGTATACGGTTTGTTCATTTTAGTAAAGAAAATGAACTTCGGTCAAGAGTTTTTTCAGAAAAAATGGGCTTAGAGAGCGGATGGAATTGTCATATATCATTATTAGGTGATAGTCAAACAAGAACTCGTCTTGATCCTAGGTATTAATATTTTTAACAAATGCTATCTTAGATATATTTCGATTTTAATTTGACACTAATCCGTCTAATTCTTATTTAAATGCACTATTTGATTTTTAAAATTGTTAGCACGTAAATTTGAGTGTTTGTATTTTGTATTTGAATCGAGTGAGGGTGCAGCAACTTGTGATGATGAGACTAGCTTTTTGATACCACTAACATCAACGAGTCAGTCAAAGAAAAAATTAGCTGAATACGAACATAATCTATCTGTTGATTGTTTTCCTCCCTTGAATATTAATTGGTAATATTTTCTTAAATGAAAATGTATTTTATTAAAAAAATAAATTGTTAAAAACTATTTTATAGTGCTGCTCTTAATATGTCACGTACAATAAGTATGTCAGCACCAACTGCTTTGAATATGGACTACGCTCAAGTTACAATTGAACATGATGGAGAAAAAATTATAAAGCCAATGCTTGTTCAAAAGTAAGTTTATATAATATCTGAAATATTTGTGTACTTAGTGTTGATTGAAATATTTTTAAGGGATTCTATTTTGAATGACAATAGCAATGTAATTGATATAGAAAAAAGTGGAGATGAATGGCACTCATTAAGCTGCATGTCTGATAGTACTGATCAAAGTGTTCCTGTTAATTTTGATATGTATAATCGAGTAAATATGACTTATTAATATTCTATTCTATTATTTCTAGTGTTAATTTTTTTGTAGGCAAAACTTCCTCGTGGCATTGAAAATATCAGACCTCACTTAGAATGTATAGATAATGTTCCACTTTTAGTTTCACTATTCACTGACTGTACCCCAGAAGCTACTAAAGAAATGATATCAATAATGCAACAGTATGGAGAAGTTGTTTGTGTGCTAGGTTCATCTCCCAATGCAGAAAATATTGGTATATTTATGCAAGCTGATGCAAGGTAGTTACTTATATTCAAAAATACATAATTTAATAATTATACATTTCATCTATATAATTTTATTAAAAATTTTATTTCTTTCCATACACTTATAAATCTATATTTTGCACTTCTCTGTACTTTTTATTATCTCTAATAGATTTAATAATTTATTATTTATTTGCCTGTCAGATTACAGAATTTTTATTTATAATTTATTTATCTCCTTTTACTTTTTATGAATTTAATACTTTAAAAAAAAAAAACTGCTAGTCATAAATAATAATTTAAAAAATATTTTCTTTGTTTCATAAATTATTATTTCTGACTATAAAACTTATATTGTAGAAAAGTACAAAGTTTTCATAATATGAAATAAAAAATAAAACTAATGTTTTTTACAGCATTTTTAAAAAAAAAAATGTTAGAATTGTTACAGTATATAATAGTTTATTCTATAATATAAATTATATATAAATAATTAAAATTAAATTTGTTAAATTTACTTCCATTTATTAAATAATATTGATGATTATCCAATTAAATAATTTCAATAAATTTCCATGTTGAATTTATTAATAAATGTACTATGTTTTCTTATTAAATTTTAAATATATAGTAATTATTTTATTTGGATAAAAATGGGATAAATACAAAAATTAAATTCCATAAGACAAAACTTGAACTGTAAGATTTTTTGATCAAGTTGAATTTTAATAAAGTGTGTATTTAGTCATATTTTATGCTCTTATGTTCATTACAAAACAGATTTATTTAGAATTAAGTTGGACAATTTTAATATTCAAAACATATTTTTAAATTTCAAATTGACTCTTTTTATTTTTTCTTGAAAATGTAGTCATTTCAAAATTGTCAAAGTATATATTACATCCAATTTTGTTTAGTATGTTGTATGAATTTTAAAGAATTTAATTGTCATTATATTGTTTAATCACCCAAAATATTTTTAATTATATTTTTTGTTATATAAATTAGTCTTGCTATTGAACCAATTTACCCACAAGTATGTCAGAGAATTAGCATCATGCACCAACCAAATCCAATAGATGCTCCAATATCTCCAGTGGGTCTCTCTGAATTATTGAACTCTCTTCCTTGTTGCTTAACACTTAATCGTCAAGATCCATTACCAGTGTACCATCTTATTATGGAAGTAAATTATAAAAAAAAATAATAAAAAATCTTAATTGAAGTAACAGCAAGTTAAATAAATATCTAAACATTATTTTATTTCACAGGGAAGATATTTAACGCAGGGGATATGGAACTGTGTTCAATTTTGGACTAGTTGCATGGTTTCACTTAGTTTTCTTCAACTACTTGCAATTGCTCTTGTTTTACCTCCTATTTTATCAGTTGGTTTGTAATTTAGCTACTTTATAATTTAGTAATTTATGCGATCCAACCCAAAAGCTTATATTTTTGTACCAAAATATTTTTTTGAATTCAAATTTTTTTTTTTTTTTATCGAATATTAGATAATTTTCTTGGTAGATATTATTTAATTTCTATTTTTAATAAAAAATATTTAATAATAACTTTTTTCATTTTTTACGCTTAATTATATTTATAAATAATTCAGAAATTAATTTTCCCTTGAACTAACAATATTATTAAATAAAAGAAACTAGTAAACAATTTAAAATTAATATGTGTATAAATTATACCATTTTAATTTAACTTTAGGTCAAGTTTTATGGCTTACGTGTGTAGTTGTGCCACTTCTATCAGTATCTTTAGTGGGAGGTCCAACCGACCCCGGGGTGATGCAAAAACCAACTGGTAAAAATCAATGTTCAATTACAACTGAAGTAAGTTTATTTTAATAGTTTTATTATTCAATTTTTAAAAAAACTGATTTAAAAACAAAACTTAAATAATTATGTAATATTTTGTCTAAAAAAATTATTTAAATATTATAGTTATCCTATTACGTAATGTGGTTTTACGGTCTAAAATTCCTACCTGTTGTGATTAATACGGTACTGCTTTTTATATGGTCACTAAGCCAAGCATGTGATTTGATTTTGAACACATCTACTACTAATAATGCAACTACTGAAATTCAACAATGTTGGTATGTGTACCCAGATCCTAAAGAAACCGAATGGGGAGGTTGGTCAAAATTTGAGCCCACTATTGTTAGTGTGCAAAGATTAATGTTACTGTTTCTTGTAATGAATTATGGTAATTAATTATTGATCATAAATTAATAAATATCTTAAATTAAGCTAATGTACTTATTATTATTTTATTGCAGTTACTGTGTCTTTGAGCTTTGTCCATCGTGATTATTTACTTTGGAAACGAACTATATATCTAAACAAACCTTACCTGATCACATCAATAATTATGTAAGTGTAATGTAAAAATTAAATTACATTAAAAATCATTTAATATCAAATCATCAATCATTTAATATTTAAAAAATAGCATTTTAGTTCAATCCTTATATACAATTCATTACGAATACTTTGACAACAGTGGTGATCATATTAGTATTTCCAAACTATCAATATTGATCTTGATTGCTGGACTTATATCTCTGTTTCTGGTTTTTATTATTAATGAAACTGTTCACTGGCAAGAAATAAGGTATATATATATTATATATTATATACATAGTTATTTTATCAATATTTAAAGAATTAGATTTTATATTATGTAAATATTTTATTTAAGGGCAAATGTACGCTATCAAAAAAGGGCAAGATTAGACTTTGGAACTAAACTTGGTATGAATTCTCCATTTTAAAATAAGAACATTTATGTATTTGTCATGTTAGTTAACATTAAAATACAAGTAGTTATGTTATGTGATATTAATTGCGCTAGACTGAACTTTATAATGTTCAAATTATATAATTTTTGTAAACAATTGAATAAATTAGTAAAGTAAACGATTTAAACTAATTTAATATTTTGCTTATTTATAGTGCTTATAAAAAATGATTAATGTAACTATTATAATAACAATTATTATTTAGATAAATGTACATTCATTTTTATGAAATAAAAAGTATAAATATTATGGACAAAATATGCTAAATTATGTTTAAAATTTAAATTTAATACATTGTTATTATGTTAACTAGATTTTATTTTTTCTTGGTTATTGAATAGAAATGTTGCCAATAAAATTTTTTAATAAAAATTGAAAAATGATTAATTTGTATTTGAGATAAATAATAAATACTAGTTATTGAGTTAGTTTTTTTTTTTTTATTGGGTTAATAAAAAATAAAAATAAAAATATATTTAAATTTACATAAAAAAAAAAAAAAAAAAATGAGTCACATTCAAAAATATTAAAGTACAATAAAATAAATTTGTTACTTTTATTCGTCACTGTCTTCTAACATAGAATCAAGCCAATGACCAGAATCATGATTTGTTATATTTACTTCAGAATCAAGTTTAATTGATGTAATTTGATCAATAATTGTTTTAGAATCAGTTTTAGAAATATCTATAAATAATAAACATTATATACATATAATATTATTTAAAATAAATATTTTTATAAATACAGTGAAACCTTTAAATACTGGGCACTCTTGGTTGCCATAATTTTGTCTGTTATTTAGAGATGTCCGCTATTCAGAGGGAGGAGGGGCAGACACGCTCGCAGAGATGTAGCTCACTAAGTGCAAAATATTTTTTGTGTCAATATAAGGTTATAACCCTATGTGAGGGTTAGGGTTTTCCCCTCACACTCCCTAACACTAATTAAATGACATATATTATTTATCATCAATGATGGGTATTATAAAATATATTTAAAACATAACTCATTTTATTTATTACTTCTAATGAAAATGTATATTATTGTTTACATTAATACATTAATATTAATCATTGAAAAGCAATGCCAATCGCTTAGAACTCAATCTAAACATTTCATTAATACCTTCTAATTGATGTTAAAAAATTCTTTAATTTTGTTTTTTTGTCAATGAATATTATTCAGACCTAAACTATTTAAACTTTCACTTCCCATTCTGTTTCTCAGCCATATCTTTAAATGACGCAATGTACTAAAAATATAATCACTAAATATATAATGACTATATAATAAATATATAAGAATAAAATACCGAATAAAAAATGAGAACTATAATAGAGAAAATATTATCTGAAAGATCTTTCTACTGAACATGAAGTTGCAGGTAAAGTAATGGCAATTTGTATAACCATACATAAATACAACTTCATAGAACATACTCTAGAAAAGTGTTTAATCGACGCAATGAACCAATGGACAGATAGACCATAATTGTATAATAAATTATAACACATAGTAGTAAGATTAGATTAAATTGGCATTCAACGATTATTCTATATTTACGATAAAAATTGTAAAAATCAAAATGAAATTGCCATAAAAATGTCTGTAATTTAGAGTGTCTGATATTTAGGGGTTTTCCTATATAAAAGTAGTGAAAATGTCTCTGTTACTAAAAAAATGTCCGCTATTCAGAGGTATCCGTTAAAGGTTTCACTGTATAAACAAATTAATATTATTTTACCTATATTATGGATTGTATTAGCTTCATCTTGTAAGATGTTAATGAATGGCTTCTTATTTCCTAATATTGCACATAATTGTTCATTAGATTGTAACTCACAATTCAAATCATTATTATCTTCTTCTACAAAGATGCACATGTAATCAATAAAATATTTGTATTATAACTACAATATTTCACTAAAATTAATATTTTATACTGGGTCATATTTAAAAGTTATCTATTCACATTTTAAATTATAAAAAATTTAAATTTAAAAATAATAATTTAGATGGTATTACCATTGATTAAATATACTGGTATTATTGCCATAGAATAAATAATGGGTTAAAATTTTAAAATTTTAAAAACTGATTTATAATTAAAAGTATTATATGATTTTTTCAAAAATTACTAAGAATCATCCTTTTCAAAAAAAAAAAACTGATAAAAAATGTATAGAAGAGTAATGCCATAAAAACCTTAGTCTTCAAATCTAATAGCATACAAGAATATTAAATAAAATTAAATGTATAGTTGTACTACATGACCTGAAATTTTATAAGTGTTTAAAAAATTTAATATAAGTATATAACAAATTATTAATACCGGCTCTAGAATCATTTTTCATGATTAATTCCAATAATTTATCTGTTTCTGGTACACAACTACTTTCAGTTGATGTTGATTTTATAATTTTATTACTTAATTTTGATTTGCATTGAACTAAAAATAAAAAAATTATATGCATTATATATTAATAGATTATATTTTAACTATTATTATTATTTTTTTACACACATGAATGTCGACTTAAAGCAAGAGATGATTCTACTTCAAATTCTTCCAATTGTTCTACCTAAATTAAAATGTTTAATAAAAATTAGTTTAATGTCATAGAATAATCTTGAATGTAATATTAACGTACAGTGAATAAGTCAACAGGTATATTATGCCGCAAATTAAATGGTACACTAGCTATACTGTCAGCTAAGTGTGTTATATCAATAGAATCAAATATTCTACAGTCATCTTGTTCTGTTCCCCAATTTTTTTCAGAAGAGAATTCAAAATAACCACCACCTAAAAACCAAACAAACCGATCAGGCATTCAGATATTGAGAATTACACCAAAAAAATATATACAATATTTATTAAGCCCGTTTTTTAACAAACGCATATAAAATATATTTATTCTCAACTATTTAATCTTTGCTATTCATAATAACATTCATTGACCCTTGCCACATTTATAAATATTATCATACAATTGAATAAACATAATATTATCAATTAATCATACACAATATTCATTTAAAAAATAATTCAAACCTGTACACAGACGTATATATTCATGATATATTTCTAAAATATACACGTCATTGTAGTGCAGTGCGAGTGTACCAAATAATTAAAGATTGTCCAGTTTACCTTGATAAATATTTGAACTCGCGTTTCGAGGTTCAGTCATATTTCGACAGTTTTCGTAGGAGACGAGTGTAACTTATAGCTAATTCGATTAAACGGTCGAATACAATATTAATGATCAGAACTATTTAAACCTACATGTAATTATAATTATCAACACAGAAGAGATAAAGGTAGAATCGTTACAACGCGTATGTTAATAATTTATAATAATTGACGACTGTTGACTTTTATTACAATAGTAGGCACTTCTGAGCCTATCTAACAGATAAACGGATCTAAGTGCTTGTAAATTGTAATCACGGCCATGAATCTCATGGCCATAATCAGTGATCTCGCTAACCAAAAATACCAATGATATAATGAAAATGTGGTACGTATCAATGGATGTTTTCACGCGTTTGAATCAATTGTTTTCTTAAATTCGAAAAAGTCTGAGATCATCATTTTATAGTGCGTACCCGGCGCCAACCGGTCAATCAAATATTGTTTTTTTCAAGACTTCAACGATACTTAATCAGAAATAAACGCTTCCTGCACAACTGATGTGGTGGTGAAAATTTCACAAAAATATAAACCAATTGACAATAACCTATGTAAGCGTCGGTTCTATGATGTTCTGCCGCGTGAACACTACCTTTGTGCTATCAGTGCGTACGTCTATGGTGTGTACGAGTGCGCGTGCAGTGATGTAGTTATATTGTAGTAATAGACTTCCGTCCGTCTGCGATCACGAACATTTCTCCGAAAAAAAAGAAAAGTAATAGTAATAATAAAAACAATAATAGTAAACATCTGCTGCGACGATGCGATACTGCCATAGGCTGTTTGGCAATCGCGGTCTGTTGACGCTTTTCTCTTGATTTCCACTTCAGCTATTGGAATACCTGAATACCGAAATCATCTTCCACTCGGCATTTCGGCGATATTCAATGACGATGGTTCCGAACTACGCCGCCAGCAATGTTCTCCGCTATTCCGTATACCCCGTTTGAAACGAGATCGTTCTTTTTTATTTTTTTTATTGTTATCAACAATTATTTATACCTCTCACGGATTAATTCGTTTGCAATGTGTGTTCAATCGACATTTGAGGCAGGTATGTCGTACTATCCACATCGCTATCGACAAACGAATGTCCATTAAAAGAAGACATGCATTAGTCTCTTGAACCACCCAAAAACAACATTTTTCACATGTAGTGATGGATAATCAGAAAATATGCAAACTTAAGTTCAGGAAACGGAAAGCGGCATCAAATATTTCGTTTTGCATGAAAAAAGAAAGAAATGCGTCGAACAAAAAAGTAAGGACGATTTTGAATTTTTATACAAAATTAGCAATAATTAACTTTGTGTTGCGAAGATACTTACCTACTATTCAAATTTTTTTTATTCTATGTAAGAAAATATTGTAATATAATGTTTTATTTTATTGAGACATTTATTTTCATTTAAATTATATTTATCATAGTGCTCAGTATTAGTTGTTTAGGTATTTTTTCGATTAAGAGCAGTTGGTTATTATTTTCTCAGAAATACCAAAGTAGTGCACTGCCATTAGCAGTAGTTATTTTATAAACAAATTATTGATATCACATTATATTATTACAATCGGTGACATTAAAGTTGTAAGGCAAACTAAATTGTATCTTATGTGGACACACATTTTTTTTTTGAAAACTTGATGTAAAACTAGTCAGTTAAACCTACAAAATGTGGTTAATAAGAAGGATTACTCCAAAAACTTATACAACACCTACTTTAGTTTCAGCGCCCTTGATTAGAAAATAAACTAGCTTCATTATACGTTTTAATTAAATGCAGAAATATCAAATGATTATAATATTATTAAATAGTTGTATAATTTATGTATTTGGTTTGTATAGTATATTTAATAGTAAATATATTCAATAAATTGTAAGTACTTTCATTTATACTAATAATTAAATTAAAAAAAAAAAAAAATCATATTAAATATAAATAACTTATTTTGAGAATAAATTATTTTATAATCATTGATTGTTATAATTTGTACACAATTTTGTATCTCGATCAATAATGACTATTTATTTATTTTCAGATACTGGAAATAATTCAAAAACCATTAGCCGAAAGAACTATTGATGATAAAGAAATTCTCAACACATGTAAAGACACAGTACAAAAAATTTCTCAAAGGTATTTTTTTTTATTTTACTTATCAATAATGTTAGTAATTATTTGTTTGGGTATGTGATGAGATGAGAGGAAACAACTGTATTGAGAGTTGTTATGAAAATGAAAATTGAAGGGAAAAGAAAAAATATAAGACCAAAAAAGAGATAATTGCATACAATTAAAAATTATATGAGAGCCGTTGGTATGTGCGTAGGGGATATAGAAAATCGAGACAAATAGATGTTAAGAACAAGGGTGGCCAACCTAAATAGTTAGGAAAAAAATAGTTAGGAAAAGGGTGAAGGAGAAGAATATGAAGAAAATAATTACATTATATTTTTGTATGTATTATTAATGTATATAACTTTATCATCATAATAAAAAAATAATTAGTAAATCCAATATAACACTTTTTTCAGAATCTAATTATTAAATGAAAAAACAATAAAAATATAGTTAAGATCATTCGATAAATCTGTACAACCAAAAATAGAAAATGTATAGTATATACCAACGGTTTCCAAACTCTTAGGGTCACGCATTCCCAAAACAAAAAAAAATTAATAACGTCTCCCAATGAAACATTTTTTATTATTTAATTATAAGTAAATTATTGTGGATCAAAAAATGTATATATGGTTCTACGATATATGATATAAATATTTGTCTTGAACCTCCCCTAATAAGTACTCGCTCTTCTCAAGGAAAGCATGTCTCACAGTTCGAGAACCTCTAGTTTATACAGTTTTTATTTTATTTTTTCATTACTCAACATTGAACATTGTATTTATATTTAATTTATATAACGTTATATTTCATTATTAATACACTTGTGTTGTAAGCGCAATATGATTAGTATATTATGGTTATTATTGTTAATATTATTACTCTATTATTATTATATTAATTTGTTAAAATTGGAAATTAGCGTGCATGGGGTTAAATGCTAAGTAAGCTTGGACAACTAACATCACCCAGCAGAGAAGAGCCAGTCATTCGAATACCAGTTATTTAGACAGTCGTATTATAGCTGAGCAATTAAACAGACAACATATCTAAACTTAAATTTAATTGTACGACTCAACACAACTAAACATTATTTCCTTTTAAAACCAAACTTTTGCGATACTGACTATTTCATTTGTCTGTAACTACAAATTCTTATTTACTTATTTTCTTATTTTCCGAAAGTGCTAACTTATATAGGTTGTGTAGAATTGACGGTTTCAACTGTACCAGCTCACAACACTTGAATGACTAGTAAATAACTTTATCTGGGCTTATCTAGGAAGTACATCCATTTTTACCTAATGATTACTTAATAAATTTATGCTAGGATTTAATTTGAACATGTTATAATTCATATATTAAAGTTAAATTCTTTTTATGTACTAATAACCTTACAATTATTTTTAAATTTAATGTAATGAAAATATATTTGTCCTTATACTGTCTTTCTCATAAATATGAAACTATATAGTAGTATATTTATGGTCGTCACATAAACTGTATATTTAAATGTATTGTATACATATTTTTTTTCTATCTGAATATTGGTTAAATGATTGATGCTTCTCTCAATGTTTGGCTATCACTTATAGTTATTTTAAGCGCCCTATATTTATTTATTAAGTTTTGTTTTATTATTTTTTAAATAATTTTGGTGATAGATTTAACCTTGTCTTACAATCTTAGAAATTATGACTTCCTCTTGGTTATTTTAGATAAGTAGCAAAAATTAAAATTTATGGTAAATACATATTGATTGTTAGTCATTTATTTTTCAGATTAGATAGACAAAAGAAATTGAAAGAACGATTACAAGAATTTGAGGATCCTATTGAAGTAATAGATTCAAAATGTGAAGAACTAGCTAAAGCTATTGCTTCTGCATCCAGTTTCATAGTTTATACTGGCGCAGGAATAAGTACAGCTGCTAAAATACCTGATTATAGAGGCTCAAATGGAATATGGACATTATTAGATCAAGGAAAAGATATTGGGTATGTAATGAATATGTAAATTAAGGACTATAAATAATTTTGGTTTGCATGGTTACATTAATATAATCATTATTATTATTATCATAATAATTTTTTTTGTCTCCAATATTGATAGCTGTACAATTTCCAAAGTCTTATTTTTATTTTTCATTTATATTATTAAACTAAATTTCATAACTTAAAAAACTTAAATAATTGTTTATATATTTTACAATTTGAAATAAAAATGTAATAAATATTTCTATTAAATTTCACCCAAGTTTTGTATAAAATTGTATATTATACCCAAATTGTATATTAATATTTTTTTTATAATTTTAAAATTTAATCAGTAAATTAGAATAAAAAAAAATGTCTTAATTAACATTTATTATTTTGACTTAGGCTAGATTATTGTTCATAACACATGTAAAATTATAATATATTTAGAATATTGAATACCTTGATTATCACGTTTTAAAAATGGATAATTCAAGTAAAAACCATTTTCATATATTTAGATGTCATGATTTAAGCCAAGCTGAACCAACATTAACGCACATGGCATTATATCGTTTATATCGTGAAGGATTACTTGGACATGTTGTTTCTCAAAATTGTGATGGGTTACATTTAAGAAGTGGTCTCCCTAGACCAGCATTATCAGAAGTCCATGGGAATATGTTTATTGAGGTATTAATTATTTTTAATCAATGAGTCATTATTTTCACTATATTTATATACTTATATGAATAATAAAATGTTATCCTTTAGGTATGCAACAACTGTAAGCCAAATAGACACTATTTACGGATGTTTGATGTGACTGAACATACAGCAAGGTACAATCATAAAACATTAAGATTATGTTATGCTTGTCATAAACCCTTAAAAGATACAATTGTTCATTTTGGCGAACGTGGTAAACTTCAATGGCCAATTAATTGGTCAACAGCTTGTAAACATGCCGAGAAAACTGATGTGATCTTATGTTTAGGATCTAGTTTAAAGGTAACATTATGAATAAGTATTGAATTTTAAAAGTATTCAATAAATGGAAGTTAGAGTTGTATATATTAATAGTTAATTAGTTTATGGATAGTCTTTTAATTCAATTTCAACCATGTAATTTAAATTATATTATTTCAATATTAACAGATTTCAAAACTGTATTTAACTATAAAATTTTCTTTAATTATCTATTGTAATATATTATTCTACTTTTATTAAATGTTAAACGATCCTTTTTGTACAAATATTATATTTATTATTATTTTTAGGTTCTTAAAAAATATCCATGGCTCTGGTCTATGGATAGACCAGCTAAAAAAAGACCAAATTTATATATTGTCAATCTTCAATGGACTCCTAAAGATGATCAAGCTACTTTAAAAATTAATGGTAAACAATCAAAATGTTTATATTGTTATCTTCTTTGCCATTCTTCCAACAATATGGGGTCAGTCACCCTTGTCCTAAACCTCTACGTGACTCGATTTTTTACATGCCCTATGCACACACTACCTCACATAGGCCTCATATCATTCTCAATCGTATTCAACCATCTTTCTTCTTTCTTTATTAACACCTGATTAAAAAGATCTTTCAACCACCCAATGCTTACATCTAACATTTTCCACGCCTCTACAAGCATTCCATCGGGTCCTATCGCTTTTTTCTTTTTTATCACCTTCACCGCAACCTTCACTTCCTTGTCACTAACTAAATCAATCAATCCTTTATTCCATGAAATACTTTCTAAAGCTTCTTTTGAATACTCTCCTTGTTCAGTAATCTCTCAAAATAATATCGAAAAATATCAATTTATTTTTCTCCTTCTCATTTTCCTAGTCTCATTTAATTCATCATACCTATTTATAATTTTTACCTAGTAATAAACAAAAAATAATAGTATTGTTCTTAATTTAGGTAAATGTGATGAAATTATGAAAAAAGTCATGTCAATTTTAAATTTGGATATACCTAAGTATCAACGTTGTCTTGATCCTATATTTCACCATGCTACAATGTTGGTACCTGCCGAAGAACATACTACTGTACATCCTGTTTTAGCTGTTCCAACTGATGATGTTAAAAAAAATGATATAAATATTACTACAAAATGTGAAAAATTAGAATTAGATTTAAGCAACTATAAAAATAATACCAAAATGTGTTCAGGATCAAAAGATCAATCAATTAATCAACCATTTGATCTCAATTCAATAAAATTAGAAAATGTTACTTCTATAGTTGATAAAAATGAGTCTCTTAGTTTACCATCTTGTTCAAGTATGGATATTGTTCCAAATTTGAGTCATTTTTGGAGACCATTTATTGAAGGTGTTGAGCAAAATTCATTGGATAATCGTAATATGCTTTCATTGGTAGAGCCAATAGTACCATATTTAAATTCATTTTTCATCAACAATATGGAAACCTTAGGATTGTCTCCAACTCCTGTTGATCAATTTTACAAAAACTTTGTATATCAAGCATGTATAGGATTAGCTGCAGTTGAAAAACTACAAATAGAAAAAAAGCTGACAAATAATTCAAATAAAAAGAAAAAAGACGTTGCTGAAGAAAAAGACGATACTAAAAAAACCGATGTTTCTATCAGTCGTTACTGTACATTTTGTCATCCAGTATATGGTTCAACTAAATGTTTATTTTATCATCGATATGAGTCTAAATTTAAAGAAAATGTTGATACTTGTCTATGTTGTGATGATGATACTGATGATGAAGATGAAAATGAACCAAAGAATGATGATATTGCTGATAAAAATGATGAAGTTATAGAAAAAGCCAAAGTTACTGCAGGTTGGTTTGGGAAAGGATACAAAAAAAGAATTAAGAAAAAAAAATAGGTATAATTAATTATTATCTACTTCATTTTATTTTAATTATTTTTTTATTTGAAACATTCTTTTTTTAACCTTCCAGTATTTAAGTTAGGTTATGTAATGTTTGAATGGTTGTATAAATTTAAACATAGCTAATGGTATAGATACTCTTATCTAAAATAATTTATTGTTTATTTAGAGTTCAGATATCTATATTTCGTAAATACTTCCATATTTATACTATTCAAATTTGTATTCAAATCAAATACCTTGTGTGAATTTGATTAATTACAGGTTTAATTATAATAATTATATTCATTATTAAAAAAAAAATTGAATTAATTTCGCTTAGGTTTTTGTTTATTATATAACTTAAAACAAATTTCTATTCATATTTTAAAGCTTAGAATTCTTCTGAGTGAGGTAATTGTAATCACTTTAATTTATTTATTTCATTTATACTTCAATATTTATGTTATTAATCTATTAGAAAAGGATATTTACAATAAGCTTTACATGTAGCTTACTGAAGTGCAATAATGAATTGTTATGATTTATGAATTTGTATTATTAACTATTATTATTATTGTCTATGTATATTTTATACTTGTGCTTTTAGACTTTTGCTTGAAATTAGTACACTTATTTATTTGAAAACTGATTTTTTGTTTTGATACATTTATAAAAATGTATTTAATGCATACACAGAAAAGTAGTAGTTTATGTTTTTGTTAAAATTTTCATTTTTATTAATTATGGTTTAAAAATAAAGTAATGCTTTAGTAATATTTTACCAAGTCACGGATTAAATTTAGTTTTTAATACAACTTTAGAAATATGAGTTTTAGTATTCTGAGTATGTTTTTATTAATCTTATAGTTAAACTATAATTAATATTTTTATGTACACAAAATAATTTAAACCATATAACTAAATAAAAATTGTTATTAAATCTATGAATAATTAGTATAGTTAAATTATTTATGAATTTTTATTTTTTTTTTTTTTTTTTTTTGTAAAATGTTAAAAATATCTTTTATAAAGCATCATGCAGTTTTCAAGAATTAAACTATTTTTATAATATTGTTTTTAAAAGTTGCACAACTGTGTTCTAAATTTAAATTACAGTAAAAACAAATTGTTTACCATTTTGTATTTGTTTAAATGATTCAGAATTCTATTTCTTTAAAAAAATTTTATTAAAAATTGTAATTGAAATATTGTAAATATTCGGATAGTTGTGCTTAATGATAAAAAAATATCCAAAGTAATGGACATGCAATTTGATTTATTCAAAATATCATGTAATTTATATTTGGTCGAAGTGTATATATATGTAAGATGTATCTTGTTAGATTTCAGCGACTTGGTAGAAGTTCTAAGTACCTTGATTCAAGTAATCGAATGACGTGTGAAATACACTATTTTCAATAAATAAGAGTTGTAGCATATCCTTAGTGATCATTTCAACAGTAGACCTCGAAAAATCTATCTTTTGTTTTTCTGATGAAATATCAAAACTATAGAAAAATATTAATTAAAATGGATGAGATACAGACATGGCCGGATTATGGTCATATTATAAGAGGGAGGGCTATTATTCTTAGTGAGGCCCTTTCACCCAAAATAATTTTTTTTTTAGGTTTAGTAAATTGTAATAAATATTAATTAAAATAAGTTTAATAAGTAACTATATTTGTATATTGTAGTATAGTCATCATCAGTGGTGTATCCAGAATTTTTTTTTTTTGGGGGGTCCATAAAAAATGTAATATTACATTTTTTTTGAATTTTGTGTGTTTTTATTATAATCAAAAGACAATATACATACATTAAATGTTTTCGGGAGGAGGAGGGTTATACCCCACCCAGGATACGCCACTGGTCATAATTGATTATTAAAACAGTATTTTATATTTGTTAGCAAATGATTTTAAAACATTTGTGGCTCCTTTTAATTTACTGACCTGGAATATAGTCCTCCCCAGATCCAGCCATGGGTACAGAAAAATAGTTCATTGATGCTGGTAAATTGTTCTTAACAATTGAGTTCGATCAGGGCCGTCCCGAAGGGGTTGTCTCACCCCCTCCCAACAAAAACACCAGTCGGCAGTCGGACTTGTTTCATTATAGCCTAGAAGGACCTAATTTTACTTACAAAAAACAAATATTACATATTTCGTAATACAGTATATATACACGAATAAAGTTTATATAACTACTTATTATACAATATAAAATATTATACATATAAATTAACTGTCAATTTTAATAACGTGCGGCACTGACACATATATACATGTTAAAAAGTAAAAATACGACTACTATAGTTAATTATACTTCATACATTGAGTAAAAAAATTATAGTAAGCATTTTTCATATTATTCTCCCCCCTTGATTTTCATCTTCGGGACGGCTCTAAGTTCGATACTACATTATAAGGCCGGCCATAGGCGTCACTAAGGAGTATCGAGGGGTATCTTGGCTACTCCAGACATTTTTGTGGGGTAGCGAGGGTAACATTTGCTACCCCAAAAAAATGTATAGATTTTAAAAATATATTCGAAGTTTATTATTCAAGTGTGTACAAACATAGATCATTTATTATTGTGATATTATTCAAAATAGTTATATTTTGTGATATGTCCAATACGGTTAATAAAACAGTGTATACACTGTATGTCATACCAATTTATGAAGAAGAGTTAGCCGTTTAAGTAAGCCAGTAAGCCAGTTATCATGTTAAACATTTAAAAATGTATTTTTTAAATTTCTAAAAGTAAACTTTGCTATCCCAAAATTTGGACTTAAGTGACGCCCATAAGGCCGGCCTCACATTAGAACCAACTACGAGCAGCTAGTTTCGTTTTTATATGAAGGCACAATAGGAGCGTGCCTATAGCGGCAAATTGTTGAAGGTTATACGTTTTATGGTATTACATATTATTATATTTATATACGTTTTTAGATTTTCTGATATTGTAAAATATGTTGTATATACCTACTCCTGTATAAAAAATGGTAACTGAAGTGTAGAATGCCATAAATAAGTCAAAAAGCAGGAAAGCAGAAGATCCAGATGAGCTATTACTGAGAATTACTTAAGGCCCTAATCAATTCCCATTGTATTTCACGTTTAACAGAACGTTTCAATACTATATGCGACACTGGTTACTAAAGACCTGCACGGGTCGGGCTTACCCGGACCGGCCCGGACAGACTTTGGGCCGGGCCGGACCTTCAATTAGCACGAAAGTTACGGACCGGGACGGCCCGAACTTTTCTTAAGTAAAATTGAACTTAACATTATGTGATATTTGTTGTTTAAATTTTTAATATTAATTCTATAAGTTATTTTTTTATTATTAAATATGTTGTTAAAGATAAACAACTTTTTTTGAAATTGTATTAAAAGTGTTGTTTTAAATTAATAAGATTTAAAAGTTAGTTATAATATATTAGGTGCTTACTACTTAATTTATTATACAAAAGATTGAGTATTTTATCATTTTTTTTTAATTTCTAATCGGGCCGGGCTTACTCGCCTTAAACTATTTGTGGGCCGGGCCGGGCTTTTTAAAAATGTTACCGGGCCGGACCGGGCTGTAAAGTATCGCCCGTGCAGAACTTTACTGGTTACATACCAAATGATTGGCTACAATCCACATTTGTAGCAATACTCAAAAAGCCAAACGCAGGGCTGGCGTAAGGCTAAATGATGCCTGAGGTCAAAATGCCAACTGGTGCCTTTTTCATACAATAACCCGTAATATCATTATACTTGGAAAAAATGATATATTATGCTCAACTTGTACATCATTTATTGTCGTCTAATTTTTAGCCATGAGTCACGATGACTCGACGTGATCCCGATTGAACGATAACAAATATTTGGGAATTGTAGCAACATATACGATAAAACATTCTATGCTAAACCATAGTAAACAGTTCTCGACTTGAGGGGGGACGCAGGGGGACGGAGTACCCCAACTAATTTTCAGAAATTTTAGCGTCCCCCTACTATTATTATGCTATAATAATGATGCTCAGTCAACTTTTTTTTCTAAAGTAAATAGAGTCCCCCTTCTTTAATTTTGCCAAGTCGAGCACTGATAGTAAATATACTTGTATTATCTTAATATACGGCTAAATGAAATAACCATAATAATTATCAATATTTCAATACAAAGTTATAGGTATTTTACATTAAAATAAAAAATAATATTACCGACATTATGTGCAAAATTGTAAAAAAACAACATAATATCTGGTACTTTTTGTTGTGCATAGGTATTTAGTAATTTTTTTATGCACAAATGCATGCATATTTGTGTGCTTTATAGAGCTAGAAGCCCCTAACCCAAATAATAATCATAATAACTGATATTTTTTTCCATATTCTTTAACTTGCAAATATTGGCCAAAAATATGTTTTTGTAAAATGAAAATATAGTTAAGATCAAGAATAAGCCAGCATAGACTAACAGGTTTGACTTAAGTCAAATTTGCAGCAAATTTGCTGCATGTACATAACAATATTATTGTATCCATTGATGAAACAATCAACAAATTTGCCAAAATGAAAAAATGGAAATGTAGAATTTGTTATTTGACTACTTACCAACCTTATGTTTTCTACTTAGATATTTGTTAAATCAAGTTACCTCTCTATTTTTAATGTGGAAATTTTATTTTTGATAGAGTTTGGCGAATACTCACTTATATTTTTAGCACTACATCACTGATTATAATATTATATTTATTTTACTTTACGGAAGTCTGAACCAGATGGGAATATGGCCGGGTCTATACACGGCGGATTCCGCCGGACAAGCTATACAAGACGTATCCGCCGAGCGTATTCCGCCTCATATATCTATACAATATTAAAAAAAAAATGGTAAACCCCATAATTATTGTATCAGTATTATAAACATATCTATCACAATCGAATAGCACAAATTAATAATAGACACTCATCGATCGATCATTTGCATTAGTAGGACCAGGTTATCATTATGCCGAAAATTACACCAGCGCTAATAATTGCCATAAATGAGGCATTGGAAGAAGAAAGAGAGAAAACTATACACAGGAAGTTTGCGATACATCCTTACGGGAAAAAAAGGATAGAAAAGGGTCAATTCATAATAATATATGAAGACTTACGATGATTTTTGGAAAATTTTTTTAGTTATTACAAAATGTCTATAAAAACATTTGATGAACTTTTAAATATTGTAAAAAGTGACTTGGAAAAAGAACAAAACATCAAAGGTGATACAATACTGACAATGGAAAGATTAACGATAGTAATAAAGTTTTTAATTTCGTGTTATTATTAGCAGGTTTCATGTTTGGGAACTCATAATTTTGATATAATTTATAAATTTAGAAGATATTATAAATTTATAACATAATATGATGGGTAATATTATATTGTTTCATACTTTCATTGAGGTATACATTGGTAAATTATAATTTTTTTGTTTTTAACATAAATCATTTTATTCACAAAGTTATTCCAAGTTAGAAATTCTTCCCCAAATGTCTTCGAGCCACCCCATTTTCAAATTTTGGTCAAGGGAGAAACTACGAAGTTTCAATACACTTTATTTACCAATTTCTTTCGACACCACCTATTGAACTTTTCTACAATTATTACATTGTTACAAAACTACTCTTAATAATTCAATAAATTAAAATTATGTGAAAAACACAAATTGTAAATACCAATTATAAATTAAAATAATTTATTTACTTAGATATGATGATACAACTTATCAAGTATGAAATAATTAAACATTTTTATTAATGTTATATATTACCTAACCTAATTATAAAATATATAATCCATTTATTATTTAATTACTAGATAAGTAGGATTAAATTAAATAGGTGAGATATTGAATATCCACTGAAAATTATCGTATTAATAAAATTATGGTGTAAATGCAGCGTTTTCCGTCACCAGTATAGCCCATCCTAATTTAAAACAACGTAAAATTAGGAGTTTGCGTTTTTATTACTTCGGCGTTCGTCCGCCAAAACGCAATCCAACCGGCATTTTCCACTGCGGATGAAAACGCGGCGTTCTACATTCGTTGTGTACAGGCCCGGCTCAAGTGTTTAAACTAACATAGGCGAAATTTAGTTTTTGCCACCCCGTACGTGTAAATATTTTATCAAATATTTTTTTTTATACATAAAAATTGTCTAGGAAAAATGCCGCCCTAGGCGTGGGCTTATGTCGCGTACCCTTTAAGCCGGGCCTGATTGTGTATAGCTACTCCGATATAAATCAATGCATTTTGAATTTGACGGAAAACGCCACGAAATACACGGCGGAATCCGCCGTGTATAGCCCCGACGAAGATGAGTCGCAGGTGGCAAGTAATCGCACGACCAAAGCGGTTGCGCTAATAACATTTTCAAGGTTGGGACGTAGAGTTGTTCGACGTCTAGCACATTATTATCTATGTTCTATGGTCTATAGCCGGTTCTAGTGCTATACCAGCCTTTGATGTTTTGGTGTTCCATAGTAAGGGAAAGGTGTTGTGCGCGGCAAGCGATGCGCTGCAGTCCGAAAATGCGCCGACAACATCGCAAATCGCAATCGGTAGATGTCGCTACTGTAACGGTTAGGCGGCGCGGATGCAACTGGTCTGGGAAGGTGGGATATGCCGCCGGCCACCGCGTGATGACGGCTGTTTTATACGATTCCCTCCTCCCGCCGTCGGCGACGACGTGAGTTTGTGATTTCATTGTGACGCATGCGCGTGTCAACCAACCCGTAATAATATGCATTGCCGTACAACGCGATAATAATAATAATAATGTACACGCGTACGCCTCTACGCGCGCAATGTCGTCACATACGGTTTTTTCTTCGCCGCCGTCCGGCCGTCGTCGCCGCCGCGTCATGATAACGCAATAATAACTTGTATCCCGCACCGCTCACGTCAATGTTATCGCGTGCCTACGGTATTCGCTCGTACGCGTCGCGCAGTCCGCGGTAAACGGAGTTCGTAAGTGGGTGTTTTCGTGATAATCGTCCGCGCGGTTACAAAACGTGTGGTGCGTAGGTCCGATGAAGATAAAAACGAAAAAAAAATAAACAAACGTGAGACGGTCGAATCGAAATCGTCCGGTGTTGCGGTCGATTGCTTTTCTTCTTCTCTTTATTATTATTGTTATTATTGTTATGCCGTTCGCGCGCCCACCAGATTTCTCGACAAACGACCGCGATCTCGGTTTTCCGTTGGACGTCATCGTTGTCATCGCGCGCGGTTGATAAAATCCACCGTCGAAACGCACCCCCGCCCAGTGACCGGGTTTAGCGCTGCTGAGCTTAGAACCGCTTATCAAGAGCACCCGGTGAGAAGACGTCGCGTCGCGGTTCTCACGTCCTCGCTCCGTTCGCCGTCGGGTTTCGTACCGGATTCGCGATGAGGAAGCTCAGCGGTAAGTGTTCATGTCTCTACAATACATTTATCCTTTACATCCCATCCACCCGGATGCGTGTCTTGACACCGCCGGTTTTTCGTGATAGCCGGTTCTGTTTAATACCAGACTGTTAAACCTGTCCTCGATCTTCTTTCTGTACATCAATCTGTTACGATATTATCCGCATTTAACATTTGTTGAGGTCTAGGTTATTTATCAGTTTTGTATTTTATCCGTAACTATTCGGGTAGGATTCCTTTTCAGCTCTTTTGAAGTATTTGTTTTCCACGCGTATATTGTAGGTACATGCCCTTAATATTATTATGAATTTTTATAGGTAAAATAGACAATGTTCCCCATCCGAATTTTTGGTAACAATTAATTATTTACATGTATAATTTTAATGTTAGCATTTTCAACCTCAATATTAGAATATTATATAATTTTTAGTTTGTCTGTCTTTGGTTATTTATGTGGCAGCTCTAATATTAAGTGTAATTAATAAACATTCAGTCGGACAGATGTTAGACAGATGGTATATTTATAAAATGTTTTTTTTTTATGCTCAATTCTCATGGGTGTGAGTGTTATGGGTATGTTAAAACAAAAAATAGTTAAGGTCATCTATGTATTAATTTGTTTCATAAATAATTTAATTTATAGGAATGTGTATTTAGTTTTCATTTTGTAATAATTGACACTAAGTAGGTACAAATAATTAATATTCAACCAATTTTTTTTTATGTAGGCATGTAATATTTTGAGGTTTATTCAACTAAAAATCAATATTTTATGGAGTATGATGAGTTAATATATTATGTGCAAAACTTAAAAAAAAATCATATTAAAACTTTACCTACTAACATAATCTACTCATTGTCTGCTGACATATTAGTATTAATTTATGCATATACATTTTCATAAAGCACATTTTTCTTTAGTAATATTTATAACATATAGGTACTTCGATTATTTTGGATCAAATTAGTTACTATTATATATTGTGTAAAATATTTTAGTTTGGTTGTTGTATAAATGTATATTAGAAAAAAATAATTTTTCATTAGTAAGTTTGATTTTAAATTTTCATTACAATGAAAACCATCATTTTTCTTTTTTTTCAAAAATACCTAGATGAATGAAAAGTAATTTAAGTAGAATTTTTTTTTTAATAGAAAATTCAGATAATCAAATGTATTACAATAAACACTAACACAACATTAATACTGTCTTAAATGTTGAATAGTTCTTTTATTTTTATTGTTGTGCTATTTTTCAACAGTTTTAATGTTAATTAAAGTATGATAGTCATAATAAAAATAGCTAGATTTATCATGATTTTTAATCCATCATGCTCCTTGGTTTTATATAAGTTTTCATACAAAAAGACTTGCGAAAGATAATGTTGAAATGTTATAGTAGAAAAAAGTAACATAAATCTTAAAGTACTTTACTTAGATTGAATACTTCATAAACAGTATATTAATATATGAAACATAAATGTGGATACATTTTTTCATTATTCATTAATAATCTTATAAATAATAATTTATGTATAGTTATGTATCCATACCTTAAACCTTGCTTTTATCACTTACATAAATACTATAAACATAGTTTATCTCTCTCTCTTGACTTTACAATTCTTTAAGAATTTTGGCTGCCACCGTCACCGTTCTCCAGTAATCACGATCCTGGACTCTATTTTCTCAATCCGTCGTTTCAAGTGTTTCTAAGTCCTTCCTTATTCCATCCATCCATTGCTTTCTAAACTTTCCTCTTTGTCTTTCCCCTGTCGGTTGCCATTCAATAGCTGTTCTCGTACTAGCGGAAACATAATTAATATAAAACATAGTTAATAGTAACTTTTATTATAGATTATACTTAAAATGATATTGATAAGTTGATATTTACTGGCAAATAATAGTATATTTGTATGCAAAAAGATAGAATATTGAAAGTTTATAGTTATTTAAATCACTTATTAACTGTTCAAATTGGTTGAAGAAAAAAACTAATTTGTGTTTTAAAAATAAAAGATTGGTCTGAATGTAAGTGATTTTTGTTCAAAAATATTTAGAATAGGTATACAATGCTAAGGTTGTTTACAAAGACCTAATTACAATTTTTTGTAAAATGCCATTTAATATATTGTAATTTAATATTAATTGGAAGATCATGAAAAAAAAAATAACAATTTTTAGAGACTTTGGCTACAACAACAACTAGACACATTTATTTGAAGTTATAGTTTTTGAAACATTAAAAAAAATATATTGAAACAATGACGTATTTCTATTTGACCTTTAAACTCCATTAATATAATTTATAATAGTTCTTGGTTCTTATCTTGGTATACGTGCACCAAATCACATGTGTACATTTTATGTTCAATTTTATTTCAAAATTAGTTTGTTTTAAATATACAAGTAAGTACATGAATATTTATGAATTTGAATTACCTAAGTAACAAAAGTTCTTCAAAAAAAATTTAACAATTTAGTTTTTTTTTTTTTAAATAGATGTATTATAGTGTTTTTATTGATATTTTTGTTTATAAAATTATTAATTAATACATTCAATAGCTAAGTACAATAATTATGTTTAATAATATGATTTTTTAAAAAATTGTAACAATAAGTTGTTTTTGTGGTAAGATTGTAAGTGTAGTGATCATCATTGTTTTATATGACTCCTTCAGGAACTGAATCATATATGAGTACATACAAATTTTTTTAGCACAACTGATTATGCTAACCACACTATTTATTGATAACATTATAACCCTTATGGTCTTTGACTCAATTATAAATTAAAAAAAAAAAGAAATGCACAAAATGTAATGTGACACATACAAGCAGCATTCAGGTGCTATTATTAAATTATCTTTAATAAATAAATTACATTTCGTGTACTCTTATTTTATGTTACAATACTATTGTGTGTTATTATTTTTGGATGCACAAAAAGTTATCCCTTATATATAAGAGTTATAATTATGTTTCAAAATGTTTTATTAAAATTAAGAAAAACTACGAATTTTTCATTTTAAAACACTATATTTTACGATTTATTATATTAGTTAAGTTGCAAAATGAATAAATTAATTAAATTTATGGATTGTATATTCGAGATAATACATTAGGCTTTATTGGACATGAGTAATGGCCTTATGCCAAAAATAATTTTAAAACCTACTAAGTAAATGTGAAATGAATACCTCAAAAGACCTAAAAAAAAAACCGCACAAAAATGTTTTCAAATCTCAATTGATCACATATATACGTCTAATACCGTAATAGATAAACTAATATTAATTTTCGTATGTATGAGTGTTTTATTTTGTATTAACAAAGGACGATTACGGTCCTATTACGAAATGTCAACACAATGAGTTCGCTATCTTAATGTTCGCATTGATCTCAATATTATTACTTCATAACAACTTTTTTTTCGCCGTTTTCTTTTAATACTACAATAAATCATAACAACTTAAAAACAAAAATTAAGACCTGTTTTAAATTACTTAAAAATCAATTCTGGAAAAAAAGTGATTTTTTTGATTTTTTAAAGGATTTTTGGAAAAATGTATCCGTCCTAAATGTTATGTTCTCAAAAAATATGTTTTTATGTATAAAAACCAAGGCTTAACACTATCCAAAGAAGAAATTCTATTTATTTTTTTTATATATAATATAATAAAAATTAAATATTATGCGTTTGATAAACTTATGCTTCTTTTTATAACTTGACTTTTTAATATAAAAGTTATTTTTATAATATTATTTTATCCTATACATTTTAAAAAGACATATTCATAATAAAGTTAACCAAGCTCCACTCAAAACTGAATTTCAAACGTAAAAACTTATTGCTTTCGAATTAAAATAATAATACATCATTATTTTATGCGAATGTGATCAAAGCAAGTCGAGTGTCAAATACGAGATCTCGATAGTATTTCATGAGGACTTTTTGTAACTTTCTTTGAAATGACTAAATACATGAGCAATAATTTATTTTGATATTTTATTGATTCGATATTTATGCACTATCATACTATCATATATTTTAGTTTAAATATTATTGTATCTGTATCAGTAGCGCTGTTTGTAGTTTTATCTTATGTGATGAAATTATAATTTTTGTTTATTAATAATAATAATAATAATAATAGTTCAAGTTTTAACATATATTTTAACAATTAGTAAAAATATTTTTTACGATCGTTTTAAATTGTTTAAAAAAAACATTTAAAAATCATGACGTAGTTTACTGTTTTATACAATTGTATTATACTATATTATAATCAGTGGCATAGCCATGGTAGAAAGGGTGTGACAGTGGGCCATGCCCCCACAATGGCTTTTTCAACATTTTGCATAATTATATTATTGTTTATTTTATACGTTTGTAAAATTCGTGGAATTTTTAAATGTTTTTGCTCATAATTCTTATCAATTTGTTGAATAGTAATTATTATTTCAACCAATCCGAAAAAATCACAAAGAAGTAATCAAAGTTTTTTCTTCAAAATCTCATCGACGTCTCTTATCATTAAATTGGTCTAAATGAAGGTAATAAATTGAAATTTAATTAATAAAATAAAAACACATTAAACTTAATATAAAAATGAAATGTTATTGTTAATTGTTGATTATGTTTTTTTAGTATTTAGATTTGCCCCTTTCCATTTTAAAATCCTAGCTATGCCACTGTATATAATATTGGGTTTAATATTTATTGTACTATTAATTTTTTTTTTCGTGTCAAGTAACCTTATACATACCTAAATACGACTAGGATTAAATTAATTAAAATTAAAATAAACAGCTATAAGTCGGTGTACTATTAAATTATTTTATACTTAATTAGTTTCCAAAACATCTTATTAAATTTCACTATATGGTTGACATAGGTAAAAAAATCCGCTATAAAACCATTTGTGATGAATGTGGTTTAGTGATCATTCATTGTCATCAAATGTATTGACATTTATTTAGTAATTCTAAGGCTGT